CCCAGGAGGGGGACACTGGGGAGGGATGGTAGGGCTTTTTTGACACGGGGGATGGTAGGGCTTTTGGGGGCAGGGGGCTAGCAGGGCCGGGGCTGTGGGACCCAGGGAGGGGACACAGGATGGTGGCAGGGTTTCGGGGGCAGGGGGCCTGGGCAGGGTGGGGGCTGTGGGACCCTAGGGAGGGACACTGGGGCTGGGACAAGTGGGTCTGGGGTACCCAGGGTCTGGGGGGGCAGAGGGGGGCTCTGACAGGACCACGTGGCTCGGGGGGGCCGTGGGGACCCCGCGGGGGGTGTCTGAGGGTCCCACGGGTGCCCCCCAGGGCTGGTTCGCCGGGAGGAACCTGGCGGTGTCGCAGGTGACCACCAAGTACGTGCTGTGGGTGGACGACGATTTCATCTTCACGCCCCGCACGCGGCTCGAGAAGCTCGTGGATGTGCTGGAGAGAACCAGCCTGGACCTGGTGCGGGCACGGGGGGGCTCCAGGGGCGGGGGCCGGTGGGACCCCCATGTGTGGGACGGGGGTCCCGGTTTTCATGTGCAGTGCCCGGTGCTGGAGAGAACCAGCCTGGACCTGGTGGGGGCACGGGAGAGGGGACACGGGGGGCTCCAGGGGCGGGGGAGACACGGGGGGTCGGAGGGGCGTGAGGGGCAGTGCCACGGGCGGTTCTCCTGGGGGTCCCGAGCTCCCGGTGCCGTGGGGGGGTGATGTTGGGGGTTTCCCGGGGTTTCCCAGTGCTGGCACCGCCCCCCAGAGCAGCCCCGACCCCCGGGGGGGCGATGCTGGGGGTCCCGGGGGGTCCCCAATGTCCCGTGCGGTGGCCCCGTCCCATCCGGGCCGGGGGTTGAGCAATCCTGAGGGTCCCGGGCGGTCCCGGGGGGGTCCTGGGATCCCCAGTGTGGCCCCGTCCCGTCTGGGCCGGGGGTCGGGCGATCCTGGGGGTCCCGGGCGGTCCCGGTGCCGCGGTTGGGCGGGGCTGGGGGGTCCCGGGGGTCGCGGGGATCCCGGGGCCGGTGCTGCCCCTTCCCAGCAGCCTCAGACGGGCGGAGCCGGGGGGGTCCCGGTGCATTCCCCGTTCCCATCCCCAGGTGGGCGATGCCGGGGGGTTCCGGGAGGTGCCGAGAGGTCCCGGGGGTCGCGGTGCCGCCCCCCATTGCCCCGTCGCCCCCCGCAGGTGGGCGGTGTCGAGGGGTCCCGGGGGGTGCCGAGAGGTCCCGGGGGTCGCGGTGCCGGCCCCCCATTGCCCCGTTCCCCCCGCAGGTGGGCGGTGTCGGGGGGGTCCCGGGGGGACCCGGGAGGTCCAGGGGGTCGCGGTGCCGCCCCCCCATTGCCCCGTTCCCCCCGCAGGTGGGCGGCGCGGTGCGGGAGATCACGGGTTACACCACCACGTACCGGCAGCGCCTGAGCGTGCGGGGGGGCGGCGCGGGGGGCGATTGTCTGCGCACCCGGCCCGGCTTCCACCACCGCCTCGCCGGCTTCCCCGCCTGCGTCGTCACCGACGGCGTCGTCAACTTCTTCCTGGCCCGCACCGACAAGGTCCGCCAGGTGGGCTTCGACCCCCGCCTGCGCCGCGTGGCTCATCTCGGTGAGCGGGGCTGAGGGGCCCGGGGGGGATTCGAGGGGGTCCTGAGGGGTCTGGGAGGGAGGCTTGGGGGAGGGACGGGGACAGGGACGTGGGAGAGGTCCTGTGGGTCTAGGAGGGGATCAGGAGGGGCTGGGAGGGTCCAGGAGGTCCCGGGAGAGGACAGCTGGATCCCCCACCGTGGGGTCAGGGGTCCCCCACCATGGGGTCAGGGGGTCAGAGGGGAGGGTGCCAGGGGGCTCAGAGGCTGGGAGGGGTTGCTGGGGGTGGTGGTGGTCATGGGGTCCCCCCGCCGTGGGGTCACGGGGTCAGAAGTGGGGAGATCTCCCCCACAGTGGGCCCGGGGGGGTCAGAGGTGGGAAGGGGTGCCTGGGGGTCAGACGGGGGGGATATTGGGGTCCCCCCCCAATAAACCCCCGGGGTCAGAGGCCGGGCAGAGCAACCCGGGGGGCATCTCTGAGCCCGCTGTGGGTGCCCCCTCCTTTCCTCCCCGCGCCCCCCCAGAGTTCTTCATCGACGGGCTGGGGGTGCTGCACGTGGGCTCGTGCGAGGACGTGGTGGTGGATCACGCGTCCAAGCTGGCGCTGCCCTGGCGGCGCTCGGAGGGCGAGCGGCAGTACAACCGCTACCGCTACCCCGCGGCGCGGGACGACAGCCTGCGCCTCAAGCAGCGCCTCTTCTTCTTCAAGAACCGCTTCAAGTGCATGGCCGGGGACTGACGTGCCCCCGGCCCGCCCCGCCGGACACCCGCCCGGGACACCGCGGACACCACGGGACACCCCGGGGCGCCCGTGGGTGCTGATGGGGCGGGGGACACGGGGACACCGCCCCCGGGCCACCCCCCGGGCCACCCCTGCCCCTGGGGGGGCCACAGGGCTGCTGACACCAGGCTGACCCCTGGGCGGTCACACCCCGTGGGTCACCCCCTGAGTGACCACCGCCCCGTGGGACACCTCGAGGGTCACCACCCCCCCTGGGCCACCCCCCTGGGCCACCACCCCTGGCTGTCCCCGAGGCACCCCCAGGACACCCCCAGGGCCACCGACCCCGGGGTGACACTGAGCCACCCCCCGTGGGCCACCCCCAGGGCCACTGACACCCTGGGCCACCTCCAGGGTCATCACGGCCACCCCGGGGCGACTCCGGGGCCACCAACTGCAGGACACCCCCAGGGCCATCCCCACCATGGGCCACCCCCAGGGCCACCCCGTGTGCCACACGGGCCATCAGCTGCTCCCGAGGGTGCCCCTGGGCCACCAACACTGGCCCCACCCCCACGACCACGCCCCGGGCCACCCCCGGGGCCACCTCCCGGGCCACCCCCCCTGGGGCACCCCAGGGCCACTGCCATGGACCACCCCCAGTGCCACCCCCGGGGCCACCACATGTCCGCAGGGTCCCTGGAGCCCCTGCCCCCCTGCGGTGTTTTTAGCTCTTTTGTACTTTGGGGGTGGGGGTGGTGGCAGGGTCCCCCGGGTCCCCCTTCCCCTTCTCGCCCCTCCCCCGGTTTTCTATTGTACAGCCCCTCCCCGCGCTGCCGCCTGGATTTTTGTGCCAAGTCTCGACCCCTCCCCGGGACCCCCAGGACCCCCGGGCCTGTTGGGGAAGGGGTTGGGAGGGGCAGCCCCCTCCCCGCCCTTTTCTACCCAATGGATGGTGAGATTTTAACCAGCCCGAAATCGGCCTCTTTCTTCCCAAAAATGGGCCGGGGGAGGGGCGAGGGGAGGGGAGGGGCTGCCCCGGCCCTGCCAGTCTGGGGAGGGTGAAGGTGAGGAGGGGCTGTAGGGGATGGGGGCTGTGGGGATATTGGGGGCTATAGGGGATGGGGGAGATGTGGGGAGGGGGTGGTCTCTGTGGGTGTGGTCTCAGTGGGTGTGGTCTGTGGGGAAGGGGGTGAATTGTCCAAAGGGATGGAGGAGCCCTCTGGGAATCCCTCCCCCAACCAAGCAGGGTCTGTCCATGCCAAGGACATGCCAAGAACACGCCAAGGACGTGCCAAGGACACGCCAAGGGCATGGACATGGCAGGGACAAGGGACAGGGCTGGCACAGGGACAGGGACACAGCAGGGACAGGGACACGTGGAGGGGTTTGGGAATTGTCCCCAATTCACGGCAGAAATCACGGGCTGGGATAAGAAAATTGACTGGAAACAACAACGAGATAAAAGGAACAGGAACAGCAACGACTTTGATGACAAAAGGGGTGGGAAAAGAAATGATTCACAGGGGGACAACCTTAGAATGGACAGTCCTGGAGGGATGAACATCCTGACAACGGACACCACCAGACAGGTCCCTCCCACAATCCCAGGTCCCATTTCCAGTCCGCTCCAGGGTGTTTGTTGGTTCTGTCCAGCCTGGATGTCTCCCAGGGCTGGGGGTGGATCTGGAGCAGCCCATCCTCCCTGTCCCTGGGAATGGCACTGATGGTGTCACTCAGCACCCAACAATATATACAATAATAATAATAATAATAATATAATAATAATCAAATACATAATACACGCAGATATAATAATATCTGAAAATATAATATATAATATGTAAATTTACATATAATAACATGAGTTATTTCTCTGCTCCAGATGCAGTTGGAGTGGCCACGGTGCCTGTTGCTCTGTTTTCCTCCCCCTCCCTCTGAGGGGTGTCTGATAAATATATAAATGTAAAAATATGTAAATACACAAGCAACGTAAATGAGCAGAAATAATAAATAAAAAATAAAATAAATATATAAATATATATAAAGTTATAATATACAAATATAATATGTAAAAATCTATAAATAAATAGTAAATAATACAACCATAATAACAAATTAAAAAATTGGAATTAATAATAAATAATAACAATAATTAGTTAAGCTGTTGGAACAGGAGGAAAAGGGGGTGAAAAAGGGGTCTCACGGCGTGGAGGGGTCTCACTGCCTGGGGAGGGGCTGAGGGAGGGTCCTCCAGGTGCCCCCAGGTGCCCCTCCCTCACCTTCCCAGGTGTCCCCCCCACGGGTGGGGCCTGTTGGTGCAGTTGGTCTCACAGGGGATGTCGCTCGCCGACCCCTCAGCCTGTCCCCAGCTGTCCCCAGGTGTCCCCTGCTGTCCCCAGGTGTCCCCAGCTGTCCCCAGGCCACGCCCATCGCCAAAGCCACGCCCCCTTTCCGGACATACGTTGTGCCTCGTTCACTCCAAGCCACGCCCCTCCCCCGTCCTGGCCACGCCCCCTCTCTCCATAACAGCTGGGCGGGACCTGAGACCACGCCCCTTTGACTGGGACCACGCCCCTTTCCAATCACCTCTATTAATTGGGTAACGGCCTTGGGAAAAGATATGGCCACGCCCCCTGCCCGTGACCACGCCCCTGTTGCCGCGGCAACAGCTTTGGCGGGAGCTGAGACCACGCCCCCTCCCTGTTTAGGCCACGCCCCCCGCGCGGGACCGAGCGCGGTGAGACCCGGGCGGCGTTCGGGGGATTTTGGGGGTTCAGGGGGCCCGGGGGTAAAACGGGGGTGGGAAAGCCGAGAGGTCCGGGCTGGGGTGAGGAATGGAGGGGGTCGGGCTGGGGGTCCCTGGGAACACCCCGGGATCGGCGGGACCCGGAACAAAGGGCGGGCGGGGCAGCGGGGACGGGGGTGGACAGCAGGGGGGAGGGACAGGGGAATTTGGGGAGCTCAGGGGACACGGGGGGCACTAGGGGGATTGGGGGTTCAGGGGACACAGGGGACACCGTGAGGGACTGGTAGGTTCAGGGGACACGAGGGGCACAGGGGGGACTGGGGACTCAGGGGACACCGGGGGAACAGGGGAAATTTGGGGGCTCAGGGGACACAGGGGGCACCGGGAGGGACTGGGGGCTCTGGGGACACGGGGAGGCTCAGGGGACGCGGAGGGGACATCAGGGGACACCGGGGGGCTCAGGGGGACTGGGGGTACACCTGGGGGCACAGGGGCTCAGGGGACACGGGGGTGCACCGAGGACATAGGGGGCACCGGGGGGATTGGAGGGCTCAGGGGACACGGGGGACATTGGGGAAAATTAGGGGCTCAGGGGACACGGGGGGGCATTGAGAGGGATTGGGGGCTCATGGGACACGGGGGACACCAGGGGACTGGGGGCTCATGGGACACGGGGGGCAGCAGGGGGGATTGGGGGGCTCAGGGGAGGTTTGACCCCTTTCCCTGGCATTTCACGACCCAGGAGTGACCACTTTTCCCAGAATTTTGTGTCCCAGGATTGGACTCCTTTGCCCCCCCGCCCCGCCAGTCTTTGTGCCCCGGGATTGACCCTCTTTCCCCAGGATTTCACCCCTCAGGATCTCCCCTTTTTCCCATAATTTCGCCCTGCAGTATCTCCCTCTTTTCCTGGAATTTCACCCCTCAGGATCTCCCCTTTTTCCCATCATTTCACCCCACAGGATCTCCCCCTTTCCCAGGATTTCACCCCTCAGGATCTCTCCCTTTTCCCCACAATTTCCCCCCTCAGGATATCCCCATTTCCCCAGGATTTCAACCCTCAGGTTTTCCCCCTTTCCCCAGGATTTCACCCTGCAATATCTCCCCCTTTTCCCCATAATTTCCCCCCTCAGGATCTCCCATTTTCCCCAGAATTTCCCCCCTCAGGATCTCTCATTTTCCCCAGAATTTCACCCCTCAGCTTCTCCCCTTTTTCAGGATCTCTCCTTTTTCCACGATTTCACCCCTCAGGTTTTCCCCCTTTCCCCAGGATTTCACCCTGCAGGATCTCCCCCTTTTTGCAGGATTTCACCCCTCAGGATCTCCCATTTTCCCCAGGATTTCACCCCTCAGGTTTTCCCCCTTTCCCCAGGATCTCCCCCTTTCTCAGGATCTCCCCCTTTCCCAGGATTTCACTCCTCAGGATCTCTCCCATTTTCCCCATAATTTCCCCCATCAGGATCTCCCCCTTTCCCCAGGATTTCACCCCTCAGGATCTCCCCCTTTCCCCAGGATTTCACGCCTCAGGTTTTCCCCCTTTTCCCAGGATTTCACCCCTCAGGATCTCCCCCTTTCCCCAGGATTTCCCCCCTCAGGATCTCCTCCTTTCCCCACAATTTCACCCCTCAGGATCTCCCCTTTCCCCAGAATTTCACCCCTCAGGATCTCCCCATCTTCCCCAGGATTTCCCCCTCAGGATCTCCCCTTTTTCCCCAGGATTTCACCCCTCAGGATCTCCCCCTTTCCCAGGATTTCCCCCCTCAGGATCTCTCCCATTTTCCCCACAATTTCCCCCCTGAGGATCTCCCCTTTCCCCAGGCCCCCTTTTCCCCATGGAGGAGCGCCAGGCCGTGCTGGCCGTGGCCCAGGAGCTGCCAGAGGAGGAATTCCAGGCGCTGAAGGTGCTGCTGGAGGGGCAGATCCCGGGGGGGCTCCTGATCCCGGCGTCGCGCCCGGAGCTTTGCCGGCTCCTCCTGCAGCGCTTCCCGGGCCGGGCCCGGGCCGTGCTCGCCGGGACCCTCGGGCAGCTCGGCCGCCCCGACCTCATCCAGCGCTTCCAGCTGCCCCTGGAACGGCAAATCCCACCGGGAACCCCCAACGGAGCCGCCCCAAACCCCGCCGGGAAGCAGCAATCCCAGGGAGAACAGGAGAACCCCCAGGGAATCCCCAACGGGGATCCCGCCGGTTCTCCGGGACCCCCAAATCCCGTCGGGAACTCCCGGCTGCTGACGGAGAGGGATCTGATGCAGATCGCGCGGCTGCTGGGCCGGGAGTGGCAGGAGGTGGGAATTCTGTGCCTGGGAATGGAGCGGAGCCGCCTGGAGCAGATCCAGGAGGAGAATCCCGGCGCTCCCGTCCTCTGGAGTTTCCAGATGCTGCGGGAGTGGCGGCGGCGGGAGCGCCACGAGGCCACGGCGCGGCGGCTCCGCTGCCACCTGGAGCCCGTCCCGCTGGATCCCGGGATCCTCCACCTGCTGCGGAGCCTCGAGGGGCCCTGAGGGACCCCCCGGGACGCTCCCGGCCCTTGGGGTCACGATGGGGACCATTAAATGGGGTTTTATTCCACACGGGGGGAGCTCTGGCGTCGTTCCTGATCCGATTTTATGGGACTGGGGGGGATTTCGGGAGGTTTTTAGGGGATTTTGGGGGATTTGGGAAGATTGGGAGGATTTGCGGGATTTTTTTTGGGATTTAGGGGGATTTTTTAGGATTTTTTTGGATTTTTTGGGATTTTTGGGGATTTTGAGGAAGGATTAGGCAGAGGGGTCGAAGGGGTTTTGGAGGATTTTTTGGGGGGATTTTGGGGGATTTGGGAAGATTGGCGGGATTTGCGGGATTTTTTTTGGGGATTTTTTAGGATTTTTTTTGATTTTGAGGAGGGATTGGGGAGAGGGGTCAAAGGGGTTTTGGGGGATTTTGTGGGGGATTTTGTGGGGGATTTTTTTGGATTTTTGGGATTTTTTGCTGGATTTTGAGGAGGGATTGGGGAGAGGGGTCAAAGGGCTTTTGGAGGATTTTTTTGGGGATTTTGGGGGGATTTTAGGAGAGTTGGGAGGATTTGGGCTGGATTTGCAGGATTTTTTGAGGGATTTTTTAGGATTTTTTTGGGATTTTTTGGGATTTTGAAGAGGGATCAGGGGGAGGGGTCAAAGGGGTTTTGGAGGATTTTTTGGGGGGATTTTTGGGGATTTGGGAGAATTGGGGGGAATTTGCAGGATTTTTTGGGGGGGATTTGGGGGGATTTTTTGGGATTTTTTTTTATTTTGAGGAGGGATTGGGGGAGGGGTTGAAGGGCTTTTGGAGGATTTTTTGGGGGATTTTGTGGGGATTTTGGGGGATTTGGGAAGATTGGGAGGATTTGCGGGATTTTTTTTGGGATTTGGGGGGATTTTTTAGGATTTTTTTGGATTTTTTGGGATTTTTGGGGATTTTGAGGAAGGATTAGGGAGAGGGGTTGAAGGGGTTTTGGAGGATTTTTTGGGGGGATTTTGGGGGATTTGGGAAGATTGGCGGGGAATTTGCGGGATTTTTTGGGGGGATTTTTTAGGATTTTGTAGGATTTTTTTTTATTTTGAGGAGGGATTGGGGGAGGGGTTGAAGGGCTTTTGAAGGATTTTTTTGGGGATTTTGTGGTGGATTTTTTAGGATTTTTTGGGATTTTTGGGGATTTTGAGGAGGGATTGGGGGGAGGGGTCGAAGGGGTTTTGGAGGATTATTTGTGGGGAATTCCAGGGGGATTTTAGGGGATTTGGGAAGATTGGGGGGATTTGCAGGATTTTTTGGGATTTGGAGGGATTTTTTAGGATTTTTTGGGAGATTTTGAGGAAGGATTAGGGGGAGGGGTCAGAAGGGCTTTTGGAGGATTTTTTTGGGGATTTTGTGGGGGATTTCAGGGGGATTTGGGGGATTTGCAGGATTTTTTTGGGGGGATTTTTTAGGATTTTTTGGGGATTTTTTTGGATTTTGAGGAGGGATTGGGGGGAGGGGTCAGAAAGAGTTTTGGAGGATTTTTTGGGGGGATTTTATGGGGGATTTTTGGGGATTTGGGAGGATTGGGGGAGGATTTGCAGGATTTTTTGGAGGGACTTGGGGGGATTTTTTAGGATTTTTTGGGATTTTTTTTGGATTTTTGGGGATTTTGAGGAGGGATTGGGGGAGGGGTCGAAGGGCTTTTGAAGGATTTTTTGGGGGATTTGGGGGGATTAGGGGGGGATTTGCAGGATTTTTTTGGGGGGATTTTTTGGGATTTTGAGGAGGGATGGGGGAGAGGGGTCGGAAGGGGTTTTGGAGGATTTTTTGGGGGATTTTTTTGGATTTTTTTGGGGGGATTTTTTGCTGTTAGGGTGTTCGCATATCCCATCCCAAATTCCAACCTCTGGAGCTTCCAGAAGCCTCGGGAATGTCGGGAGAATCCCGAGGGTACCGGATTGTGACTCTGGGATCCTCCACCTGCTCTGGAGCCTTGAGGGACCCCCAGGGACACTTTGGGGGCTTGGGGTCGATTGGGGACCATTAAATGGGGTTTTGTTCCACGAGGGTGGAGTTCTGGGGTAATTCCTGATTGAATTTGGGATACAGGAACATTAAATGGGGCTTATTCCATGGAAATTTGGGGTCATATTGAAGTTAATTTAACTGGGTCATTCCCAGTTAAACTTTGGGGGATTTGGGGGGGATTTCTAGAGGATTTTGAGGGATCTGGAGGCATTTTGGGGTGATTTTTTTTTTTTTTTTTTTAGGATTTTTGGGGTGGATTTTTGTGGATTTGGGGGGATTTTTAGGGGAGATTTTGGGGGCATTTGGGGGCACTTTTTGGCAGGATTTTTGGGTGACTTTTTGATTTGAAGGGATTTTTTTTGGGGGGAGATTTAAGGGGGGATTTGGGAGGATTTCAGAGGGGGATTTGGGGGATTCTTTTTTTTTTTATTTGGGGGTGCTTTTTAAGATTTCTTGGGATTGGAGGAGATTTTGAGAAGGGATTGGGAAGGGCTGAAGGGGTTTTGGAGGGAAATTCAGCGAGGGGGAAGTGGTGGATTTTGGGGCCTCACCTGCAATATTGGACACCAGTGACCAGTGGGGCCCTCAGGGTCCAAACTGGGACCAGTGGGATTTAAAATCTGCATTGATGGCACGGACAGAGGGGTCGAGGGACCCTCAGCAGGTGACACCCCTGGAGGGGCTGCAGGGGGAGGGGCTGGCCATGACCCAGCCCAGAGACCCCCAGTGGGTTTCCCAGAGCAGCTGAGGCTGCCCCGGATCCCTGGGAGTGTCCAAGGCCGGGTTGGAGCCTCCTGGGATAGCGGGAGGGGTCCCTGCCCACAGCACGGGGGGAGACAGGACAGGCTTTAAAGTCCCTTCCCACCCAAAGCATTGCCTGATCCCCCACAGATCCCCCACAGATCCCCTACAGATCCCCCATAGATCCCCCATAGATCTCCTATAGATCTCCTATAGATCCCCTATAGATCCCCTATATCCCCCATAGATCCCCCATAGATCCCCCATAGCCCCATAGCCCCCATAGATCCCCCACAGATCCCCTATAGATCCCCCATAGCCCCCATAGATCCCCTATAGATCCCCTATAGATCCCCTATACATCCCCCATAGATCCCCCATAGATCCCCCATAGCCCCATAGATCCCCATAGATCCCCATAGCCCCACAGCCCCATAGCCCCATAAATCCCCATAGATCCCCATAGATCCCCCATAGCCCCATAGCCCCACAGATCCCCTATAGATCCCCATAGCCCCACAGATCCCTATAGATCCCCATAGCCCCCATAGCCCCATAGATCCCCATAGCCCCATAGCCCCCATAGATCCCCCACAGATCCCCCATAGATCCCCTATAGATCCCCTACAGATCCCCCATAGATCCCCTATAGATCCCCCACAGATCCCCTATAGATCCCCCATAGATCCCCTATAGATCCCCCACAGATCCCCTATAGATCCCCCATAGATCCCCTATAGATCCCCTACAGATCCCCCATAGATCCCCTATAGATCCCCCACAGATCCCCTATAGATCCCCCATAGATCCCCTATAGATCCCCACAGATCCCCCATAGATCCCCTATAGATCCCCCATATCCCGCCTCCCTTCCGGACTTCATTTCCCATGGTGCCCCTCGGCCCCTCCCCCGCGGGACTCCGTTTCCCGTGGTGCCGCGGGGCGGGGCGGTGCCGGTCACGTGAGCCCGGCCGGCTATAAAGGCGCGGGCGCAGCGGCCGCGGCCCCATTGTTGTCGGAGCGCGCGGTGGGGCCGGAGCGGCCCCGCCCCCCCAAAACCGCCCCCCTCAGGGCCGGGACCCGCCAAAAACACCCCACAGACCCCCAAACCCCCGGGCACCGGTGAGTGCAGGGCACACCGGGGAGGGGCGGGCAGGCCGCGGGGCCGCCGCCCGTTTGGGGGAGGGGGCTGTGGGGGACACGAGGGCCTATAGGGGCTATATAGGGCCTGTGGAGGGTGCGGGGCCTTCCGGCTGGGAGGAGTGGGGGGCTATGGGGGACACTGGGTCTATACAGGGTGTGGGTCCCTGCAGCTGGGACAAATGGGGGGCTCTTAGAGATGGGGGCTATAGAGGACGTTGGGGGCTGTAGGGGACACTGGAGGCTATAGAGGGTATGGGGGTATAGGGGAGCTGTAGGGGATGGGAAGAGCTCAGAGCAGATCCGAGAGCAGGGGGAGCAGCTGTAAGAGGTGAGGGGGCTATAGGGGACATTGGGGGCTGTAGGGTATGGGGGCTATAGGGGATGGGGGATCATTGGGGGGGGGCACCCTACAGCTGTGGGGGCTGTAGGGGATATGGGGGGCTGTAGAGGATATGGGGCGAGGTATGGAGGGGATGGGTGGGCCTTGCAGCTGTAGGGGATGATGTTATAGCTGGGGAGGGCTACAGAGGGTCCTGGGGGGCTGTAGGGGATGGGAGGATTTTATATCTGGGGGGGCTCTGGGGTTGGTTTATGGCTGGGGGGTGGCTGTAAGAGCTGGGGGGGCTCTATAGTGGCTATGGGGGGCTCTATAGTGGCTCTGGGGGGCTCTATAGTGGCTCTGGGGGGCTCTATAGTGGCTCTGGGGAGCTCTATAGTGGCTCTGGGGGGCTCTATAGTGGCTCTGGGGGCTCTATAGGCCTGGGAGCTCTATAGTGGCTCTGGGGGCTCTATAGGGGCTCTGGGGAGCTCTATAGTGGCTATGGGGGGCTCTGTAGTGGCTATGGGGGCGTTGCAGCTGCAGGGAAGGATCTTGCAGCTGGAGGGGCTGTAGGGGGTGGTCTTATAGCTGAGGGGGGGCTATAGGGGATGGGGCCTATAGGACTTGTGGGGGGGCTATAGGGGATGTGGTGGGGTGTGGCCTTACAGCTGTCCCTGTGGAGGGGGAGCACAGGGGCCTCTTTGGGGTGGGGATGATGATGATGATGATGATGATGATGGGGGGACACACCTGGAGGGGGGAGGGGCCCACTCAGATGACCCCAAATGTGTGGGGGGAGGGGATGATTTGGGCAGGTCCCCCTCTCCAGGGGCTCCCCCCAGCCCGGGATGATTCCAGGGGCTCCCAGGGGGACCTGGGGGATGGGGGGGAACACGGGGGACCCTCCCGGACCATCAGGAGGAGCAGGACAGGGGGGACCCCCCAGGATGGGCTCCTGCTGCCCCCCCAAACCTGGGCCAGGACCCTTCTCCCAAAAAGGGTAGGATGGGAATTCCCAACCCATGGATTCAGGGTGAAATCCACCTTTTTTGGGTTTTTTTTTTTGGAAGGGAAGTGCTGAATCCTGGGGGGAAAGGGGGAGAAAAGCAGGAAGGAAGGAGCTGATCCTGATCCCAATCCCAGGGGGAGCGGAGGCAGAAAATTCCACTCCCCCTCTTCCAGAACCCCCAAATCCTCCCAATATCCCCTAAAAACACCTTTCCATGGAAAAGTAAGGATGGAGCCACGGGGGGATCCCCCCACCTGACAAAATCCATGAAACCTGGATCCTCCCCTTGGATCCACCGGGATGGGACTGCCCTTCCCACCCTCCCGAGAAAGGCCCAGGTTATCCCAACTCCTCCTTTTCCCGGGATAAAAAAGCTCCTGGGAGAGTCAGAACGGGGGGAAACCATAAAATCTGCCAATCCCAGGTTTCCAGGGGGTTTCCCAGTTCCAAGCTGGAGGGAATTTGGGATGAGGGAGGAAAAATGGAGTCAAACGCTGAGGGAGGGGCCGTGGGAACCGGAGAATTCCCGTTGTTTTCCAGGATTAATCCCCATCCCACCTGCTCCAGGTGAGTGCAAACCCCCAGAATTCTGGAGCAGTGAACCCTTTTATTTCCAGCCGTTCTTGGAAATCGGGATGAGCATTCCAGTTTTCCAGCTCTCTGGGTTCTGTGATGGCTTCCAAAAATCCCACTGGGATTGGGATTGGGATCAGGATCAGCTCCTTCCTTCCTGCTTTTCCCCCCAGGATTCAGCACTTCCCTTCCCAGAAAAAAACCCAAAAAAGGCTGGATTTTACCCTGAATCTGTGAGCTGGGAATTCCCATCCTGCCATGTTTGGGAGAAGGGCCCCAACCTTCCCTTCCAGATGGATCTGGATCCATCAGTGCCTCCTGCCCCCAATCCCGCTGGATCCAGGTGTATCCAAGAGGGATTCCAAATCCTTCCTGGGAGTTTCCCAATGGGAATCCACTCCCAAAATCCCTTGGCCCAACCTGAAGCTTCCCCAAAATCCCAGATATTCCCATTGGATGTCGGGGATTTTTGGAGCCTTTGGGGATCAAGGGGATGGGTAGGCAGGAAAATCCCAGAGGGGCTCCTCCCTAATCCCACACTGGGAATTCCTGGAGCATCCCAAGGCTTTCCCAAACTTTGGGGAATTGCAGGGAGGGATCAGGTTATTCCAGGGGTGAAACCTTTCCTTAAAAAATGGGGATTTCCTTTGGGTTTGGGTGAATTCCATCCCGGAAGGGAAAGGTTGGGATGGAGTGGGGGGGTTGGAGCATTCCCAAAATTCCGGGATAACGCCAATCACCGTTATCTCCATGGCCATCCCTCCCGGGCTGGCTCTGGGGGTTTCTGTGGGATCAGAGGGTGGAAGTGCCGGGAATTCCATCGGGAATTCCATCGGGGGATTCCTCGCTGTCCGCAGGGCTCTCCATGCGCCCCCCATGGCCACGCTGCGGGATGAGGGAGCGGCAGGAGCGGCGGGATCTTTGGGATCCTCGGGATCGGCGGGGTCGCCGTCGGACGACGAGATGGCCACGAGCGACAGCGGCGACAGCTGCGACAGCGGCGGCTCCGCCAGCGCCGGCCGTGAGTGCTGAGGGGGACGGGGATTTGGGGGAGTCTTGGGGATTTGGGGGATTTTTTGGGTTTTTTGGGGGAATTTTTGGGGTTTTTTTGGGGAATTTTTGTTTTTTTTTGGGGAATTTTGGGGGTTTTTTTGGGAATTTTTGGGGTTTTTTGGGGAAATTTTAAGGCATTTTTTAGGCATTTCTGAGGAATTTCATAGTGATTTTTAAGGTACTGCTGGGGAGTTTTTGGGGAGTTTTTGGGGAGTTTTTGGAGAATTTTGGGGGAATTTTTTGGCTTTTTTGGGGTGTTTTTTGGCAGTTTTGAGGCATTTCTGAGGAATTTCTTAGCAAGGTTATAGGGATTTTTCAGGCAGTTTTTTGTGAATTTTTAGGAATTTTCCAGGAATTTTGGGGATTTTTTAGGCATTTTTTTAGAAGTTCTTTAGGAATTTTCTGGAAATTATTGGGGACTTTTTAAGCATTTTTTTTAGGAATTTCTTTGGAATTTCTTAGCGATTTTTTAGGCGGTTGTTAGGCACTTTAAAAGAATTTTTGGGGAAATTTTTAGGAATTTTTCGGGAATCTTTTAGGAATATTTTTGGGAATTTTTTAGGAATATTTTTGGGACATTTTTAGGACTTTTTGGGGAATATTTTAGGAATTTTCTTAGGCATTTCTTAGGAATTTCTTAGGAAGTTCTTAGGCACGTTTTAGGAATTTTTTTTAATTTTGGAGGATTTTTTTGAATTTCTTTTGAATTTTTAAAATTCTTTTGAAATTTTTTTGAATGTTGGGGGAAATTTTCGGGAGTTTTTCAGGAATTTTTCAGGAATTTTCCAGTAATTTTTCAGGGATTTTTTAGGGATTTTTAAAATTTTATTTAATTTTTAAATTTTTTAAATTTTCTTTTTTTTGGGGGGTAGGGATTTCCTTTAGATTTTGGTGGGGTTTTCTGGCTTTTGTGGTTTTTTTTAGAATTTGTGGGATTTTGGGGCAATTTGTAATGATTTTGGGGCAATTCCAGCATGTTCAGGTCATGGTGGGGATTTTGGGGGGAGGGAATTTTGGGGCACTTTATGAATTTCTTGTAATTATTTTGCAGCATTTTGGGATTTTGGGGGGAGATTTGGGGTTTTTTTGGTGGAGTTTTAGGGAATGTTTGGGAATTTTGGTTTTTTAAGTTTTGGGAGATTTGGGGGAAATTTTAGAGGTTTTTTTGTTTGTTTAGTGGAATTTTTTTGAGATTTGGGGCATTTGCGGAAATCTTTGACTTTGGAGAAGTTTTGGGAGGTTTTTTGTTTTCAGTGAATTATTGGAGGAGGTTTTTTGGTGAATTTTTGGAATTTTGGGGACATTGAGGATTTTTTGTAATTTGTGGAGAATTTGGAATTTGGGAATTTTGTTTTAATTTGTGGTTTTTACCACATTCTTTGGGCATTTGGGGGATTTTTGAGGAATTTTTTTTGATTTTTGGGGTGCTGTGGTGGCACCCCCTGTCCCCCCTATGTGGTGACATTGCCCCCTGTGGTGACCCCCCCTGTAACCTCCCTCCGTGGTGACAACCCCTGTCCCGTGTGGTGACACCCCCCTGTCTCCCCTGTGTAGTGACATTGTCCCCATGGTGACCCCACTGTCCCTGTGGTGACCCTGCTGTCCCCCATGTAGTGACACTGTCCCTGTTGTGACCCCGCTGTCCATGTGTGGTGATGTTGTCCCTGTCCCCCGGTGTCCCTGTGTGGTGACATTGTCCTCGGTGTCCCCCCAGCCCCGTCCATCCTGCAGCGCTCCCGGTGCCACCCCGGGAAGCGGATGTGACATTGTCCCTGGTGTCCCCTGTGTGCTGACATTGTCCCTGTCCCCACAGCCCCGTCCATCCTGCGCCGCTCCTGCAGCCGCCCCAGGAAGCGGGCATGACACTGTTCCTGGTGTCCCCTGTGTGCTGACATTGTCCCTGTCCCCCCAGCCCCGTCCATCCTGCACCGTTCCCGGTGCCACCCCAGGAAGCGTGTTCACTTCGCCCAGGTCACCGTGTGGTGACATTGTCCCTGTCCCCACAGCCCCGTCCATCCTGCACTGTTCCCGGAGCCACCCCAGGAAGCGGGCGTGACACTGTCCCTGGTGTCCCCTGTGTGATGACATTGTCCCTGGTGTCCCCGCAGCCCCGTCCATCCTGCGGCGCTCCCGCAGCCGCCCCGGGAAGCGGGTGTGACATTGTCCCTGGTGTCCCCATGGTGACAGTGTCCTTGGTGTCCCCTGTGTGGTGACAGTGTCCCTGCTGTCCCCGGTGTCCCCATGGTGACTGTCCCTGTCCCCCCAGCCCCGTCCATCCTGCGCCGTTCCCGCAGCCGCCCCAGGAAGCGGCTGTGACAGTGTCCCCAGTGTCCGCTGACATTGTCCCTGTGGTGACCTTGTCCCTGTCCCCATGGTGACAGTGTCCCTGTCCCTGGTGTCCCCATGGTGACAGTGTCCCTGGTGTCCCCATGGTGACAGTGTCCCTGTCCCTGGTGTCCCCGTGGTGACATTGTCCCTGGTGTCCCCGCAGCCCCGTCCATCCTGCGGCGCTCCCGCAGCCACCCCGGGAAGCGGGTGTGACAGTGTCCCTGGTGTCCCCATGGTGACATTGTCCCTGTGGTGTCCCCATGGTGACAGTGTCCCTGGTGTCCCCATGGTGACAGTGTCCCTGTGGTGACATTGTCCCTGTCCCCATGGTGACATTGTCCCTGTCCCTGGTGTCCCCATGGTGACAGTGTCCCCATGGTGACAGTGTCCCTGGTGTCCCCATGGTGACAGTGTCCCTGGTGTCCCCCCAGCCCCGTCCATCCTGCACCGTTCCCGCAGCCGCCCCGGGAAGCGGTTGTGACAGTGTCCCTGTGTGCTGACATTGTCCCTGTGGTGACATTGTCCCTGTCCCCATGGTGACAGTGTCCCTGCTGTCCCCCAGCCCCGTCCATCCTGCGGCGCTCCCGCAGCCGCCCCGGGAAGCGGGTGTGACATTGTCCCTTGTCCCCGTGGTGACATTGTCCCTGTGTCCCCATGGTGACATTGTCCCTGTGTCCCCATGGTGACAGTGTCCCCATGGTGACAGTGTCCCTGTCCCCGTGGTGACATTGTCCCTGGTGTCCCCCCAGCCCCGTCCATCCTGCGGCGCTCCCGCAGCCGCCCCGGGAAGCGGGTGCGCTTGCCCAGGTCACCGTGTACTACTTTGCGCGCCGCCAGGGCTTCACCTGCGTGCCCAGCGCGGGCGGCAGCTCCCTGGGCATGGCCCCCCGGCACCACCGCGCCCGCAGGTACAGCCTCAGCCAGTTCGCACACCTGCGCCAGGTGAGCCACCGGCAGCACCTGCGCCAGCACCTGCGCAGGGAGAAGCTGCGCGCCAGGAGGAGGGAGGTGAGTGGGGGGGACACCTCTGGGGGGGGACACCTGAGGGGGGAATACCTGGAGGGAATAACACCTGGGTGGGGGGAAATACCTGTGGGGGGGGATCACCTGTGGGAGAAGCACTGGGGAGGGGGGAAGCACTAGAGGAGGGGAACACCTGAAGGGGGAAACACCTGGGTAGGGGGAAATACCTGGAGGGGAAACACCTTGGGGGGGGAACACCTTGGGGGAGGACACCATGGGCGGGAGGAAACACTTTGGAGGGTAAGCACCTGGGGAGGGGGAGGTGGGGAAACACCTTCAAGGGGGAACACCTGGACGGGTCTGGGGAGGGGCAGGTTGTGGGACAGTCCAGGTGGGAAGCCCTGAGGGACACCTGGGGCTGACCAGGAGGAAACAGCTGGGTGGGGTTTGGGGGTGACGGGTACTGGGGAGGAATCCAGGTGGGAAACACCTGGATGGGGTTTGAGGGGACAAGCCCAGTGTGGGGTGGGCCCAGGAGCCCGGTGGGGGGGACACACACACCTGCACAGGTGTTGGGGGAAGTCCAGGTGGGAGGGATGGACATCTGCTCAGGTGACCCCCGGGTGGAAAACACACCTGCTCAGGTGCCCTGGGTGTGACACACACCTACACAGGTGTCCCTGGGTGTGACAAACCTACTCAGGTGTCCCTGGGTGCCCCCTGGCTGTGCCACACCTGCTCAGGTGCCCCCTGTGTGACCACACCTGCACAGGTGTCCCTGGCTGTGCCACACCTGCACAGGTGTCCTTGGCTGTGCCACACCTGCTCAGGTGCCCCCCCTGTGCCCCCAGCTGACGCAGAACGGGGCGGTGCCGTCGGCCGAGGCCGCGGGGCTCACCTTGGCGGACGTGTCTGAGGACGAGCTGGACGCGGGGCAGGTGGAGGTGGGCGATTATTTCTACCTGCAGCCGCTGCCCACCAAGCGGCGCCGGGCGCTGCTCCGCGCCTCGGGCGTGCGCCGCATCGACGCCGAGGAGCGCCAGGAGCTGCGGGCCCTGCGCCTGTCCCGAGAGCAGTGCGGCTGCCTCTGCCGCCTCACCTGCGAGCCACGCACCTGCGCCTGCAGCCAGGCCGGCATCCAGTGCCAGGTGAGGGCACGGGGGGAGGGCGGGGCAACCAGGGACAGGTGAGACGGCACAGGGCAGGGTGAGGCAACCAGGGCCAGGTGGGGGGCAGAGGGGAGCTGGGAAAGGGTCACCAGGGCCATTTGGGGTCAGCTGGGGCTGCCACACCCGCTGTGTCCGTGCTCCTTGAGGGAGGCCCTGCTGTGTCCCTGTCCTGCTGTGTCCCTGTCCCTGCTGTGTCTCTATCCCTGCTGCGTCCCTGTCCCTGCTGCGTCCCTGTCCCTGCTGCGTCCCTGTCCTTGCTGCGTCCCTGTCCCTGCTGTGTCCCTGTCCCTGCTGTGTCCCTGTCCTTGCTGCGTCCCTGTCCCTGCTGCGTCCCTGTCCCTGCTGTGTCCCTGTCCCTGCTGTGTCCCTGTCCCTGCTGTGTCCCTGTCCCTGCTGTGTCCCTCTCCCTGCTGTGTCCAGCTTCGGGTCCATTACGGGTTTATGTCCCTGCCCGTGGCACATCCGTCTCCCTGTCCCTGTGTGTCCCTGTCCCCATGTGTCCTTGTCCACCACCCTTCCATGTCCACGTCTGTGCTGTCTCTGTGTCCCTGCTGTGCCCAACTTTGTGTCCGTTGTGGGGTCATTGTTTGTCCATCGTGTCCCTCCCTGGGATTTGAGCTCTGGGATCCCCTGGGGGTGATCCTTTGGGATCCCGTGTGACCCCAGCCCAGCCCTGTCCCTGTCCTTTCCTGGGTGGATCCCATCCCAGCCCTGTCCCTCCTGCAGGTGGATCTCAGCCCTGTCCCTGTCCCGGGTGGATCCCAGCCCTGTTCTGGGTTGACCCCATCCTATCCCACCTATCCCTGTACCCCAGGTGGATCCTAACCCTGTCCCTTTCCCAGGTGGATGCCATCCCATCCCATCCATCCCTGTCCCTGTCCCAGGTGGATCCCCTCCCTGTCCCAGGTGGATCCCCTCCCTGTCCCAGGTGGATCCCCTCCCTGACCCAGGTGGATCCCCTCCCTTTCCCAGGTGGATCCCTCCCTTTCCCAGGTGGATCCCCTCCCTGTCCCAGGTGGATCCCACCCCTCCCCTCCTCTCCCCAGGTGGACCGCACGTCGTTCCCGTGCGGCTGCTCGCGGGAGGGCTGTGGGAACGCGTGGGGCCGGATCGAGTTCAACCCCCTGCGGGTGCGCACGCACTTCCTGCACACGCTGATGAAGCTGCAGCTGCAGGGCCGCAGGGGGGGCCGCGACGACGAGCAGGAGCAGCGGGAGGGGGGCGATGGAGCAGCCCCCGGCCCCGCCTGGGCCCCCCCCGAGACTCAGGACTTCCAGGAGTACCTGGCGGAGAACGAGCGGGCGGTGCTGCACCTGCAGACGGCCGAGCGGCTGGACCGGCTCCAGGCCGAGGAGGGCGAGGGGGGCGGGCTCTGCGTCCTGGGGGAGCACCTGGACGGCACCGCCTGGCAGGTGAAGCCCCCCCTGTGCCCACCCGGCCTCGTCCCCTCTCCGTTCCCGCCGGGATCGCCCGTCCTGGGCTTCCCCCCCGAGCAGCCGGCAGGTGGGCACCCAGGTGGGCCCTCAGGTGAGTTCACAGGTGGGCTCCCAGGTGTGCTTACAGGTGTGCCCCCAGGTGGGCTCCCAGGTGAGTTCACAGGTGAGCTCCCAGGTGTGCTTACAGGTTTGCCCCCAGGTGGATCCCCAGGTGAGCTCCCAGGTGGATCCCCAGGTGAGCTCCCAGATGAGTTCACAGCTGGGCTCCCAGGTGTGCTTACAGGTGACCCCCCAGGTGACCCCCCAGGTGAGCCCCCAAATGAGTTCAGAGGTGTGCTCCCAGGTGGGTCCCCAAATGAGTTCAGAGATGGGCTCCCAGGTGTGCTTACAGGGGTGCCCCCAGGTGGGTCCCCAAGTGAGCCCCCAAATGAGTTCACTGGTGTGCCCCCAGGTGAACTCCCAGGTGGGCCCCCAAGTGTGCTTACAGGTGGGCTCCCAAGTGAGTTCCCAGGTGAGCCCCCAGGTGGACTCACCGATGAGTCCCCAGGTGAACTCCCAGGTGTGTCCCCAGGGGAGCCCCCCCGTGTGCCCCCAGCCCCACCTGGCCGAGGTCCCCGCTGGGCCCCACTGGCAGGTGCAGCCCCAGGTGGGTGGGGAAGGTGGGAACGGCCCCGAGGAGCCCCCAGCCCCCACCTGCAGCCCCCCCGGGGAGGACCTGGGGGTCCCATCTGCCCCCCCTGCTGAGAGCAAGGGGGGGGCTCCCCAAAGCCCCCCGGAGCACCTGGAGCAGGTGGAGCACCTGGAGCTGCCCCCCCTGCCCGTCTGAGCGGCCTCGTCCCCTCCTTATTTATTCCATGGACTGAGGGACTGACTGGGGGGCTGCTCCGCCCTGGGGGGCCACCTGGGCCAGGGCTCCAGGCCCTGCTCACCTGGAGAGACACCTGGGCTGGGACACCTGGAGACACCTGGGCTGGGACACCTGGAGAGACACCTGGGCTGGGACACCTGGAGAGACAGCTGGGCTGGGACACCTGGAGAGTCACCTGGGCTGGGACACCTGAACTGGAGAGACATCTGAGCTGGGACACCTGGACCCTTCCCATCCTCCATCCCACCTGAGCTGGGACAGACCTGAGCTGGAGCCTCCTGGATCCCACTTGGCAGAACTCACCTGTGCACCAGGACGCACCTGAGCTGGGACACCTGGACCCTTCCCATCCTCCATCCTACCTGGGCTGAGACACCTGGACTGGGACACACCTGAGCTGGAGCCTTCTGGGCCATTCCCATTCTCCATCCCACCTGGGCTGGGACACCTGAACTGGAGCCCCCTGGATCCTAGGGCAGCTCCCTCCCACCTGGCAGAGCTCACCTGTACCCGGACACACCTGAGCTGGACCTGCTGGATCCTTCCCATCATCCCTCCCACCTGGGCTGGGACACCTGAGCTGGACCCCTGAGCTGGGACACACCTGGGCTGGGACACCTGGACCCTTCCCATCCTCCATCCCACCTGGGCTGGAGCCTCCTGGATCCCCCCTGGCAGAGACACCTGTGCACCAGGACACACCTGAGCTGGGACACACCTGGGCTGGGACACCTGGACCCTTCCCATCCTCCATCCCAGCTGAGCTGGAGCCTCCTGGATCCCCCCAGGCAGAACTCACCTGAGCTGGACCCCCTGGGTCTCTGGTCCCACCTGGCTGCCCTCCCCTTCCCTGCCCCAGGAGCCCTTCAGGTGTGCCCAGGTGTGCCCATGGATGTGCCATTCCCAGGGAACCCCCGGAATCCCCTCGGGGTCTCCCCAGGTCTCCGCTGGCAGCGAACTGGGCACACTGGGATGGATTCCAGTTCTGGACCCACCTTGGACCGGGAATGATGGAAACCCCTCCGAGCTCTGGAGCTTCCTGGGCTGAAACTCCTCATTTTTGGGGCTTTTCCCTCTTTTTTGGCCCTGGCCAGGGGAGTTCAAGCTGGGCCAGGAGGAATCCCAGGTGGGAGTGGAGGAAAATCGGGATGTGGGGGAGGCCCTGCCTGTTCCCCAGCCCGTCCCAGGCTGGGATCTGCCCCCTGGACACTCCTGGGATCTGCCTCCTGGATCCTGGGATCTGCCCCCTGGACACTCCTGGGATCTCCTCCTGGATCCTGGGATCTGCCCCCTGGACACTCCTGGGATCTCCTCCTGGATCCTGGGATCTGCCCCCTGGACACTCCTGGGATCTCCTCCTGGATCCTGGGATCTGCCCCCTGGACACTCCTGGGATCTCCTCCTGCATCCTGGGATCTGCCCCTGACACTCCTGGGATCTCCTCGATCCTGGGATCTGCCCTGACACTCCTGGGATCTGCTCCTTGGACACTCCTGGGATCTGCCCCCTGGACACTCCTGGGATCTGCCCCTGGATCCTGGGATCTGCTCCTGGATCCTGGGATCTGTTGCTCCCCTGGACACTCCTGGATTCTGGGATCAGGCTCCAGCTGGGGGGGCAGGGCCCCAAATCCCCCCCCAAATCCCGTTTTCCTCTGAATTTTGGGTTTCAGCTCGGGCTTTCCCGGCAGTTTTCCCACACTGGGGTCTGACTCCCCCCGCCAGTCTGGGGGTTCAGCGCTGGGGTCCTGATGCTGCTGGGGGTCTCCTGATGCTGCTGGGGTCCCTGTGCTGGGGTCCCTGGTGCTGGGGGCTGGGGTCCTGATGCTGCTGGGGTCCCTGGGCCGCTGGGGGTCTGGTCCCGGTGCTGCTGGGGTCTCCTTCCCAGGAAAGGGGCTTGAGGGGGGGCTGGGGGGTTAAAAACAGGTTTGGGGGGGTCCAAAGGGGCTTTTTTAGGAGTTTCAGAGGGTTCAAAGGAGGAGTTTTAGGGTTTTTTGGGGGGGTTCAAGAGGGTTTAAGGTGTTTCAAAGGGGGGGGGTTAGGGTTTCAGAGGGGGTTTGGGGGGGTTCAAGAGGGTTTTGGGGGGGTTCAAAATGAGGGTTTTAGTGGTTTTTGGGGGGTTTAGGGGGACTTAAAGGGTTTTTAAGGGGGTTCAAAGTGGAGTTTTTAGGGTTTCTGTGGTTTTTTGGGGGGGTTCAAGGGGGTTTCAGGGGGTTTGAAAGGTGGGTTTTAGGGTCTCAGAGGGGTTTGGGGGGGTCAAAATGGGGGTTTTAGTGTGTTTTTGGGGTTTAAGGGGGTTCAAAGGGGCTTTTTAGAGGTTTAAGGGGGTTCAGACAGGGGGGGTTGCGGTTTTTTGGGGAGAATTTAAGGGACTTCAAAGGGATTTTCCAGGGGTCTGAGGGGATTTTAAAGGGATTTTGGGGGATTTAAGGGGGTTCAGAGGGGTTTTCCAGGGGGTTTAGGGGAATTTTAAGGGGGTCAAGGGGGATTTTGGGGATTCAAAGAGGTTTAAAAGCCCTTCAGGTGGGTTCAGAGGAGTTTAAAAGGGTTCAAGTGGGGTTTCAAAAGGCATTTTTTGGGGTTCAGAGCGCTGGTTTTGGGGGTTCTGACGGGGTTCAGGACCTTGGGGGGATTTGAAGAGCTTTGGGAGGGGTCAAAGGGCTTTTTTTAGGGGTTTCAGGGGGCTCAAAGTGGAGTTTTTAGGGTCTCAGTGGTTTTTTTGAGGGGGTACAGGAGGGTTTAAAGGAGTTTTTTGGGGGTCAGAGGGGTTTAAAAAGGGGTTCAGGAGGATTTTGGGATGTCCAGTGAGGGCTCACGGGCTTTTTAAGGACCAAGGGGATTCCAGAGGGCTTTTTGAGGGGTTCAAGGGGGGGGTTAAGGGGCTTTAAAGGGTTTTTTTAGGGGTTTCAGGGGGATCAAATGAGCTTTAAGGGATTTCCAGAGGCTTTTTTAGGGGTCCAAAGTGGGTTTTTTTAGGGGTTCAGAGGGGGGGTTTGGGGCCTTTGAGAGGGTCAGAGGGGTTTAAAAGGGGGTTCAGGGGGTAAAGGAGTTTTTTTGGGGGTCAGAGGGGGTTTAAAGAGGGGTTTAAAGGAATTTTTGGGGGACTCAGGGGTTTAAAGGAGGATTTCAGTGGGGTTTTAGGGGTTTCAATGAGTTTTTTTGGGGGCAGGGGGTTTTAGGGGGTTTAAAGGAGTTTTTGGGGGTTAGGGGTTTAAGGGAGTTTTTGGGGGTTAGGGGTTTAAGGGAGTTATTTTGGGGTCAGCGGGGTTTAAATGAGGTTTTTTGGGGTGTCATGGAGGTTTTAGGGGGTTTAAAGGAGTTTTTTTGGGGGGCAGGGGGGTTTTAGGGGGATTTCAATGAGTTTTTTTGGGTGTCATGGGAGTTTTAGGGGGTTTAAATGAGTTTTTTGGGGGTTTTAGGGGGTTTCAATGAGTTTTTTGGGGGGTCAGGGGGGTTTCAGGGGGTTCAAAGCCCCCCCCCGTGCCGGCTCCCCCCGGGTGGTGCCTCCCAGGGCCCGGCATTCCCGGGATCTCTCCTGGCTTTTCCCTCCCCGGGGTGGATTTGGAGGGATTTTTGCTGCTCGGGGTTTTTGGGATCCTCGTTGGTGCTGCCCCTCCCCCCCCCCGGGCTGGGGGTCCCCAAAAAGGCTCTGCCCCCCCAAAGTGGCTTCGCAGCTTCTGGTCCCGATTTTGTTCCTTTTTAAGTTATTTTGGAATTTCCTTTTTAGTTTATTTTTATTTCCTTTTTATTTCCCATTGTTTTATTTCCTCTTTTTTTTTTATCCCCTTTTTATTCCTTTTTTTCTCTTTGTGTAACTTAATTCCACTTTACTTTCTGTTTTAATTTTTATTTCTTTATGTAAGTTTTATTTGCATTTGTTTATTTTTAATTCATTTTTCCTCCTTTCTCCCTTTTTTATTTTGTTTATTTCCTTTTTATTTCCCTTTGATTTCCTTTTGCTTCCTTTTTAATTTTAATTCCCTTTTTTGTTTTTTATCTCTTTATGTAACTCTTAATTTTGTTTTTCTTTTTTTATTTTCTTACGCAACTTTTAACTCATTTTTTTCCACTTTTAATTTTCATTCTGTAATTTTCTAATGTTTTTCTTTCACTTTTAATTTTCCCTTCTTTTTATAATTTTTAATTCCTCTTTGTAACTTTTAATTTAACTTATCTTTCCTTATCAATTTTCAATTTCCATTTTTAATTTAATTTTTACTTCTTTATGTATTTTTTAATTCCAGTTTTAATTCAGTTTTTGTTTCCTTTTTGCCTCCTTTTTTCTTTCAATATTTCCTTTTTCATTTCCTTTTTTATTCCAAATTTCCTTTTTTATTCCGAATTTCGTTTTTTATTCCAAATTCCCTTTTTTCTTTCAATATTTTCCTCCTGAATTCCCTTTGAATTCCACATTTAATCCCCCTGGGACTCCAAAGCTTCTCCCCTGATCCCTTTTCCTGCTTCCCAGGGCTCTGCTGTATTTAAAGAGAATATTTAAGTGGAGAAATAAAAGAAATGGTTAAACTTGGCAGGGAGTTGTGGCTTCAGGGGGGGCAAATCCACGGAAATCGGGGTGAAACTCACGGAATTTGGCCGAAAGTCACAAAATTCGGGTGAAATCCACTCGAATTTGGGGTGAAATCCATTGAAATTGTGGTTTAATTCACGAAACTTGGGTTAAATTCACACAAATTTGGGTTAAATCCACAGACATTTGGATTAAATCCGTTGAAATTTGGGTTAAATTCACAGGAATTTGGGTCTAAGTCCACACAAATTTGGGTTAAAGACCTTGAAATGGGGTTCGAATTCACACAATTTGGGTTAAATCCACATGAATTTGGGTTTAATCTATGGATATTTAGGTTAAATCCCCAAAAATGGGGTTAAATCCCACAAAGTTTGGGTTAAATCCATTGAAACTTGGGTTACATTCCCAAAATTTGGGTTAAATCCACTGAAATTGGATTTGGAATCCCAGCACATCCCAAACCAATCCTAGGACATTTGAAACCAATACCAGGACATCCCACCCTGTCTCATCCCATCCCATCCCATCAATCCCATCCCATCAATCCCATCCCATCCCATCCCATCCCATCAATCCCATCAATCCCATCCCATCAATCCCATCCCATCATTCCCAATCCCATCCCATCAATCCCATCCCATCCCATCAATCCCATCCCATCATTCCCAATCCCATCAATCCCATCCCATCATTCCCAATCCCATCCCATCCTATCCCATCCCATCCCATCCCATCCCATCAATCCCATCCCATCCCATCAATCCCATCCCATCCCATCCCATCAATCTCATCCCATCCATCCCATCAATCCCATCCCATCCAATCCCATCCCATCCCATCAATCCCATCCCATCCCATCAATCCCATCCCATCATTCCCAATCCCATCAATCCCATCCCATCATTCCCAATCCCATCCCATCATTCCCAATCCCATCCCCTCCCATCGCGGTCCCGGCGTGGCGTTCCCGTTGCCATGGTGACCGCGAGCCCGCGCTCTCGCGAGAGTTGGGGCGGGGTTTGGCCCCGCAGAACTCCCGCCCCGGCCACGCCCACTCTGCAACACGTCATTGTAGCCACGCCCACAAAGAGCGCGCCTCGTCACCGGCCCCTCCCACCGTGTCACGTGACGAACGGGGGTTTCATCAGCCTTTTGTTTTGGGGGTCTCCCGGAACCCGCGACCCCCGTTATGGGTCCGTCTGCCCCACCGCGGGACCCCCGAGCCCGACCCGCCTGTCCCACCATGGGACCCCGGAGCCCGACCCCCTGTCCCGTTCTGGACCCCCGAGCCTGACCCCTCTGTCCTGTTCTGGACCCCCGAGCCCAACCCGCCTGTCCCGTTATGGGATTTTCCCTGGAATTCTCATCGCTCTCCTTTTACCCGCGCTCACTTTTCCAGCCCCAGCCCCGCCCACGACCCCGCCCCCCTCATCAACCATTCATATATTCACGGCACAGGCCGCGCCCTCTGCCTTGGCCACGCCCACGCAGCCAGTCTGGTGACACTCGGAATCTCCTGGCCCCGCCCCCGGCTCTGGCCACGCCCCTCAGCTATTACCGAGTACTGACCCCGCCCACCATTCATCTCCCGCCCCGCCCCTTTTCCCGCCCCTCCTGCCGTGCCCCGCGCGCCGGCCCCGCCCCTGCCCCCGCCCCCAGTCCCTCCCAGTCCGCCCAGTCCTGCCATGCGGCTCCGGCTGTCCCTGGGCGCTCCCGCCGCCCTCAAGGTGTTCGCAGCCGCCGGCGCCGCGGCCGCGCCCCTGGGGACACACCTGGGCGGCCCCGCAGGTGAGCGGGGGCCGACCCTCCCCACACCCCCGGTGGGTCCGGCGACCCCGCCCCCGAGCGGACCCTGGCCTGACCCCCACCCCCGAGCGGCCCCTGACGGTCGATCCCTCTGGACCCCGGACGGGTCTGATCCCTCCCCGGACCCCGACGGTCTGATCCTCCCGGGACCCCGACGGGTCTGATCCTCCTCCCCCGGTGTGTCCCCCTCCCAGAGCGGCCCTGCGGCCCCCTGGCCCCCTGGCTGGAGCTGGAGCTGGAGAGCGGCACCGTCCTCTTCTCGCCCAACGCCATCTGCCAGTGAGTGCCGGGGCTGCGACCCCAGAGCCCCCTGACCTCCCCTGAACACCCCCTGACCCTCCGAAATCACCCTTAATCCCTCCAAACCCCTGACCCTCCAAAATCAACCTTGATCCCCCAAACACCCCCTCGACCCTCCCACCCCCAAAACCATCCCGTGGGTCCCCCAACCCCTCCGACCCCTCAACACCCCAAACCCCCTCAACTCAACTCCTGCAACCCCCACCTTCAACCCCCACCCCTCTCCCAAACCTCCCCAAACCTTCCTGACCCCCAAACCCCTCAGCTTCCCCAAACCACCCTATAACCCCCTAAAGCCCCTTCCAACCCCCTTAATCTCCTCTCAATCCCCCAACCCCCCACTGACCCCTCAAACACTGTCCCCCAAACACCCCTGACCCTCATAACCCCCAAACACCCCTGATCCCCAGAACCCCCTAAACACCCCCTGCCTCCCAGAACCCCCATAACCCCCCAAACACCCCAATAACCCCCAAACACCCCTGACCCCCATAACCCCCCAGGTATTTCTACCTGTGCCGGGGAGGAGCCCACCGACCTCACCCGGCAGTGGTTGGAGTGGGAGGCCACTGAGCTGCAGGTGAGTGACCTCCCATGCCCCCTGACCCCCAGACTCCCTGACCCAGCCTGTGCCCCTGACCCACTCTGTGTCCCCCAACCCTCCCTGACCTGATCTGTGCCCCCTGACCAGTCTGACCCCTCTATGCCCCCCCATGCCCCCTGACCTGTGTGTGCTCCCTGACCAGTGTGACCCCTCTGAGCCCCCTGTGCCCCCTCTTTTCCCCCAACTCCTCTGTGCCCCCAGTGCCCTCTATGACCTCCCTGACCCCCTATGCCCCCCTTGTACCCTCTCTGTGCCCCCTGTGCCCCCTGACCCCCAAGTGCCCCCCTTTCCTCTCTGACCTCCCTGCCCCCTGACCCCCCTGTGCCCCCCTCTCTGACCCCCCTGCCTAACCCCTCTGTGCCCCCTTGCCTCTATGACCTCCTGACCCTCCTGTGCCTCCCTGACCCTCTCTGTGCTCCCCATTCCTCCCTGTGCCCTCTGTGCCCCCCTGACCCCCCTGTCCCCGTGTCCCCAGCCCGTCGCTGCCCACGCGCTGTACCTGCGGCTGGTTCAGGGCCGGGGGGACCCTGAGGTTCTGGGGGTCCTGAGGCCCCTCCTGACCCACCTGGAGCAGCACCTGGCGCGGAGCGGCTGCGCCCACCTGGCTGGGGTGAGTGGGGCTGGGGGGGCACCCGACCCCAGAGCTGGCACCGACCCCAGAGCTGGCACTGACCCCAGAGCTGGCACCGACCCCAGAGCTGGCACCTGTCCCCAGATGTGACCCTGCCCTGACCCCAGATGTGACCCTGCCCTGTCCCCAGGTGTGACCCTGCCCTGACCCCAGGTGTGACCCTGCAACCCTGTCCCCAGGTGCTCCCAGTGCCTCCCAGTCCACCCAGTGCCCCCAGTTCCCCCAGTGCCCCTCAGTGTGCCCACAGTTCCCCCAGTGCTCTCAGTGCCCCTCCCAGTTCCCCCGGTAGTCCCAGTGTCCATCCCAGGTACTCCTGGTGACCCCAGAACCTCCCAATCTCCCTCCCAGTGCTCCTCCCAGTTCCCCCAGTGTCCCTCCCAGTACCCCCAGTACTCCCAGTGTCCCCAGTACTCGCAGTGCCCCTCCCAGTGCCCCCATTGCCCTCCCAGTGCCCTCCTAGTGTCCCCAGTCTCTGTGTGTCCCCAGGATGCCGCCTCGGTGGCCGATGTCGTGGTGTGGGGGACTCTGTTCCCGCTGCTGCAGGACCAGACCAGTCTGCCCAGTAAGAACCAGGGGGAACTGGGGGGGCTGGGCTGGGGGGGGGGGCTGCAGGTGCTCTGGGTCCCACCTGCCCAGGTGAGCTGGGGGGGCTCATGATGCTGTCCCACCTGCCCAGGTGAGCTGCAGGTGCTCACAATGCTGTGTGTATCTCACCTGCCCAGGTGAGCTGCAGGTGCTCACTATGCTGTGTGTATCTCACCTGCCCAGGTGAGGTGCAGGTGCTCACAATGCTGTGTGTATCTCACCTACCTACGTGAGCTGCAGGTGCTCACAGTGCCCTCTCTCTCACCTGCCCAGGTGAGCTGCAGGTGCTGCGCTCCTGGTTCCGGGCCATGTCGCAGTGGGGGCCGTGTCGCGAGGCGGCCGCGCTGCTGCCGCGGGAGCTGCCGGAGCTGCGGGCACACCTGGCCCAGCACCCCCCCCCTCACCTGGGCCCCCGCAGCGACCCCCAGGTACGGCCCCGGGCATGGGGGAGGGGGGACAGGTGAGGGCGGCCCCCCCTCACCTGGTGCCCGCAGGACGAGGAGGGGCCCGAGCGGGCGCTGACGGACGAGGACATCGCGGCCGCCATGGACACCTGGGCACGGGGACCTGAGGCACTGCCACCCCCCCGGGAGCCACGGACACCTGTGTGAGTGTGTGACACACCTGTGTGAGTGTGTGACACTTGTGTGAGTGACACCTGTGTGAGTGACACCTGGGCACGGGGACCTGAGGCACTGCCACCCCCCGGGAGCCACGGACACCTGTGTGAGTGACACCTGTGTGAGTGACACCTGGGCACGGGGACCTGAGGCACTGCCACCCCCCCAGGAGCCACGGACACCTGTGTGAGTGACACCTGTGTGAGTGTGACACTCTGTGTGAGTGACACCTGTGGCACGGGACCTCCCGGAGCCAGGACACCTGTGTGAGTGACACCTGTGTGAGTGACACCTGTGACACCTGTGTGAGTGACACCTGTGTGAGTGATACCTCTGACACCTGTGTGAGTGACACCTGTGTGAGTGTGTGACACCTGTGTGAGTGACACCTGTGTGAGTGACACCTGGGCACGGGGACCTGAGGCACTGCCACCCCCCCGGGAGCCACGGACACCTGTGTGAGTGACACCTGTGACACCTGTGACACCTGTGTGAGTGACACCTGTGTGAGTGACACCTGGGCACGGGGACCTGAGGCACTGCCACCCCTGGGAGCCACGGACACCTGTGTGAGTGTGTGACACACCTGTGACACCTGTGTGAGTGTGTGACACCTGTGTGAGTGACATCTGTGTGAGTGACACCTGTGACACCTGTGACACCTGTGTGAGTGACACCTGTGAGTGACACCTGGGCACGGGGACCTGAGGCACTGCCCCACCCCGGGAGCCACGGACACCTGTGTGAGTGACACACCTGTGTGAGTGACACACCTGTGTGAGTGTGTGACACTTGTGTGAGTGACACCTGTGTGAGTGTGTGACACACCTGTGTGAGTGACACCTGGGCACGGGGACCTGAGGCACTGCTACGCCCCCGGGAGCCACGGACACCTGTGTGAGTGTGTGACACCTGTGACACCTGTGTGAGTGTGTGACACACCTGTGTGAGTGACACCTGTGTGAGTGTGTGACACACCTGTGTGAGTGACACCTGTGTGAGTGACACCTGTGACACCTGTGATACCTGTGTGTGTGACACACCTGTGGAGTGACACCTGTGAGTGACACCTGGGCACGGGGACCTGAGGCACTGCCACCCCGGGAGCCACGGACACCTGTGTGAGTGTGTGACACACCTGTGTGAGTGACACCTGTGTGTGTGACACACCTGTGTGAGTGACACCTGTGTGAGTGACACCTGTGACACCTGTGACACCTGTGTGAGTGACACCTGTGACACCTGTGTGAGTGTGTGACACACCTGTGTGAGTGACACCTGTGTGAGTGACACCTGTGTGAGTGACACCTGTGTGAGTGGCACCTGTGTGAGCTCCCGGTGCCACCTGTCCCGGTGACCCGGTGTGGGTGCCCAGGTGCTGGGGGGGGGCGTGGGGGTGTGGGGTCCCCCCTGACGCCCCTCCCCCCCCAGGTTACCTGTGGAGGGCGAGAGGAACGTGCTGATCACGAGTGCCCTGCCCTACGTCAACAACGTCCCTCACCTGGGCAACATCATCGGCTGCGTCCTCAGCGCCGACACCTTCGCCAGGTGAGGCCGCAGCACCCGGGCTGGGGGACACAGCAGGTGGACAGGTGTGACCAGGTGTGATCTGGGGGGCTGTGCTGCTCACAGCACCTGCCCAGGTGCTCCAGGTGTGTCCCCTGCAGGTACTGCTGGCTGTGGGAAACCTGCCTGGGACTGAGGGATGAGCAGGGAGACTGTGCTGGCAGCACACCTGCACAGGTGGCACAGGTGTCCATGCACAGGTGTGGCAGGTTCCTGTGCACAGGTGTGACAGGTGTGCCCCCAGGTACTGCTGCCTGTGGGGGTGGAACACACAGGTGTGATAGGTAATCTGTGGCCAGGTGTGACAGGTGTGCCCATGTCTAGGTGTGACAGGGCCCTGTGCGCAGGTACTGCCATGCCTGTGGGTGGAACACGCAGGTGTGCCCAGGTGTGACAGGTGTGCCATGCCCAGGTACTGCTGCACCCCTGGGTGGAACACACCGGTGTGACAGGTGTGCCCAGGTGTACCGGGTGTGCCCTGGTTTGACAGGTGTGACAGATGGGTCCCTGTCCCCAGGTACTACCGTGCCTGCAGGTAGAACACACAGGTGTGCCCAGGTGTGACAGACAGGTCCCTGTCCCCAGGTACTGCTGCGGGTGGAACACACAGGTGTGACAGGTGTGCCCAGGTGTGACAGGTCCCTGTCCCCAGGTACTGTCGCTCCCGCGGGTGGAACACACAGGTGTGCCCAGGTGTGCCCAGGTGTGACAGGTCCCTGTCCCCAGGTACTGCCATACCTGCAGGTGGAACACACAGATGTGCCAGGTGTGACAGACAGGTCCCTGTCCGCAGGTACTGCCGCGCCCGCGGGTGGAACACACAGGTGTGACAGGTGTGCCCAGGTGTGACAGGTCCCTGTCCCCAGGTACTGCCATGCCCGCGGGTGGAACACACAGGTGTGACAGGTGTGACAGGTGTGACAGATGAGTACCTGTCCCCAGGTGCCCGCGGGTGGAACACACAGGTGTGCCAGGTGTGACAGTTGGGTCCCTGTCCCCAGGTACTGCCGCCCTGCGGCAGGTGTGCCAGGTGTGACAGACACCTGTGCCCAGGTGTGACAGGTCCCTGTCCCCAGGTACTGCCGCGCCCGCGGGTGGAACACACAGGTGTGCCAGGTGTGCCCAGGTGTGACAGAGGGGTCCCTGTCCGCAGGTACTGCCGCGCCCGTGGGTGGAACACGCTGTTCGTGTGCGGCACCGACGAGTACGGCACGGCCACCGAGACGCGGGCGCTGCAGGAGGGGCTGAGCCCGCGCCAGCTCTGCGACAGGTACCACCAGGTGCACGCCGACGTCTACGCCTGGTTCCGCATCTCCTTCGACCACTTCGGCCGCACCACCACGCCCCAGCAGACCAGGTGAGCCCCTCAGAGCAGGTGAGTGCCCTCAGACCAGGTGAGCCCCTCAGACCAGGTGAGCCCCTCAGACCAGGTGAGTCCCCTCAGAACAGGTGAACACCCCCCCAGAACAGCTGAGCCACCACAGAGCAGGTGAATCCCACTAGAGCAGGTGAGCACCTCCAGACCAGGTGAGCCCCCCCGGATCAGTTGAGTTCCGCTGCATCAAGTGAACCCCCCCACTGAATTCACCAGACCAGGTGAATTCTACCAGACCAGGTGAGCCCCCTCAGACCAGGTGAGTGCCCTCAGACCAGGTGAGTCCCCTGGGACCAGGTGAGTCCCCTTGGACCAGGTGAGTCCCTCAGACCAGGTGAGCCCCCTCAGACCAGGTGAGTGCCCTCAGACCAGGTGGGGTCTGTCAGAGCAGGTGAAGGCTGTCAGAGCAGCTGAATCCCCTCAGAGCAGGTGAGCACCCCCCCAGAACAGCTGAGCCACCACAGAGCAGGTGAATCCCACTAGAGCAGGTGAGCACCCTCAGAGCAGGTGAGATCCACTGCATCAGGTGATCCCCCCCGAGACCAGGTAATTCCCCTCATAGCAGGTGAATTCTACCAGACCAGGTGAGTCCCCCCAGACCAGGTGGGCCCCCACCAGAGCAGGTGAATCCCACTATGCCAGGTGAGCCCCCCCTGCAGGTGAGCCCCCCCGTGCAGGTGACCCCCCTGCCCTGACAGCCGCCTCCCCCCATGCCCAGGATCGCCCAGGACATCTTCCAGCGGCTGCAGGCGCGGGGGTTGGTGCTGCAGGACACGCTGGAGCAGCTCAGGTGCGGGGACTGCGGGCGGTACCTGGCTGACAGGTTCGTGGAGGGCACCTGCCCCTCCTGCGGCTACGCCGAGGCCCGCGGGGACCAGTGCGACCAGTGCGGGAAGCTCATCAACGCTGTGGAGCTGCAGGTGGGGCTGCGGGACCCCCGGGACACCCCTGGGCTTGGGGGACACCCCGGGCTTCGGGGACACCCCTGGGCTTTGGGGACACCCCCGGGCTTTGGGGACACCCCTGAGCTTTGGGGACACCCCTGGGCTTTGGGGACACCCCTGAACTTTGGGGACACCCCCCATCACCTGTGGGGACACCCCCGAGCTTTGGGGACACCCCCCATCACCTGTGGGGACACCCCTGAGCTTTAGGAACACCCCCCTGGGGGACACCCCTGAGGTTTGGGGACACCTCCCATCACCTGGGGACATCCCATCTTCTATGGGGACACCCCTGAGCTTTGGGAACACCCCCGAGCTTTGGGGACACCCCTGAGCTTTGGGGATACTCCCCCACCTGCGGGACACTCCTGAGCTTTAGGAACACCCCCCTGGGGGACACCCCTGAGGTTTGGGGACACCCCCGAGCTTGGGGGACATCCCTGAACTTTGAGGACACCCCCCATCACTTGGGGGACACCCCCCTACCTGTGGGACACCCCTGAACTTTGGGGACATGTCCCTACCTCAGGGGACACACCCCCCCCCCCAGCTCTGGAGACAGCCCCCCACCTTTGGGGACCCCCCTCCCACCACTGGGGACCCCCCAACCCACTTTTGGGGACAGCCCCCTTCCCCCTCCCCCATGGGATCCTCCCTGTCCCGCCTCGGAGACCCCACACACACCTTTTGGGACATCCCCTCCAGCTCTCAGAACCCCCCACCCCACCTTTGGGACCCTCTCTCACCTTTGAGACCCCCTCCCACCCTTGGGTCCCTCTCCCACCTTTGGGTCCCTCTCCCACCTTTGGGACCCCCTCCCTCCTTTGGACTCCCCAACCTTTTGGACCCCCCACACCTTTAGGTCCCTCTCCCACCTTTGGGTTTCTCTCCCACCTTTGGGTCTCCCCCACACCTTTGGGTCCCTCTGCCCCACCCCACCTTTGGGGCCCCCTCCCAGTTTTGGCACCCCCACCTTTGGGACCCCCACATACCTTTTGGTTCTCCGTACACCTTTGGGTCCCTTGCCCCCCACCTTTGGGACCTCTCCCCAACCTTTTGCCCCCCAATGTGCCCCCCCTGCCCCCCAGAACCCGCAGTGCAAGCTGTGCCGGGGGGTCCCGGTGGTGACGCCCACCCAGCACCTGTTCCTGGACCTGCCCAAGGTGAGCAGTGCCCCGGGGGGGTTTGGGGGGGTGTGGAGGGGACCCCCGGTGACCCCGCTGTGTCCCCCCCAGCTGGAGGGGCGGCTGGAGGCGTGGCTGGAGCGCACCTGGGCGGCAGGTGAGTGGACGCCCAACGCGCGGCACATCACGCGCTCCTGGCTGCGGGACGGGCTCCGCCCGCGCTGCATCACCCGCGACCTCACCTGGGGCACCCCCGTGCCCCTCGACGGCTTCCGCGACAAGGTGGGTGTGTGTCCCCCTCCCCCTGCCCCAGGTGTGCCCTGCTGGGCCCCCCAACCACCCTGGGGTCACCTGCTCAGATGTGACCCCGCCCCCTGCCCCAGGTGTGCCCTGCTGGGCCCCTCCCCACCCTGGGGTCACCTGCTCAGGTGTGACCCCGCCTCCTGCCCCAGGTGTGCCCTGCTGGGCCCCCACCCACCCTGGGGTCACCTGCTCAGGTGTGACCCCTGCCCCAGGTGTGCCCTGCTGGGCCCTGGGGTCACCTGCTCAGGTATAACCCCCCCTTCCCGCAGGTGTTCTACGTGTGGTTCGACGCCCCCATCGGGTACCTGTCCATCACCGCCACCTACACCGAGCACTGGGAGCGCTGGTGGAAGAACCCCCAGCAGGTGGGAGGGGCTGGGGGGGGTCCCTGGGGGGATGCAGCACACCTGGCTGCGCTGGGGACCCCACCCGCCCCCTCACCTGCCCCAGGTGGAGCTCTACAACTTCATGGCCAAGGACAACGTGCCCTTCCACAGCGTGGTGTTCCCCTGCTCGCTGCTGGGCGCCGATGACAACTACACCCTGGTGAGGCACCTCATCGCCACAGGTACGGCTGGGGGCAGGACAGGGACAGCTGTGGGGACAGGGACAGCTGTGGGGACAGGGACAGGTGTGGGGGGACAGGTGTGGTCTCAGGAATGGGGACAGATGTGGGGGGACATGGGGTGCAGGTGCAGGGACAGGTGTGGGGGGACAGGTATGGGGATAGATGTGGGGGAACAGGTGCAGCCTCAGGGACAGAGACAGGGAACAGTTGTGGGGGGACAGGTATGAGGTGCAGGTACAGGGCACAGGTACAGGGAGCAGGTGTGGGGGGACAGGTACAGAGGAACAGGTACAGGAGAACAGGGACAGGAAACAGGTACAGGGACAGGTATGAGGTGCAGGTACAGGGCACAGGTACAGGGAGCAGGTGTGGGGGGACAGGTACAGAGGAACAGGTACAGGAGAACAGGGACAGGAAACAGGGACAGGAGAACAGGGACAGGGAATAGGTACAGGGACAGGTATGGGGTGCGGGTACAGGGCACAGGTGTGGGGGAGGCCTCAAGTACTGGGGAGGTTTTTGGATGCCAGGTCTGTAGGTACAGGGGTTCTCAGTTGTGGGGGTGTCCTCAGGTACAGGGGCTCCTCAGGTGCCAGGGGGTCCCCAGGTGGCGGTTCCCCAGGTGGGAGGGTCCCCAGTTCCAGGGTTCCCCAGGTGTGGAGGGTCCTCAGGTTCAGGGGTCCCCAGTTCCAGGGGTCCCCAGGTGTGGGTGTCCCTATCTCTGGGAGTCCCCAGGTGTGGGGGTCCCCGTGTCCAGGAGCAGTGCCACCCCCACCAGTGTCCCCAGTGCCACCCCCCCAGTGTCCCCAGTGCCAACCCCCACCATGTCCCCAGTGCCACCCCCACCATGTCCCCAGTGCCACCCCCTCAGTGTCCCCAGTGCCACCCCCACCGTGTCCCCAGTGCCACCCCCCCAGTGTCCCCAGTGCCACCCCCTCAGTGTCCCCCCTTCCCCCAGAGTACCTGAACTACGAGGACGGGAAGTTCTCCAAGAGCCGGGGCGTGGGCGTGTTCGGGGACATGGCCCGGGACACCGGGATCCCCCCCGACGTCTGGCGCTTCTACCTGCTGTACCTGCGGCCCGAGGGCCAGGACAGCTCCTTCTGCTGGGCCGACCTGCAGCTCAAGAACAACTCCGAGCTGCTCAACAACCTGGGCAACTTCGTCAACAGGTGCGGCTGCCAGCACCTGCCTGTGCTCACCTGGGGGTGGGATCACACCTGGGGGGGTGGGATCACCTGTGCTCACCTGGAGGGATCAGTGATCACCTGTGCTCAGCTATACCCCAGGCTGTGCTCATACCTGTACCCAGGGCTGGGCTCGCACCTCCATCAACAGGTGTGCTGGGACACCTGGAGGGGCTGGGCCTGGGCTGTTCTCACACCTGTGCCAGGGCTGTCATCTCTGTCCCTGTCCCACTGTCATCTGTGCCTGTCCCATTGTCACCCCCTCCCTGTCCTGTTGTCACCCTGTCCTGCTGTCACCGGTCCCCATTCTGCTGTCACCCTATCCCACTGTCACTGCGTCCCTTTGTCACCCCTGTCCCTTTGTCAACTCATCCCACTGTCACCCGTGCCTGTCCCTGTCCCATTGTCACTCCTATCCCACTGTCACCTGTCCCACTGTCACCTGTCCCATTGTCACCTGTCCCACTGTCACCTGTCCCACTGTCACCCTGTCCTGCTGTCACCTGCCACCTGTCCTGCTGTCACCTGTCACCTGTCTCGTTGTCACCCCTATCCCACTGTCACTGCGTCCCTTTGTCAACCCTGTCCCGCTGTCCCCTGTCCCACTGTCCCCTGTCGGTCCCCGCAGGGCGGGCATGTTCGTGGTGAAGTTCTTCGGGGGGTCGGTGCCCCCCATGCTGCTGTGCCCCGAGGACCAGCGCTTCGTGGCGCGGGTGTCGCTGGAGATCCGGCGCTACCACCGGCTCATGGAGCGCGTGCGGTGGGTCCGGGGGTCCCTGCGGGGGGTGGGGGGGGGCAGAGCCCACCCTGCGGGTGCTGAGCCCACCCTGTGGGTGCTGAACCCCCCTGTGAGTGCTGAGTCCCCTCTGTGGGTGCTGAGCCCTCCCTGTGGGTGCTGAGCCCCCCGCGGGTGCTGGCCCTGCCCCAGGCTCCGGGACGCCCTCAGGTGTGTCCTGGGCATCTCCCGGCACGGCAATCAGTACATCCAGGTGAACGAGCCCTGGAAGCGCATCAAGGGCGGGGAGGGGGACAGGTGAGAGGGGCACCGGGAGAGGTGGGCACTGCTGGGGGCACCGGGAAGGACAGGTGAGGGAGGGGCACTGGGGAGGGGACAGGTGAGGGGGGGCACTGGTGGGGGGCTGGGGACACAGCAGGGACAGGGCTGGGAGCTGGCATTGAGGGGGGCTTGGGGGACACAGGCAGGTGGCACTGAGGGGGGTTGGGGATACAGGAGGTGACACTGAGGGGATTGGGGGACACAGGAGGTGGCACTTGGAGGGCTTGGGGGACACAGGAGGTGGCACTGGAGGGGGTTGGGGACACAGGAGCTGGCACTGAGGGGGATTGGGGTCACAGGAGGTGGCACTGAGGGGTTGGGGGATAGGAGGAGGTGGCACTGAGGGGGTTGGGGGACACAGGAGGTGGCACTGCGTGGGACGCGGTGGGGGACAGGACTGGGAGCTGGGAGGGCACAGGGACATGGCAGGGGGTGGCACTGAGGGGTCCCTGCCCCCAGGCACCAGAGCTCTGGCTGTGAACGTGGTGGGGTCTCAGGGGTCACTGACAGTGGGGGAGCCACGGGGGTCTCAGGAGGTCACTGACAGTGGGGGGGCACTGGGGGTCTCGGGGGGTCTCAGGTGGTCACTCTGTGTCCCCCAAGTAGCACGTGGGTACAGTGATGGGTGTGGCTGTGAATGTGGTGGGGGTAGGTTTTGGGGGGGTTCTCACTGACAGTGGGGTGGGTCTCGGGGGTCTCAGGGGGTCACTGACAGTGGGTGGGTCTCAGGTGGTCCCTGTGGGGGGAGGGCACGGGGAGGGGATCTCAGGTGGTCCCTGTGTCCCCCCAGGCAGTGGGCGGGCACGGTGACAGGCGTGGCAGTGAGTGTGGTGGGGGGGGTCTCACTGACAGTGGGTGGCTCTCAGGGGGTCCTAGGGGGTCTCTGTGTGTCCCCAGGCAGCGTGCTGGCACCGTGACAGGTGTGGCAGTGAACGTGGCAGGGGGTCACTGATATTCAGGGGGTCTCAGGGGGTCTCAGGGGGTCTCTGTGTGTCCCCAGGCAGCGTGCTGGCAGGGTGACAGGCGTGGCAGTGAACATGGCAGGGAGGCACAGAGGGGTCTCAGGGGGTCTCAGATGTCCCTGTGTCCCCAGGCAGCGTGCTGGCACGGTGACAGGTGTGGCAGTGAACGTGGCAGGGAGGCACAGGGGTGTCTCAGGAGGCACAGGGGGGTCTCAGGGGGTCTCAGGGGGGTCTCAGATGTCCCTGTGTCCCCCCAGGCAGCGTGCTGGCACGGTGACAGGCGTGGCAGTGAACGTGGCAGGGGGTCTCAGGGGTCTCAGGGGGTCTCTGTGTGTCCCCAGGCAGCGTGCTGGCACGGTGACAGGCGTGGCAGTGAACGTGTCAGGGGGGTCTCAGGGGGTCTCAGGGGGTCTCTGTGTGTCCCCAGGCAGCGTGCTGGCACGGTGACAGGCGTGGCAGTGAACGTGGCGGCGGCGCTGGCGCCGCTCCTGCAGCCCTTCGTGCCGGGGGTCAGCGCTGCCATCCAGGCCCAGCTCCAGGTGCCCCCCGAGCGCTGCGGCCTCGGCCCCGCCCTCACCTGCACCCTCCCCCCCGGGCACTGCGTGGGCACCGTGAGTGGGGGCGCTGGGACCCCCGGGGGTGGGGAGGGACCCCCAGAGATGGGGATGGGGTGGCATCCCCAGGGGATGGGGGAAGATGGGACCCCCAGGGATGGGGTGGGACCCCCAGGGGATGGGGGATGGGGTGGGACCCCCAGGGGATGGGGGAAGGTGGGACCCCCAGGGATGGTGATGGGGTGGCATCCCCAGGGGACAGGGTGGGATCCCAAGGGGATGGATTGAGGGGGGGGCCACCCATGCCTTCAGGTGATGGGAGAAGGGGAAGCTGTGCCCCCCAGGTGCTGGGCAGAGGGTGGGTTGTGCCCCCCAGGTGCTGGGCAGAGGGTGGGCTGTGCCCCCCATGCCCTGGGTGGGGTCCAGGGCTGCTTCCCTCCCCCAGGTGTGACCCCTCCCCCATCCATGCCATGCCAGGTGAGCCCCCTGTTCCAGAAGCTGGAGCCGGAGCAGATGGAGGCCCTGCGGAAACGCTTCGGGGGAGGGCAGGTGAGTGGAGGCTCAGGAGCCCCCCAGACCCTCCCCAATCCATCCCCAGGTGTTGCTGTGGAGCCCCAGGTAACCCTGGGGCTGTCCCAGGTAACCCTGGTGCTGTCCCAGGTAAATCTGGTGCTATCCCAGGTAACCCTGGGGCTGTCCCAGGTAACAACCCTGGCACTGTCCCAGGTAACCCTGGCACTGTCCCAGGTAACTCTGGTGCTGTCCCAGGTAACCCTGGCACTGTCCCAGGTAACCCTGGCACTGCCCCAGGTGAAGCTGCCCCTGCCCACGCCAGGGGGGATCGAGGGGGGGTTGCAGAGCTGTCCCCCAGGGCAAGGGCTCACCCCCCTCTCTGCCCCCACAGGCCAAACAGCCCCCACCAAGCGCAGCCCCCCGCAGCCCCTCGAGCCCGGCCCGGCCCGGGTGACCCCAGCTGGTCCAGGAGCTGACACAGGAGGTGGCCAAGCAGGTGAGGGGGCACAGGGCACGGCACAGGGGGGTCAGGGCTCGGTCCCACCTTCCCCCCAGCCCCCCCTGAGCCCCGGTCCCCCCGCAGGGTGACCTGGTGAGGCAGCTGAAGGCGGCAGGGGGGGACAAGGCCCAGGTGGATGCCGAGGTGGCCAAACTGCTGGAGCTGAAGCGGCGCCTGGCGCTGGCCCAGGGCACGACCCCCGAGGTGAACAAGGGCAAGAGGAAGAAGTAACCCCAGTGCCCCCAGTGCCCGGACTGGGCCACGCTGGGGAGCGGCCCCAGAGCCCCCAGGGAACAAACTGGGCCGTTACTGGTTGTGGTTACGTGTGTTTAATATAAACTACAAGAGCTGTACAAAGGGCTGTGGAAGCTGCGTCCATCTGTCCATCCCCACAGTGTCCTCCTGTCCATCTTCATCCATCTGTCCATCCCCCCAGTGTCTCCTGTCCATCCCCACAGTGTCCTCCTGTCCATCTTCATCCATCTGTCCATCCCCACAGATTCCTCCTGTCCATCCCCACAGTGTTCTGTCCATCTGGGTCCACTTCCACCCAGCCCACAGTGTCCAGCTGTCCATGGGGCTGTGACCACCTCAGTCCAGGGCTGCCCCCAATCCAGGGAAACAGCAGAGTCCTTGTCCCCAGCTGTGGGACAGTGCTGGCATCTTCACCTGGGCAAGTTCAGGATGTGCCCAGTCCATGTCCTGATCCCACACCCAGGGCAGGTCCAGGATGTGCTCAGTCCGTGTCCTGATCCCACAGCCAGGGCAGATTTGGGATGTGCTCAGTCCATGCCCTGATCCCACACCCAGGGCAGGTTTGGGATGTGCTCAGTCCGTGCCCTGATCCCACACCCAGGGCAGATTTGGGATGTGCTCAGTCCATGTCCTGATCCCACACCCAGGGCAGATTTGGGATGTGCTCAGTCCGTGTCCTGATCCCACACCCAGGGCAGATTTGGGATGTGCTCAGTCCGTGTCCTGATCCCACAGCCAGGGCAGATTTGGGATGTACTCAGTCCGTGCCCTGATCCCACACCCAGGGCAGATTTGGGATGTGCTCAGTCCGTGTCCCAGCCCCCCACGCGGGGCAGGCCGAGCCCCCACGGGCGGGGGGCAGCCCCTACACGCGTCTCAGGTTGACGATGCGGTCGATGAGCTGGGCCCGTGTCCGCTGCACCTCCGCGCTCAGCCGCTGGATCTCGGCGCGGAGCCGCTCGTTGTGCGCCGTCAGCTCCGCACCCGCCGCTCCCGTCCCGCACCCGCCGCTCCATCCCGCACCCGCCGCTCTCCATCCCGCACCCCGTCCCGCTCCCGCGCGGTCCCGGCCCCGCCGCGCCGCTTCCTCCGCGCCCCCCGCGCCGCCTCCTCTTCCTCCTCCTCGGCGGGGCCCGCCCGGGCCAGAGGTTCCCTCCGAGGCCGCCCCAGGGTCCCACGACCCCGCGCCCTCCAGGCCCAGCAGCTCCAGCAGCTCCTCGGCCAGAGCCGCGTCCAGCCCGCAGCCCCCCGGGCCCGGCGGCGCCTGCGGGGGGGGACACGGGGGGTGGGCACCGGACACGGGAGGGCGACCCCGCCCGTGCCATCGCTCACCTGCTCAGCCCCCAGGGCACCCCCGCCCCATCGCTCACCTGCTCAGCCCCCCAGGGCGACCCCCGCCCCATCGCTCACCTGCTCAGCCCCCCAGGGCGACCCCGCCCCATCGCTCACCTGCTCAGCCCCCAGAAACCCCCCGCCCCATCGCTCACCTGCTCAGCCCCCAGGGCGACCCCGCCCCATCGCTCACCTGCTCAGCCCCCCGGGGCGACCCCTGCCCCATCGCTCACCTGCTCAGCCCCCCAGGTGGGCGCAGCTCCGGGGGGCTCCGCCGCCAGCACCTCCTGCAGGTCCTGGTGCACCACCCGTCCAGCTCCCAGCCGGGGGGGCCGCCCGCCCCCCACAGCCCCTCGGCCTCCATCGGCCCCTCGGTCCCGGCGCGGGGCTGCGGGAGAGGGAGGGGTGACCCGGGCTGGGGAAGGGAGGTGACCTGGGGAGAAGGAGGGTGACCGGGCTAGGGAGGGAGTGACCCGGGAAGGGAGGGTGACCCGGGCTGAGGGGGCAGGGTGACCCAGGCCGGGGCAGCGGTCCCGGGACCCCGAGGGGGTGGGGTGTCCCTTACCTGCTCTCAGGTGTGGTGGTCGGTGAGGACGCGCTTTCTCTTGGACGCCTGCGGAGGGACGGGGGGATCAGGGGGACCCCCGGAGTGCCCGTTACTCTCCCGGAGGTACCGCCGGGAAGGGGTGAGGAGCAGGGGCGGTGTCCAAGGCCGGGGGGGCAGCCCGGGGGTCACAGTGCCGAGGGGGCGGCTGCGAGCGCCCCGGAGCCCCCCGGGGCCGGGCGGGACCGCTCGGCCATCGCCCCGCGCTGTCGCCCGCTCCCCCCGCACCTTCCCGAGCGGTCCCGGCTGTCCCCCGGGCTGTCCCCGATCCTGTCGCTGTCCCCGGCCCCATTCCTGTCGCTGTCCCCGGGGTCACACCCTGCTCCCCCCGCACCTTCCGAAGCGCTCCCGGCTGTCCCTGTCCCCGATCCTGTCCCTGTCCCCGGCCCCGATTCTGTCCCTGTCCCCGGGCCCAATCCTGTCGCTGTCCCTCAGGCTGTCTCCGATCCTGTCGCTGTCCCCAGGGTCACGCCCTGTCCGCCCCGCACCTTCCGAACCGGTCCCGGCTGTCCCTGTCCCCGGCTCCGATCCTGTCCCTGTCCCCGGCCCCGATTCCTGTCGCTGTCCCCGGGGTCACACCCTGCTCCCCCCGCACCTTCCGGAGCGGTCCCGGCTGTCCCGGTTGTCCCCGATCCCGTCGCTGTCCCCCGGGCTGTCCCCGCTCCATCCTCTCCCGCATCGTCCCCGCTCCGCACCCGCTCCCCGCCCCACACCGCCTTTATAAGGGCCTGACGCAACTCCCTCGTGGGCTGTGGCCAATGGGAGTGTGGGAAAATTGATGGACAGGACAGCTGGCCAATAGAAGCGCGATGAGCGTGATTGACAGGGCTACGTAGACCAATGGGAGCGCGGCATGGGGCGGGGCCAGCGGCTCTGACCGAGTGGTCACGAGCGGGGATGATGCAATGGCGGGAAATTGGCCACGCCCCCGGGGGAGGGAAAGGGGGCGGTGCTGGAGGGGAGGGGCCGAGCGGGAGGGGGCGGGGCCGTGCCGTCATTAACGGGACTAATTAACACCCGGGATTAACGGGCTAGGGAGTGGGGGTGTCAGTGCAATTAGCTAATTAATTAATTGATCATATGACACCGGGATTAACGGACTGGGGGGAACCCGGAGCAATTAATTAATTAGTTAATGAATTAATTAATCCTGAGACACCATGATTAATGGGAGAGGGGCCCAGTGCAACTGGGAGGCACTGGGGGGGTTGAACTGGAGGTCAGGGGGGTCCTGGGGTTGGGAGGGCTGTGGGACTGGGGGCACTGGGAGAGACTTGGGGGCACTGGGAGAGACTTGGGGGCACTGGGGAGGGCTGGTGGGACTGGGAGCACTGGGAGCACTGGGGGGCACTGGAGGAGACAGGGGGCACTGGGGAGAGCTGGGGGGACTGGGAGCACTGGGGGCACTGGGAAGGGCTGCTGGGACTGAAGGGATCGGGTGACACGGGGGGACAGGGGCTGGCCAGGTAGGGGGGTGGGGGCTGCACAGCAGGTCTGGGGGTCCCTGGGGGACACGACTGGGGACAACCCTGGGCTGTGCCCCCCTCTCTGGGGTCCCTCAGCCTCGGGGGGGGTCCCAGTTCCAGAAGGTTCTCCCTGACCCCTCCCCAGTCCCAGCACTCCCCTCCCCCAGTCTGGGGGTCCCACTGGTGCCCCCCAGCCCCGAGAGCCCAACACAGACACAGAGCCGAGCTGTTTATTGGGGTGCACTGGGGGGCACAGAGAGACCCCAGCCCAGGGGATGGGGGGCACAGAGACCCCCTGGGCATTGCAGGGGCACAGAGACCCCCCGGGGGGGGGCACAGAGACCCCCTGGGCATTGCAGGGGCACAGACACCCCCTGAGGGGGGGGTTGGGGTGGGGGAGGACCGGGTTATTTACAAGCAGCCGCTGGGACCTGCAGGGAAAGGGGGGTCACCAGGCCCAGGGGTGGCAGGGGGTCCCAGGGGTCCCAGGGGGTCCCAGGGGTCCCTGGGGCTCTGTCACTTCTGGAGCCGCTTGATCCGGGCGTCAATGTCGGCAAAGTTGTCCTCGACTGATGGCCAGGTTGTCCTTCATCGTCTTCTGCACCTGGGGGAGGCACAGGGGGATGGGGGTGACTGTGGGGGGGCACAGGGCTGGGGGGCACAGGGGATGGGGGTGACTGTGGGGGGCACAGGGCTGGGGGCACAGGGGATGGGGTGACTGTGGGGGGCACAGGGGGATGGGGGTGACTGAGGGGGCACAGGGGGATGGGGGGTGACTGTGGGGGGCACAGGGCTGGGGCGGGGCACAGGGGGATGGGGGTGACTGTGGGGCGGCACAGGGCTGGGGAGGGGGGCACAGGGGGGCTCAGGGGTGTCCCACCTCTGCCAGCAGCACCGTGTTGTCCTTGAGGGCCGCCGCGATCTCCTGCTGCGTCGTGTCCAGGTGCACCAGCACCTGCCCGAACTGCGTGGCTGGGGGGACACACCCGAGTGCTGGGGGCCACACCCACGCAGTGACCCCCAGGTCCCCAGGGCCCCCCCCGGGGCTCACCCTGCTCGTGCAGGTCCCGCAGGGTCACCAAGCGCTGCACCACGTCGGGCAGGGCCGCGGCCACGGCGTCCCAGCGCTGCAGGGTCTCGTACAGCTGGTGGATCTGGGGGGGTTTGGGAGGCAGCACGGCCCGGGGGTCAGCACGGCCTGGGGGTCAGCACAGCCCTTCCCGGCCCCCAGGCCCCCCAGCCCGTACCTTGCTCTGGGTGTCGGCGTCCTGCACCGTGGCCTTGTGCTTGGCGATCTCGTTCACCTTGCCCAGCACGCTCTGCAGGGGGGCACCCCAAATTCACCAGTGCACCCCAAATCCAACAGTGCACCCCAAATCCAACAGTGCACCCCAAATCCAACAGTGCCCCCCCTCCAAATCCTGCAATGTCCCCAATCCACCAGTGCCCCTAAATCCAACAGTGCTCCCCAAATCCAGCAGTGCACCCCAAATCCACCAGTGCACCCCCAGTCCAACAGTGCCCCCCCGGTCCAGTATTACCCCCGAAACCCAGCAGTACCTCCCAGTCCAGCAGTGCCCCCCCAAATCCAGCAGTGCCCCCCAAATCCAGCTGTGCCCCCCTGAAACACCAGTGCCCCCGAATCCATCAGTGTCCCTCCAAGTCCACCAGTGCCCCCCATATCTACTGGGGCCCCCAAACCCAGCAATGCCCCCTCAATTTTGGCACTGCCCTCCAAATCCAAGAGTGTCCCCCTGTCCAGCTGTAGCCTCCTCTAGTTCAGTGGTGGCCCCCAAAATCCAATGGTACCCCTCCCAATCCATCAATGCCCCCAATCCATCAGTGCCCCCCTAAATCCATCAATGCCCCCAAACCCAGCAGTACCCCCACTCCCCTATGCCCCCAATCCCCAGTGCCCCCAAATCCACCAGTGCCCTGCAATCCATCAGTGCCCCCTCCCCCCGTGTCCCCCCACTCCCCTCGTGTCCCCCAATCCATCAGTGCCCCCAAACCCACCAGTGCCCCCAACCCCGTGTCCCCCACTTCCCTGTACACCCCTCCCCAGTGCCCCCACTCCCCTACACCTCCCGTGCCCCCGTGCCCTGACCTGCAGCCGGGCCTCCACCTGGTCGAGCACGGCCACGTCCAGCACGTTCACCTTGGCCTGCAGCACCTGCACCGTGTCCTGGGGGGCACGGGGGGGCACAGCTGAGGGGGCACGGCAGCACCCCCACAACGCTCTGGGGGCACGGGCAGGGATGGGGGGCACAGCAGCCCCCCAGAATAGTCGGGGAGGGCAGAGGGAAGGGGGGTCCTGACTCACCATGAGGCTGGAGCCCTTCAGCCCCACCAGCAGCGGGTTCTGTGGGGAAACGGCACCGGTGGGGGGCAGGTGAGGAGTGGGGGCAGGAGAGGAGGAAGGAAGGGGGCAGATTGAGGGGAGGGCAGGATGAGGGGTGCAGGATGAGGGGGCAGGATGAGGGGGCAGGATGAGGGGGCAGGATGAGGGGCAGGATGAGGGGTCAGGGTGTCAGGATGAGGGGGCAGGATGAAGAGGCAGTGGGGGCAGGCCATCCCCCCTCACCTGGGCACTCACCTGACTGTCAGGCTCACACCTCATGGCCGCCTCCAGCTGTGCCAGGCGCTTCTCCAGCTCCGACACCTGGGGGGGCAGGACCCCCACGGGGGTTTGGGGGGTGTCAGGTGTCAGGACCCCCTCAGGTGGGTCACAAAACCCCCCTGTGTGGGTTGGGTACAGGTGTGGTGCCCCCCACTCAGAACCCCCAGGTGGGTCAGCCCCAGGTGCCCCCCCAGGTGGGTCAGGTTCAGGTGTGGTGCCCCCAGGTGGGTCAGGCCCAGGTGTGGTGCCCCCAGGAGGGTCAGCCCCAGGTGCCCCCCCAGGTGGGTCAGCCCCAGGTGCCCCCCCACGAGGGTCAGCTCCAGGTGCCCCCCACCTTGGCAGAGTGGGTGAACTGGTCCTGCTCTGGTCTCCAGTACAGCTCGAAGGTGACGGTGTCGCCCCCGGCCGGGGGGGCCCGGGGGGGACCCTTCCCAGGGGTGGCTTTGCTGCATTTGGCCACTTCCAGCTGCTGCAGGAGCCGCCTGGGGACAGGGGGACAGGGACGGGGGGACAGGGGGACAGGGACAGGGGGGACAGAGGAGGGACAGGGGGGCACAGGGATAAAGTGGGCACAAGGACAAAGGTGGGCACAGGGACAAGGTGGGCAGGGTCCCTGTGCCACCCCCCATGGGGACACTGCCACCCCCATGGGTACACTGCCCCCCCCCATGGTGACACTGCCCCCCCCATGGTGACACTGCCACCTCCATGGAGACACTGCCAGCCCCCATGAGGACACTGCCACCCCCATGCATGGTGACACTGCCAGCCCCTGTGGGGACACTGCCCCCCCCATGGGGACACTGCTCCCGTGGTGACACTGCCACCCCCATGCATGGTGACACTGCTCCCGTGGTGACACTGCCCCCCCCATGGGGACACTGCTCCCGTGGTGACACTGCCACCCCCATGGAGACACTGCCACCTCCATGCATGGTGACACTGCTCCCGTGGTGACACTGCCACCCCCATGGTGACACTGCTCCGTGGTGACACTGCCCCCCCCATGGTGACACTGCTCCCGTGGTGACACTGCCACCCCCATGGGGACACTGCCACCCCCATGGGGACACTGCCACCCCCATGCATGGTGACGCTGCCCCTCCTGTGGTGACACTGCCCCCCCCATGGGGACACTGCTCCCGTGGTGACACTGCCACCCCCATGGTGACACTGCCCCCCCCATGGTGACACTGCCACCCCCATGGAGACACTGTCCACCCCAGCATGGTGACACTGCCCCCCATGGTGACACTGCTCCCGTGGTGACACTGCCACCCCCATGGGTGACACTGCCACCCCCATGCATGGTGACACTGCTCCCGTGGTGACACTGCCCCCCCCATGGTGACACTGCCCCCCCCATGGGGACACTGCCTCCGGTGACCCCCATGCATGGTGACACTGCTCCCGTGGTGACACTGCCCCCCCCATGGTGACACTGCTCCTGTGGTGACACTGCCACCCCCATGGGGACACTGCCCCATGGGGGACACTGCTCCGTGGTGACACTGCCACCCCCATGGTGACACTGCTCCTGTGGTGACACTGCCACCCCCCATCCCGCTCACTTGGCCAGGGCGCCCTCGGGGTCGGCGAAGTCGATGGCGGCGCCGGGGCCCAGCACCTGCTCCAGGTGGGAGCTGAGCAGCTGCTGCTTCAGCCCCTCCACCTGCCGGGCCAGGGCCACGGGCGTGAGCTCCTCCTCGGCCCCCGCCTCCTTCACCGAGCTCTGCGGGACGGGGGGGTTACAGGGGACAGAACCGGGACAGACCCCACACACCCCCCGGGACAGACCCCACACAGACCCGGGACAGACCCAGAGATACCCCCGGGGACAGCACCCAGACAGACTACACCCACACAGCCCCCAGACAGCCCCGGTGCCCCCCATATCTACCAGTGCCCCCCCATACCTATCGGTGCCCCCCCAAACCCAGCAGTGCCCCCTCAATTTTAGCACTGCCCCCCAAATCCAAGAGCACCCCTCATGTCCAGCTGTGGCCCCACAACTAAGTGGTGATCCCCAATCCCCAGTGCCCCCAATCCATCAGTGTCCCCCCAAACCCAGCAGTGCCCCCCAGTCCATCAACCCAGGACAGCCCCCGCACATCCCCTGGGGCACGTGTGCCCAGACACCCCCAGACACCCCCTGGGGCAGGTGGGGCTCACCTGCGCACGCAGGGGCTGTGGGGGCTCACCTGGGGCAGGTGGGGCTCCCTGGGGTGGGTGGGGCTCCTGGGAGCAGGTGGGGCTCCTGGGGCTGGGGGCTCCCTGGGGCAGGTGGGGGCTCCTGGGGCTGTGGGGGCTCCCTGGGGCGGGTGGGGCTCACCTGGATCTGCTCCACGTCGCGCAGCAGCTCCTGCACCTCGTGCTGCAGCCGCTGGAATCGCTGCTGCGGCGTCTCCTTTGCACCCAGACCCTCACCCAGCTGGGGGAAACAGGGGTGGGCGGCTCAGGGGGGCCTCGGGGGCTCAGGGGGTCTCAGGAAGGGCCAGGGGTCTCAGGAGGGTCAGGGTCTAGGGGGTCTCAGGGGGCTCACAGGGGGTCAGGGGGCTCACACTGGGTTAGGGGGGCTCACGGTGAGTTAGGGGGTCTCAGGTGGGTTAGCATATCTCACAGGGGGTCAGGGGGCTCATGGTGGGTCGGGGGTTCTTGGTGGGTTAGGGGGTCTCAGGTGGGCTCACAGGGGGTTCATGGTGGGTTAGCAGGTCTCACAGGGGGTCAGGGGGCTCACAGTGGGTTAGGGGGTCTCAGGTGGGCTCACAAGGGATCATGGGGCTCATGGTGGGTCAGGGGGTCTCAGGTGGGCTCACAGGGGGTCAGGGGTCTCACAGGGGCTCATGGTGGGTTAGGGGGTCTCAGATGGGCTCACAGGGGTCAGGGGGCTCACAGGTCGAGGGGAGGGGCTGGTGTGTCCCCCCACTCACCATCTCATACTCCCCGGCCTCGTATCCCGTCGTCCTCGTCCGGCCGATGCGGTCGGAGAAATCTGGGGAGGCAGAGCCGGGGGTGACCCCAATCTGGGGGGGGCTGAGCCCTTTGGGGGTCCCTGTGCTGGTGCATCCCCCCCCAGCCTGCACAGTGCCCCCTGTCCCTGTGCCCACCTTGTCCCTCAGCCCCCTCAGGTGCTCCCCCCGCTCCCCCCGCCCTCGGTGCTCGTGGTGGAGCTTCTGGTGGCTGAGCATGAGCTGCACCCCCCGGGGGTCTCCCAGCCCCCTGGGGATCTCCCAGCCCCCCCGACCTCCCCTGGGGGTCTCTCCCGGTCCCCTGAGCCCCCCCACGCTCACCCACGCCCTCGGTGCCCAGGCGTTTGTCGCGGAACTTCTCGTAGGCGGCGTTGGGGTTGATGATCAGGTGCTCCACACTCGTGCTGCTCAGCTCCTCCTGCACACAGAGCCACCTCAGTGGGGGGACAACGGGGGACATGGGGCTGCCACCACCCCCCCCCCCCGGGCACAGAGCCACTCAGGGGGACATGGGGAGTGCCCAGAACTGCCACTGTCCCCCAGGGCACAGTGCAACTCAGGGTGAGGACACAGGGATCCTGAGAGCTGTCACCACCTCCCAGCACACAGAGCCACTCAGGGGGGGACAGGGGGGTGCCCAGAGCTGCCACTGCCCCCAAGGGCACAGTGCCACTCAGGGTGGGGACAGGGGACACAGGGGGTCCCCAGAGCTGCCACCCCCCTGCACCAGGGATGGGGTCAGGGGTCCCGTCCTCCCCAGGACAGTGCCCAGCAGAGGCAGCCACGTGGCACAGCCCCAGGGCCAGGGTGGGCACATGGGACCCCCAGCCTGGCCTGGCCCAGCTGCAGGGACCCCTCGATGGCCCGGCCTGGGGACATGAGACCCCCAGCCTGTGTCAGTCCAGCAGGCAGGGACATCCCAAGGGTCCTGTGTGGGGACATCACAGCCCTGGCCTGGCCCAGCATGGGGACACTGGACCACCGGTCTGGCCTGGCCTGGTGGACAGGAGCCCTCAGAAGACCCCATGTGGGGACATCAGCCCCCTGTCCCAATCCAGTGTGGGACATCAGCCCCCTGTCCCAGCCTGGTGTGGGGACATTGGACATCAGCCCCCATCCCAGTCCAGTGTGGGACATCAGCCCCCTGTCCCAGTCCAGTGTGGGACATCAGCCCCCCATTCCAGTCCAGTGTGGGACATCAGCCCCCCATCCCAATCCAGTGTGGGACATCAGCCCCCTGTCCCAGCCTGGTGTGGGGACATTGGACATCAGCCCCCTATCCCAGTCCAGTGTGGGGACATCAGCCCCCCATCCCAATCCAGTGTGGGACATCAGCCCCCTATCCCAATCCAGTGTGGGACATCAGCCCCTGTCCCAATCCAGTGTGGGACATCAGCCCCCATCCCAATCCAGTGTGGGGACATCAGCCCCCCATCCCAATCCAGTGTGGGACATCAGCCCCCCATCCCAATCCGGTGTGGGACATCAGCCCCCCAGCCTGGCCTGGCCCAGCTCAGCGACCCCCGAGGTCTGGGAGCACCTCGGGCTCTGGAACCTTCCAGCACCCCCAGATGGGATCAGGACCCTCCAGTGACCCCCAGGCCCTGTGTGACCCCCGGGGGGGGCTCAGGGGTCCAGCCCCCCCTGAGCAGGTGGGCAGGGTGGGCACAGCCAGCGAGTGCCCCCCTCGTCCCTGTTGGGGGGTCCCTGGCCCAGCAGGGCCCGGGGGTCTCCCGGCAGCCCCTCCCCCTCAGGGCTGCCCCTCTGCAGCCCCCGGTGGTCTCGGGGAGCCCTGGGGAGCTGGGGGGGGGTGAGAGCGGCAGGAGCAGCGCTGGCAGCGTTAGGGGGGCTGGGGGGTGCCAGGGACAGTGCCAGGGATGGTGACAGCGGCCTGGGGCGGTGGCAGCGGTGACAGTGGCCGAGGGCCGGGCGCTTACCAGCTCCTGGCGTTTCCCAGAGGTGAGAAAGGCAGAGCAAGGTTAGAGAGGGGAGAGAGAGACAAAATCCGCGTTAGAAGGTCCGGCCGTGCCCACCGACCCCGAGGGCTGAGGACCCCCAGGGGCTGGGACCCCCATGGACACCCCAGAAGCCTGGGGACTCCCAAGGGCTGGGGACCCCCCTGAGGGCACCCACAGGGGCTGGGGACCCCCATAGGCAACCCCAAGGGCTGGGGACCCCCAAGGACACCCCAGAAGGCTGGGGACTCCCAAGGGCTGGGGACCCCCCTGAGGGCACCCACAGGGGCTGGGGACCCCCATAGGCAACCCCAAGGGCTGGGGACACCCAAGGACACTCCAGAAGGCTGGGGACTCCCAAGGGCTGGGGACCCCCACGGGCACCCTCAGTGGCTGGGGACCCCCCTGAGGGCACCCCTGGGGGCTGGAGACCCCCAAGGACACCCCAGAACACTGGGGATCCCCAAGGGCTGGGGACCCCCAAGGGACTGGGACAGGACAGGGGGCAGCCGGGGCTGGGGGCAGGGGGGCCGTGCCCCCCCCGGGGGTGCCCTAGGTGGGAGCAGGACATGCCCAGAGTCTCAGGGTTCACCTGCCCCCCAAAGCACCCCCAACACCCGGGGGGTCTCCGGGGGCCATCTGGGGGTCCTTGGCAGGGCGGGGGCTGCCCCAGCCCAGCGGGGTCAGGGTGGGCAGCACAGGCAGCAGGCAGAGGATGCAGAGGGCAAGGCAGAGCGGGGGGGGGGCAGCGGGACCCCCAGCACAGGGGGGCTCCCTGGGGACCCCCATGCACATGCAGCAGGGCCCCCCATGCACCCCCCGAGCGGGGCCGCGCTTACTTGTGCGAACTGTCCGGGACGGCGGGAGCGGGGGGGAAGCGGGGGGAGCCCCGGTCAGAGGGGGGCTCGGGGGGGACCCCACACACCCCTGGGAGGGGGGGCTGGGACCCCCACACAACCAGACACGGGAGGGGCTCCCAGGGGACCCCACACACCCCTGGGATGGGGGGCTGGGACCCCCACACACCCAGACACGGGAGGGGTTCCCAGGGGGACCCCCACACACCCAGACATGGGAGGGGCTCCCTGGGAGGGGGTCTGGGACCCCCAGACATCCCAGAGCTGTGAGGGGCTCCCTGAGATGGGGGTTTAGGACCCCTGTCCCCCAAATCCCAGAGCTGCCACGGGGCTCTGGGGGGGGGGGGTAGGACCCCCCACCCATCCCCTCCCACCACAGCAGGGCCACCTCTGGTGACTTTGGGGGCCACTTTGGCCACAACCCCCTGTTTGGGTCCCTCTCGCTGCTCTGGCTCCCACGGGGGTCTCTGTGCCCCCCACAGGGGTTGGGGGTGCCCAGTGGGCTCCTGCTCTGGGTGGGGGGTCTGTGCTGCCCCCCGACCCCCCCAAACACCGGTGGCAGAGCGGGGACAGGGTGGGGGTCACCCCTGTGCCTCCCCAGGCCTGGCACCCCCTCCCTGACTCAGGGGGGCACGGAGTCACCCCCAGCCCCATCAGCCACCCCAGCACAGCTGGGGGTCACCCACACCTGGGGGTCTCAGGGACAGACCCTGCTGTCACCCCCCATTGAAGCCCCTGCAGAGCCACCCCCCAGAAAGGCCTCAGCCTTTCCTGGGTCCCTCGGCACTGGGAGCAGCTTTAGGGGGTCCCTCTTGTCCCCGTGGGGGACACAGACACAGGGACACCCACCCAGTGTCCCCCTCCCCTTCCTGCCCCCCCAGAGCAGAGAGGACGAGATGGGAGGACGGGAGGGGGACACTGTGGGGGGGACATTGTGGGGGGGCTGTGTCACTGTGGGGGCACACACTGTCACACACTGTCACTGTGAGGGGGACACACTGTCACCATAGCTGACACACACTGCCACCATGCAGGGCCGTGGTGCTGTGGGGGTGTGTGGGTGTGGGGTGTGTGTGGGGTGTGTGGGGGTGAGTGGGGGAGCAGGAGCCACTTCCCTGCAGCTGTGCCGGTGCTGGGGGTCCCGGGGAGGGCCTGGGGGTGCCGGGGGGGCTCCTGGGGGTCCCCCAGGCCAGGCCTTACCGCCTCAAACTCGGCCTGGTCATCCTCGGGCAGGTCGCTGGTCTCGTACACGTCGGGCTCGTTCCGGGCCTGCGGCACAGGGGGCTGTGCTGGGACCCCCATCCCGACCCCCCCCGAGGCTTCCAACCCCCCCAGACCCCACAGCTCATCCCCACGGACCACACCCCACATCCCTCTGAGCACCCCTGACCCCCAGCTCACTGCCCCCATTCCCCACAGACCACACACCCCCACATCCCTCTGGACAGCCCTAACCCCCAGCTCACTGCCCCCATCCCCCAACCCCACAATCACTCCTCAAACACCCCAGGCTGCTCCCACCCCCTCAAGCCTCCTGTTCCCTCCCCAACAGCCCTAAAACCCCCAGAGCCCCGTCCCCCCAAAACCTCCTGTTCCCTCCCCAGAGACCTAAAACCCCAGAGTCCCCGCCCCCCAGCCCCTGTTCCCCCAGAGCCCCGTTCCTTCCCGACCCCCAGAGCCCCCGGCCCCCAAACCCCCAGTCCCGGCTCCCCCCATCCCCACGGACACGCCAACACCCCCGACCCCTGCAGCCCCCGATTCCCTCAAAGAACCCCAATCCTCAGACTCCCCAAGTCCCTCATCCCCAGCCCTCCGAGGCCCTTCAGATCCCCAGCTCACCCCTAGACCCCCTCAAAGACCACCAACCCCTCAGAGCCCCGACCCCTCAGCCCCCTCAGCCCCTCGATCCCCTCAGTCCCACCTGATCCCCCAGCCCCCTCAGTCCCCTCAGCCCCCGATCCCTCAATCCCCAGACTCCCCAGCCCGCCCGATCCCTCAGTCTCAACCTCCCCGATCCCCCAAGCCCCTCAGCTCCCCGGCCCGGCCCCGCACTCACGATGCCGGGCAGGTCGGCGTATTTCGGGTCGGCCATGGCGGGGCGGTGTCAGCAGGCAGTGTCAGTGGGGCGGTGTTCGGGAGCCGATGTTTATTTGGGAGGGTCCGTGTTTATGTGGGGGTCCGGTGTTTATTTTGGGGGTCCCGGAATGGCCGCGCGGGGCCAGGGGCGGGGCCGCTCTGCGAGAGTCACGAGGGCGGTGCCAGAGCCGCGAGCGCAGGGGCGGGGCCTGGACAGGAGGGCGGGGTCTTGGGGCAGGGCCTGAGCGGGGCAGGGCCTGAAGAGGGCGGGGCCTGAAGGAGAGGGACGGGGACACGGGGGACACAGGGGAAATGGAGGGAAATGGGGGCACATGACGAGGACATAATGGGGGACACAGGGGGAAATGGGGGGACACAATGGGGGACACGAGGGGAAATGGGGGGACATAATGGGGGACACAGGGGAGAAATGGGGGACACAATGGGGGAGAACAGGGGGTCACAATGGGGGGACACAATGGGGGGACACGGGGATGGGAAATGGGGGGGACACAATGGGGAGACAGGGGGGTCACTGAGGGTGACACAGTGGGGGAAGAACAGGGGGCCACAATGGGGGACACAATGGGGGACAGGACACTGAGGGGACACAGGGGCGAGACTGGGGGTCACAATGGGGGGACACAATGGGGGACACAATGGGGACACGGGGGAAATGGGGGGGAACAGGGGGCACTGGGAGTCACTGGGAGGGTCACATGGGGGACACAATGGAGGGGCACGGGGGATGACACTGGGGAAGACATGGGGGGACACGCAGGATCACACGGGGGAGGATACAGGGGAACACATGGGGGGACAAGGGGGCTTGTTGGAGGGGTCACAAGAGGGGATACAGGGGGACACACCGGGGACACGAGGCGGGCGTGGGGGGATACGTGGGGGCACTGGGGGACAAGGGGGTGGGACACGGAGACAAACCCAGGGGGGCATGGAGGGGATGGGGAGCACAAGGGGACACAGGGGGCACAGGGGTCACACAAGGGGACACGGGGGAATCACACGGGGGACATGGAGGAGACACAGGGGGTCACGCAGGGGATCACTCGAAGGGACACGAGGGGAGCACTGGTGGGTCACATGGGGACATAATCAGGGGAACACGGGGGGGCACAGGGAGGCTCATGTGGGGGCACAGGGGGCAGCCGGGGCGCGACACGGGGACACACACACAGGGGGACACGAGGGGATGAGGGAGGGCACGGGGGGACACGAGGGGATGAGGGAGAGGGCAGGGGGGGGACACACGGGGGTCACTCAGGAGGGACTCTCGGGGGGGCACACACGGGCCGGGTTACATGGGGTGGGTCTGGGGGTCCGCGGGTGGAGGGGGGAACACCCACTGAGGGGCGTCCCACGGGGGGCTGCACCTCCCAGCCCCGGGGTCAGCTCGGGCAGCCCCCGGCACGTTCCGGGCGGTCACGGGGGCGGGGACCCCCGGGTTGGGCAGGGCCCCCCAATGTGCCGGGGGGAGGATGAGTCAGGACCGCCGCCTTCCCGCGGGGGGGGCAGAGCTGAGCGGGGGGGGCTGGCCCTGCCCGACCCCTCCCCAGCCGGGCCAGGGCCCCCCCGCAGTGAATCAGCAGTTTGGGGGGCGGGTCCCGGGCCGCGCCCCCCGCCCCAGCTCCGTCCACCTTAAGAGCCGCGGGCGGCTCCACCTTAAGGCGGGGGAGGGGGCGCGCGGGGGCGGATTCCCCCCCTCCCGCCGGTCCCGGGGCTGCAGTGGCGACAGCAGCGGTCACAGGAGCGGCGACAGCGACATCAGCTGCGGAGCGTCAGCCCCGCCCGGCGCCGCCTCCCGCAGCCGCATCCCGGGTACCACCCTGCGTCCCTGACAGCATCCTGCATCCCTGACAGCATCCTGCATCCCTGACAGCATCCTGCATCCCTGACAGCATCCTGCATCCTTGGGTACCATCCTGCATCCCTGACAGCATCCTGGGTACCACTCTGCATCCCTGACAGCATCCTGCATCCCTGGGTACCACCCTGCATCCCTGGGTACCACCCTGCGTCCCTGGGTGCCATCCTGCATCCCTGACAGCATCCTGGGTGCCATCCTGCGTCCCTGACAGCATCCTGCGTCCCTGGGTGGCATCCTGCATCCTTGGGTACCATCCTGCATCCCTGACAGCATCCTGAGTACCTCCCTGCATCCCTGGGTGCCATCCTGCATCCCTGACAGCATCCCTGGGTGCCATCCTGCATCCCTGACAGCATCCTGCATCCCTGGGTACCATCCTGCATCCTGCCCTGCATCTGGGCCATCCTGCATCCTGACGCATCCCATCCCTGACAGCATCCTGCATCCCTGGGTACCATCCTGCATCCCTGACAGCATCCTGCATCCCTGGGGCCATCCTGCATCCCTGACAGCATCCTGGGTACCACCCTGCATCCCTGACAGCATCCTGCATCCCTGACAGCATCCCGGGTACCACCTTGCATCCTTGGGTACCATCCTGCATCCCTGACAGCATCCTGGGTACCACCCTGCGTCCCTGGGTGCCATCCTGCATCCCTGACAGCATCCTGCATCCCTGGGTGCCATCCTGCATCCTGGGTGCCACCCTGCACCGCTGAGCAGCATCCTGCGTTCTCGGGTACCATCTGCCATCCCTGACAGCATCCTGCATCCTGGGTACCACCTGACAGCATCCTGCATCCCTGACAGCATCCTGCATCCCTGGAACCACCCTGCGCCACTGAGCAGCATCCGGAATCGCTGGGCACCACCCTGCGCCCCTGGGCACCACCCGGCACCCCCGGGTACCGCCCTGCACCACCGAGCCGAGTGCTGAGTCCTTGGGCACCGCCGGGCACCCCGGGTAGCGGCCAGCACCCCTGGGTGCCATCCTGCACCCCTGACAGCGTCCAGCACCTCTGGGTACCATCCTGCACCACTGACGGCGTCCAGCACCCCTGGGTACCATCCTGCACCCCTGACCAGCATCCTGCGTCTCTGAGCAGCATCCTGAGTGCCTGGGTGCCATCCTGCATCCCTGACAGCATCCAGCACCCCTGGGTGCCCTCCTGCACCACTGACCAGCTTCCTGCGCCCTCGGGTACCCTCCTGCACCGCTGGTACCCCCCGCACCGCTGAGCACCATCCTGCACCGCGGGCACCGCCTGCCCCCCAGGCCGTGAGCAGCCCCCTCCTCGGGTGACCCCCCACGCCGCGGGTGACCCCCCGCAGCCCCCCAGCAGCAGCCGCCCCTTGGACGTCCCCCGTGCCCCCGCCCCCGCCATGGCCGAGCCCAGCTCCGAGTGCAGCATCAAGGTCCTGTGCCGGTTCCGGCCCCTCAACCAGGCCGAGATCCTGCGGGGGACAAATTCCTGCCCGTCTTCCAGGGCGACGACAGCGTCGTGGTGGGGGTGAGTCCATGGGGGGTGTGGGGATCCCCGGCTCGGGGTAACCCCGGGGAGCAGAGCGTCACTGGGGCACAACCTGTCTGGGGGAGGGGGCACAGAGCTGTCTGCGGGAGTACAGCCTGGCGGCCTCGTGAGGGGGGCACAGAGCGTCACTGGGGGGCACAGCCTGTCTGGGGGAGGGGGCGCACAGAGCGTCACTGGTGGGGCACAGCCTTTTTGGCGTCACTGGGGGGGCAACACAGCCTGTCTGGGGAGGGGGACGCCCTGGGTGTGGCCACCTTGCCCCCCCAGGGCTCTTCCCGCGCTCCGCCCCCGTATGCCTCTTCCTTCCCCCCATTTCCAACTGGCACTCCCAGTTCCCTGTCCATTGTCCCCAGTGTCCCCAGTCTGTTGTCCCCAGTGTCCCCAGTCCGTTGTCCCCAGTCCCCCAGTGTGTTTAGTTGTCCCCAGTCCCCCAGTGTTTTGTCCCCAGTGTCCCCAGTGTGCCCCAGTGCTGGGGAGGGGGTGTTTACACTGAGCGGACCCGCCCTGACCTCAGGGGTCCTGATTGCGGAGGGGGTGGAGTTGCTGCAGATCCCCTTTCTCCCTCCCCTGCTGCGGCCCTGCCCTTTGTCGGGGGGCTCAGACTGGGGCTCAGCCTCCAAAATATCCCCTTCCTTGCACGGGGCCGGGGCGGGGGTGTCTCCTGGGGGTGGCAGCGGGGAGGGTCAGGGGTGCAGGGAGGTGCGTGGGTTTGGGGGTCCGCGGGTTTGGGGGTGTCAGTGGATGAGGAGGGTATCTGTGGGTGCAGGGGGTCGGTGGGTGCGGAGAGGGGGTTTGTGGGTTTTGAGGGTCGGAGGGTGCGGGGGTAGTCCGTGGGTTTGGGGGCAGTGGGCAGGAAGGTCCGTGGGTTTGGGGGTCAGTGGGCAGGAAGGGGTCCGTGGGTTTGGGGGTCAGTGGGTGGGGGACCAGTGGGTTTGGGGGTGGTCGGTGCAGGAAGGGGTCCGTGGGTTTTGGAGGGGTCAGTAGGTGTGGGGGTAGGTGGTTTGGGGGTCCATGGGTGGGGTGGTCGGTGGGTGCGGGGGTCCGTGGGTGCGAGGGTGGTCGGTGGGTGCAGGGGTGTCCGTGGGTGGGGAGTCACGGTGCAGCAGCTGGCGCAATGCGGGAGTTGCGGGTTTGGAGGTGGGGGCGAGGGGGAGTTGCGGGTTTGGGGGTGCGGGGGAAGGGGGGAGTTGTGGGTTTGGGGGCGGGGGCGAGGGGGAGGTTGGGGTTGGCGGGGCTGGAGGAGGCGCGGGGGTGCAGGGTGGGGGTGGCGGGATGGGGGTACGAGGGGGTACAGAGGGGCTGCAAGGTGGGGGTGCGGGGGTGCGTGACGAGCTGCGGGCGGGGCTGCGGAGGCTGCGGGGCTGGGGAGGGACACGGGGGACACGGGGGGACACGGGGGTCAGGAGGAGCCGGTGGTGTCCCCTGTCCCCGTGTCCCCCTGTCCCTTTGTCCCCGTGTGGCGGGCTCAGCACCGTGGCCTGGACAGCTCCTCGGGGAGCGAGGCCTCGGGGGTCTCTGGGCTTGCAGAGGTGGCGGGGGGGCCTGGGGGGTCTATAGGAGGGTCTTTTTGGGGGCCTAAGGGGTCTGCAGGGGCTGGGGGACTGGGCGTCTCTGGGAGTCTCTGGGGGCTGGGGGACCTCTGGGCTTCTCTGAGGTCTGAGGGTCCTGTGGGGGTCTCTGGGGGTCTCTGGAGGCTGAGGGGCCTGTGGGGATCTATGGGGAGTTGAGTGGTCTATGGGGGTCTATGGGAGTTTGGGGGTCTATGGGGGTCTCTGGGGGCTGGGGGTCTGTAGGGTCTATGGGGCCTGGGGGTCTCTGGGGGCTAGGGGTTCTGTAGGGGTTTATGGGGGCCTAGGGGGTGCTCTATAGGGGTTAGGGGTCTGTAGGGGTTTATGGGGGCCTAGGGTGTCTATAGGGGCTGGGAGGTCTGTAGGGGTTTATGGGGGCCTGGGGTCTGTAGGGTCTCATGGGGAGCTGGGGGTCTGTAGGGTTTGGATTGGGGGTTTGATGGGGCTAGGGGTCTATAGGGTTGGGGGTCTGGGGTCTATGGGGCCTGGGGGGTCTCTGGGGAGTTGGGGGTCTGCAGGGGTCTATGGGGACTGGGGCAGGTCTATAGGGTCTCTGGGGGCCCATGGGAGGGCTGAAGGGTCTATGGGGGTCTGTAGGGGTCAATGGGGGCTGAGGGGTTTATGTGGGTGTTGGGGGCCTGGGGTGTGTGTGGGGCTACATGAAGTGTGTGGGGATATAAATGGGGGTTTGGGGGGGGGGAGTTTAAGGAGCACGAAGTGTGAGAGACCCTCCCCGTGACACCACCTCCCCGCCTTACTGGGACCCCCTTACTGGGACCCACTGGAACCCACCGGTCCCTGCCGGAGTGTGGGGGGGACGGACACCCCCAACACTGTTTTGGGGGTCTCTCGTACATCGACCTCCCTCACCGTGTGTCTCCCCCTCCCCAGGGCAAACCCTACGTGTTCGACCGCGTGTTCCCCCCGAACACGACGCAGGAGCAGGTGTACCACGCCTGTGCCATGCAGATCGTCAAGGGTGAGGGGCAGGGGGGCTGCGACCCCCCCCGGGGACACCCAGGGCTGGGGAGGGGGCTGCGACCCCCCCCAGGGACACCCAGGGCTGGGGAGGGGGCTGTGATCTCCATAGGGACACCCAGGGCTGGGGAGGGGGCTGTGATCCCCCCCAGGGACACCCAGGGCTGGGGAGGGGGCTGTGATCTCCATAGGGACACCCAGGGCTGGGGAGGGGCGCAGATCTCCATAGGGACACCCAGGGCTGGGGAGGGGGCTGTGACCCCCCCAGGGACACCCAGGGCTGGGGAGGGGGCTGTGACCCCCCCCAGGGACACCCAGGGCTAGGGAGGGGGCTGTGACTCCCCCCAGGGACACCCAGGGCTGGGGAGGGGGGTGTGACTCCCAGGACACCCAGGGCTGGGGAGGGGCTGTGACCCCCCAGGGACACCCAGGGCTGGGGAGGGGTGTGATTGATCCCTCAGGGACACCCAGGGCTGGGGAGGGGGCTGTGATCCCCCCCAGGGACACCCAGGGCTGGGGAGGGGGCTGTGATCTCCATAGGGACACCCAGGGCTGGGGAGGGGGCTGTGATCCCCCCCAGGGACACCCAGGGCTGGGGAGGGGGCTGTGATCCCTCCATAGGGACACCCAGGGCTGGGGAGGGGGCTTGGGGGAGTTTGGGGGTCTCTGGGTGTGTTCAGGGGTCCCTCGGGGTGTCCAGAGGGTCCCCCGGAGGGGCTCCTGAGGGTCCTCTGGAATTCCTGAGGGATTCCTGGGGGTTCCGGGGGGTTCCTGGGGGTCCCGGGCGGCTTCTGAGGGTCCCGGGGGGTTCCTGAGGGATTCCTGGGGGTCCCGGGATGTTCCTGAGGGTCCCGGGGGGTTCCTGAGGGTCCTGGGGTGTTCCTGGGGGTCTTCTGGAATTCCTGAGGGATTCCTGGGGGTCCCGGGGTGTTCCTGAGCGTCCTGGGATGTTCCTGAGGGTCTCGGGGGATGCCTGAGGGTCCCTGGGGGTTCCTGAGGGTCTCGGGGGGTTCCTGAGGGTCTTGGGGGATGCCTGAGGGTCCCTGGGGGTTCCTGAGGGTCCCGGGGGATTCCTGAGAGTCCCGGGGTGTTCCTGGAGGTCCCGGGGAATGCCTGGGGGTCCCGGGGTGTTCCTGGGGGTCCTGGGGTGTTCTTGGGGGTCCCGGGAGGTTCCTGGGGGTCCCGGGGGGTTCCTGAGGGTCCCGGGAGGTTCCTGGGGGTCCCTGAGGGTCCCGAGGGGCTCCTGGGGGTCCCGGGAGGTCCCTGAGGGTCCCGGGGGGTCCCTGAGGGTCCCGGGGGGCTCCTCCCCGCCCTCCCCCCAGATGTCCTGGCCGGGTACAACGGGACCATCTTCGCCTACGGCCAAACCTCATCGGGCAAGACCCACACCATGGAGGTGAGGGGGAACTGGGGGAACTGGGGGCACTGGGGGAGTCGGGGGAGTCGGGGGACTGGGATACTGGGGAGACTGGGGGAACTGGGGGCCCTGGGACACTGGGGGCACTGGGATACTGGGGGCACTGGGACACTGGGGGAACTGGGATACTGGGGGACTGGGAGACTCAGGGAGACTGGGGGGACTGGGGAGACTGGGGGACTTAGGAATGGGGAGCACTGGGGGCACTGGGAGCACTGGGGCCACTGGGAAATTGGGGGCAATGGGGGCTCTCGGGAGGCACTAGGGGGCTCTGGGGGTACTGGGAGCACTGGGGAAACTGGGGGCACTGGAGTGTCTGGGGAGCACTGGAGGGCACTGGGGGCACTGAGAGCACTGTGGGGCTTGGGGGAGGCTCTGGGAGCACTGGGGGCACTGGGGGCTCTGGGGGTACTGGGAGCACTGGGGGCTCTAGGGAGCACTTGGGGGCACTGGAGGCACTAGGAACACTGGAGGGCACGAGGGGGCACTGAGAGCACTGTGGGGCTTGGGGGAGGCTCTGGGAGCACTGAGGGGCACTGGGGGCACTGGGGGCACTGGGAGCACTGGGGGCTCTGGGAGCACTGGGGGCACTGGGGGCTCTGGGAGCACGGGGGCTGGGGGAGCCTGAGGGGCTCTGGGAGCACTGGGGGCTCTGGGAGCACTGGGGGCACTGGAGGGGCTCTGGGAGCACGGGGGGCTGGGGGCACTGGGAGCACTGGGAGGCACTGGGGGCACTGGGGGCTCTGGGAGCACTGGGGGCACTGAGAGCTCGGGGGTAGTCTGGGAGCCCTGGGGCACTGGAGGGCTCAGGGAGCACTGGGGGCTGGGGGAGCTCAGGGGCTGGTCTGGGAGCACTGGGAGCACTGGGGGCACTGGGAGCACTGGGAGCACTGGGGGCACTGGGGGCACTGTGGGGCTCGGGGGGACTCTGGGAGCACTGGGGGCACTGGGAGCACTGGGGGACACTGGGGGCACTGGGGGCACTGGGAGCACTGGGGGGCTGGGGGAGCTCGGGGGATCTGGACACCCCTGAGGCCCGGCCCCCCAGGGAAGCTGCACGACCCCAGCAGATGGGGATCATCCCCGCATCGCCCGGGACATCTTCAACCACATCTACGCCATGGACGAGAACCTCGAGTTCCACATCAAGGTGGCACGGGGGCACGGGGGCACTGGGAGCACTGGGAGCACTGGGAGGGCACAGGGGCACGGGGGCACTGGGAGCACTGGGAGCACTGGGAGCACTGGGAGGGGCACGGGGGCACTGGGAGCACTGGGAGGGGCACGGGGGCACTGGGAGGCACGGGGCACTGGGAGCACTGGGAGGGCACGGGGCACTGGGGGCACTGAGAGGGGTGCACGTGGGAGCACTGGGAGGCACTGGGAGGGGGTGATGGGAGGGGCACGGGGGCACTGGGGACACTGGGAGGGGACACTGGGGGCACTGGGAGGGCACTGAGGGCACTGGGAGGACTGGGGCACTGGGGGCACTGGGAGCACTGGGAGGTGGCATGGCAGGCACTGGGGCACTGGGAGGGTACTGGGAGGGCGCTGGGGCACTGGGAGGGACCACGGGGGCACTGGGAGCACTGGGAGGGGCACTGGGGATACTGGGAGGGGGCACGGGGGCACTGGGAGGCATGGGAGCACTGGGAGCACTGGGAGCACTGGGAGCCTGGCCCTGGCCCCCTGACGTCCCCCTCCCCCCCAGGTGTCGTACTTTGAGATTTACCTGGACAAGATCCGGGACCTGCTGGACAGTGAGTGGGGCACTGGGACATACTGGGGGCACTGGGTCGTACTGGGGGGCAGTGGGATGGTGATACTGGGAAGCTGGGAGGCACTGGAGGAGCACTGGGAGGCACTGGAGGAGCACTGGGAGTGCACTGGGAAGCACTGGGTGGTTACTGGGAAGTTCTGGAAGTCCCTGAAAGGGCACGGGGGCAAACTGGGAGGCACTGGATGGTTACTGGAAAACACTGGATGGGGATTGAGGAGCACTGGGAGGCACTGGGAGGCACTGGGAGGAGCACTGGGAGGAGCACTGGGAGGCACTGGGAGGAGCACTGGAGGAGCGCTGGGAGGCACTGGGAGGGTGTGGAGGAGCACTGGGAGGCACTGGAGGGTACTGGGAGGCACTGGAGGAGCACTGGGAGGCACTGGAGGAGCACTGGGAGGCACTGGAGGAGCACTGGGAGGCAGTGGGAGGAGCACTGGGAGGCACTGGATGGTTACTGGAAAACACTGGATGGGGATTGAGAAGCACTGGGAGGCACTGGGAGGGTGTGGAGGAGCACTGGGAGGCACTGGGAGGAGCACTGGAGGAGCACTGGGAGGCACTGGAGGAGCACTGGGAGGCACTGGGAGGCACTGGAGGAGCACTGGGAGGCACTGGGAGCTCCCGGGGCACCCCGGGGGCCACCCCTGACCCCCCCCGTGTCCCCCCCAGTGACCAAAACCAACCTGTCGGTGCACGAGGACAAGAACCGCGTGCCCTACGTCAAGGTGGGGGCACCGAGGGGACCCCAGGGACACCCCGGGAGGAGGGGCGAGGTCTGAATCCCCTGACCCCTCGGGACCCCCAGGGCTGCACCGAGCGCTTCGTGTCCAGCCCCGAGGAGATCCTGGACGTCATCGACGAGGGCAAATCCAACCGGCACGTGGCTGTCACCAGTGAGGACACGGGGGACAGGGGGGACACGGGGGCTGAGGGGACACAGGGGGCTGTGACATCCAACCGGCACGTGGCTGTCACCAGTGAGGGACGGGGGGACACGGGGAGGCTGGGGGACACTGGGGGCTGGGGGCTGGGGGGACACGGGGGCTGTGACATCCAACCGGCACGTGGCTGTCACCAGTGAGGGACACGGGGGATCACGAGGGGGACATGGGGGACACGAGGGACACGGGGGCTGGGGGACACAGGGGGGACACGGGGGCTGGGGGACACGTGGGAGGCTTGGGGGTTGATGGGGACAGGGTGCTGAGGGTCCCTGGGGTGGGTGGAGGGTTCTGGGGGTCCCCAAAGCCTTCTGGGGGTCTCCGGAGCGCTGCGGAGTCCCTTGGATGCCACGGGGGTCTCTGGGGCATTCTGGGGGTCCCCCTGGGAGCCTACAGGGGGTCCCGGGATGCTGTCAGGACATTGGGATGCTGAGGGGGTCCCTGGGGCCCCACGGGGGCCCAGGGGATGCTGCGGGAGCCGCTGGGCTGATGGGGGGGTCCCTGTGGGGGTGTTGATGTTTTGGGGTGCTGTGGGGTCTCTGCGGGGGTGTTGATGTTTTGGGGTGCCGGGGGGCTCTGTAGGGGTGTCCCCGTGCCGGGAGTGCTGTGAGAGGTGCCGGGGGGGTCTCTGTGGGGTGTGTTGATGTTCCGGGGTGTGTGGGGTCTCTCTCTGTGGGGTGTGTTGACGTGCCGGGGTGTGGGGGGTCTCTCTCTGTGGGGTGTGTTGATGTTCCGGGGTGCTGTGGGGGGTGCCGGGGGGGTCTCTGTGGGGTGTCCCCTCCCGGGGTGCCCCAACGTGTGCCGTGCCCGCAGACATGAACGAGCACAGCTCCCGCAGCCACAGCATCTTCCTCATCCACATCAAGCAGGAGAACGTGGAGACCGAGCAGAAACTCAGCGGGAAACTCTACCTGGTGGACCTGGCGGGCAGCGAGAAGGTGGGGGGGACCCCAAGGACTGGGGGGGACCCCAAGGACTGGGGGAATACAAACACCGGGGGGGACCACAAAGATTTTTGGGGGGGTCACCAAAGGTCGGGAAGACCCCAAAGGTGAGGAGGGACCCCCAAGGTGGGGGAGACCCCAGAATGGGGAGACTGGGTTGGGTTACAGGGAACTGGGAGGGCACTGGGGGGCACTGGGGGCACTGGGGACACTGGGAGGGCACTGGGGGCACTGGGGGCACTGGTGGAGACCATGTCCCCGAGGGGGACCTTGGAGGTGTCCTGGGGGTCCATGGGGTGCTGGGGGACATTGGGGCACATTCGGGGGCGTTTTGGGGGGACATGGGAATTTATGGGGCCATTGGAGTTTGGGGGTCTTCAGGATTGGGGGGGGTCTCTGAGGGGGAGGTCTGCCTTTGGGGTCTCTGGGGGTCCCTGGGTGGTGGCACTCTCACTTTGGGGGTCTCGGTGGGGGGAGGGGTTCTTGGGCTCGGGGTGTCCTCGGGAGGGGTCTCTGGGTGGGGGAACCCACAGGGGCGTCCCTGAGCCGTCCCCCAAATCCCCCAGGTGAGCAAGACGGGGGCCGAGGGGGCCGTGCTGGACGAGGCCAAAAACATCAACAAGTCTCTGTCGGCGCTGGGCAACGTCATCTCCGCGCTGGCCGAGGGCACGGTGAGACCCTGCTGTCCTCTCGGGGTGGGGCACCCCTGAGCCCCCTGTGTCCCTCCTTGTCCCCCGGGGTGGGGACACCCTGAGCCCCCCGCGTGTCCTCCCGGAGGTCTCGGGGGCTCCCTCGCTGTCCCCGCTCCCCATGTGTGTCTCCCCCTCGGGGTGTCCTGTGTCCCCCGCCGCTGACGCCCCTCCCCCCGCAGAAGGCGTACGTGCCCTATCGCGACAGCAAAATGACGCGGATCCTGCAGGACTCGCTGGGCGGGAACTGCCGCACCACGATGTTCATCTGCTGCTCCCCCTCCAGCTACAACGACGCCGAGACCAAATCCACGCTCATGTTCGGCCAGAGGTGGGGGCTGGGGGGATATCGGGGGGGTCCTGAACCCCCCTGAGTCCCTCTGACCCCCCCTGAACCCCCCCGAGTCCTCCCCAAATCTACACTCGTGTTCAGCCATAGGTGGGGGCCTGGGGGGGGTTAAGGGGGGATTCTGAACCCCCCTCGACCCCCCGTGCACCCCCAGACTCCTGCACCCCCCGAGCCCACACTCGTGTTTGGAGGAGGTGGGGTTTGGGGGGGCCCAACTGCCCCCACCCTGCACCCCAACACACCCCAAAGTGCCCATGGCACCCCAGGAGCACCCCCTGCACCCTGGGGGGATCATTGACCCCCCAAACTGCACCCCAAGAGCACCCCAAGAGCACCCATTGCCTCCCCAGAGCACCCACTGCCCCCAACTGCCCCCCAACTGCCCCCGAGACACGGGACAGGAGTGGGGAGGGTGAACCCCCAGCCGGGGTGTCTGTGATGATCCAGGGGGCACTGGGGGGGTCCCATTTTGGGGTCTGTAATGACCGGGGGGTCCCAGTTTGGGGTCCGTGGTGAGGGGGCAGCGGGGGGGTCCCAGTCTGGGATCTGTGGTGCCCAGGGGCTCCCAGTTCAGGGTCCATAGTGAGGGGGGTCCCAGTTTGGGGTCCGTAATGAGGGGGGTCCCAGTTTGAGGTCTGTGATGACTGAGGGCAGTGGAGGGGTCCCAGTTTGGGGTCTGTGGTGAGGGGGGTCCCCGTTTCGGATCTGTGGTGAGGGGGCAGCGGGGGGGTCCCACCGCCGGCGCCCCCCAGGGCCAAGACCATCAAGAACACGGCGTCGGTGAACCTGGAGCTCACGGCAGAGCAGTGGAAGAAGAAGTTCGAGAAGGAGAAGGAGAAGAACAAAGCGCTGAGAGAGACCCTGGCCCGGCTCGAGGCGGAGCTGAACCGATGGAGGAGCGGTGAGGGCTCCCCGAGACTGGCGGGGGGCTCCTCGAAACGGGGGGGGTTCCCCGAAACTGGGGGGGCTCCCCAAAACTGGGGGGGCTCCCCGAGACTGGGAGGGACACCCTGAGACTGGGGGGGCACCCCGAGACTGGGAGGGACACCTGACACTGGGGAGCACCCCAAGCCCGAGGGGACACCCCGAGACTGGGGGAGCAGCACCCTGAGACTGGGAGGGCACCCCGAGACTGGGGGGGCACTCCATGTCTGGGAGGGGCACCCTGAGTAAGGGGGAGGACCCCGATATCGGGGGGGACCCCAAGGTTCGTGATGGGACCTCATCTGGGGCCGGGTGTGTCCCCTGGGCGGGCTGAGCCCCTGGGGGAGCCCTGAGGGGCACCCACCAGGGGTCACCGAGACCCCGGGGACTCCCTACCCCGACAGGGTCACTGAGGCCGCGCCCCCCCCCAGGCGAGGCCGTGCCCGAGACGGAGCAGCTGAACGAGGCGGAGGCGGGAGACCGAGACCGGGCCGGGGAGGGGCCGGGGAGGCCGGGGGACCCCGAGGAGCCCCCTGAACGACAACAGCTCCTCCATCGTCATCCACATCTCGGACGAGGAGCGGCGCAAGTACGAGGAGGAGATCAGGAAGCTCTACAAGCAGCTGGATGACAAGGTGGGCACCCCGAGACCCCCTGAGCCCCCAGCCCCTCCCCAGCCCCATCCCCAGGGTGACCGGGCAGACCCTCCTGTGCCCCCTAGACCCCTCCCCATCCCCATCCCCCCGGGGTGACTGGGCAGACCCTCCTGTGCCCCCCCAGGATGACGAGATCAACCAGCAGAGCCAGATCATGGAGAAGCTCAAGCAGCAGATGCTGGACCAGGAGGAGGTGAGGGACCCTCAGAGCCCCCACACTGTGTCCCCCTCTGGCCCTTCTGGACCCCAATCAGACCCCCTGGGACCCACTCAGACCCTCTGGGACCCCAACTCAGACCCCCAGACCCTCCCACCCTGAATGCCTGAGACCCCCGAACTCTGACCTCTGGGACCCCCCAGTGTGACCTCACTGGGACCCCCCTGGGACCCCCACTGTGGCTCCTGGGACCCCACTATGACTCTTAGAAAGCCACTATGGCCCTTGGGGTCCCTGTGCCTCCCACCCTGCCCATCTGGGACCCCCTATGTCCCTGTGACCCCATACCCCCCATTCCCTCTGGGACCCCCATGACCCCATGTCCCTCCTGTTGCCCTCTGGGACTCCCTATGGCCCGTCTTCCCTGTGCCCCATTCCCTCTGGGGCCCCCATAACCCCTGTGACCCCCTGCCCCTTTGGGCCCCCAGTGCCCCCTGGATCCCCCTATGTCCCTGTGACCCTGCGACCCCCACCCTGCCCCCCTGGGCACCCCTGACCCCTAGGACCCCTCTGGGCTCCCCACTCTGACCTCCTGCGGCCCCTGTGGCCCCTTGCCCCTTTGTGCCCCTCCCTATGTCCCAGGTGCTGGCAGCAGCCGTGGCGGTGGTGAGGCGGCTTGCCGGAGCTGGCAGCTCAGCTCCCACCCTGTCCCCGTGTCCCCCCATGTCCCCATGTCCCAGGTCCTTGCCGCAGCTCCGTGGTGGTGGCGAGGCAGCTCGCCCGGAGCTGGCAGCTCAGCTCCCACCCTGTCCCCCTGTGTCCCCCCATGTCCCAGGTGCTGGCAGCAGCCCGTGGCGGTGGCGAGGCGGCTCGCCGGGAGCTGGTAGCTCAGCTCCCACCCTGTCCCCCGTGTCCCCATGTCCCGGAGCTGGCAGCTCAGCTCCCACCCTGTGTCCCCGTGTCCCCCGTGTCCCCCCATGTCCCCCGTGTCCCAGGTGCTGGCAGCAGCCGGCGGTGGCGAGGCGGCGCGCCAGGGCGCAGCTCAGCTCCCACCTGTGTCCCCATGTCCCAGGTGCTGGCAGCAGCCCGTGGCGGTGGCGAGGCGGCGCGCCAGGAGCTGGCAGCTCAGCTCCCACCCTGTCCCCCTGTGTCCCAGGTGCTGGCAGCAGCCCGTGGCGGTGGCGAGGCGGCTCTCTGGGAGCTGGCAGCTCAGCTCCCACCCTGTGTCCCCATGTCCCAGGTGCTGGCAGCAGCCCGTGGCGGTGGCGAGGCGGCTCGCCGGGAGCTGGCAGCTCAGCTCCCACCCTGTCCCCCCGTGTCCCCTCCATGTCCCCCCCGTGTCCCAGGTCCTTGCCGCAGCCCGTGGCGGTGGCGAGGCAGCTCACCGGGAGCTGGCAGCTCAGCTCCCACCCTGTCCCCCGTGTCCCCCGTGTCCCCCGTGTCCCCCCATGTCCCAGGTGCTGGCAGCAGCCCGTGGCGGTGGCGAGGCGGCTCGCCGGGAGCTGGCAGCGCTGCGTGCCGAGCACGGCGCGGCGCGGGCCGAGGTCACCGAGGTGCTGGCGGCGCTGGAGGAGCTGGCGCGGAGCTACGACCGCAAGGCCCAGGAGGCCGAGGACACCGGCAGGCACAACCGGCGCCTGGCCGACGAGCTGGCACGGACAGAGGTGGGCACGGAACCCGAACCGGCACCCAAACCTGCACCTGAACCCCCACTGGCACTGCCATTGCCGGGGACACCGTGGGGACACCACAGGGCACCAGGAACCCAATGGGGAACCCAACAGGGAAACCCAACTGGGAACCCAACAGAGAAGCCAGTGGGGTCCTACTGGGAACCCAACAGGGAACCCAACTGGGAACCCAATGGGGAAACCCAGCGGGGTCTTCAGGGAACCCAGCAGGGAACCCAGTGGGGAAACCAGTGAGGAAACCAGTGGGAAACCTCACAGGGAACCCAATGAGAAAACCCAGCGGGGTCTTCTGGGAACCCAACGGGGAACCCAATGGGGAACCCAACAGAAAACCCAACAAAGAACCCAATAGGAGCACCCAACAGGATCCTACTTGGGAACCCAACAGGGAAACCCAATGGGGCAGGGGGTGATGGCCCAGGGGTGCCCAGATGGTGCCCAGGAGGTGCTGTGGGGGTGCCCAGGAGGTGTGGGGCTGCCCTGGCAGTGTGGGGGTCCCTGCGTGGGGGTGCCCTGGCAGTGTGGAGGTGCCCTGGCAGTGTGGGGGTCCCCGTTGGGGGGGTGCCCTGGCAGTGTGGGGGTGCCCTGGCAGTGTGGGGGTCCCCATGGGGGGCGTTCTGGTGGTGTGGGGGTCCCTGGTGGTGTGGGGGTACCCTAGCGGTGTGGGGGTGCCCGGGGTCCCCGTTGGGGGTGCTGGGCACAGGCCCCCCCGTTGCAGCCCCCTGTGCCTCAGGCCACGACGCTGTCGCTGGAGTCGGAGCTGTCGCGGGCGAGGGAGCTCGGGGGGCAGCAGCGGCGCCGCGCGGCTGAGGTGCTGAACGGGCTGCTCAGGGACCTGGGAGAGCTCAGCGCCCTCGTGGGCAGCGGGGACATCAAACTGGTGAGGGGACATCAAACTGGTGAGGGGCACTGGGCCATGGGGACATCAAACTGGTGAGGGGGACATGAAACTGGTGAGGGGACATCACACTGGTGAAGGGGACATCAAACTGGTGAGGGGGACATCAAACTGGTGAGGGGGCAGCACACTGGTGAGGGGACATCTGACTGGTGAGGGGACATCTGACTGGTGAGGGGACATCACACTGGTGAGGGGACATCACACTGGTGAGGGGCACTGGGCCATGGGGACATCAAAGTGGTGGGGGGCACTGGGCCATGGGGGGCACAGGGAGGGCTCTGTGCCATGTGGGCTGTGCCCCCCGTGCCCACTGCCCCTCATGCACCCCGTATCCCCTGTGCCCACTGTCCCCCATGCCCCCTGGTCCCGCTGCCCCCCGTGTCCCCCATGCCCCTCGTACCCACTGACCCACTTGCCCCTGTGCCCCCTTGTCCACTCTTCCCTGCCCTGCTTTCCCCGTGCTCCCCATGTCCTCTGCACCCCCGGCCCCATTGCCCCCTGTCCCCCCCACGTCCCCAGTACCACTGCTCCCCATGCCCCCCGTGCCTACTGCTCCCGCCCCACTGCCCCCGTGCCCCCTGGCCCTGCTGCCCCCTGTGCCCCTCGTGTCCCCGTGCCCCTGTGCCCCTCGTGCCCCCGTGCCCACTGCCCCCTGTGCCCCCTGGCCCCGCTGCCCCCCTGTGCCCCCCGTGCCCCCGTGCCCACTGCCCCCCGTGCTCCCTGTGCCCCCCGTGCCCCCGGTCTCGCTGACCCCGTGCCCCTCAGCCGGTGGAGGTGAGCGGGGCGATCGAGGAGGAGTTCGCGGTGGCGCGGCTCTACATCAGCAAGATCAAGTCGGAGGTGAAGTCGGTGGTGAAGCGGTGCCGGCAGCTCGAGGGGCTGCAGGTCGAGTGTCACCGCAAGCTGGAGGTGACGGGCCGGGAGCTGTCCTCGTGCCAGCTGCTCATCTCCCAGGTGCGGGATCGGGGGCCCGGGACCCCGGGTGACTCGGCTGACCCTGGTCCGATGACCCGCGTGGGGTGACCTCGGTGAGGTGACCGGGGGTTGATTGTCCTGGCTCCGAGGGTTGGGGGCGGCTCTGGGGTGTCAGGGAGGGTGTTGGTGTGAATCGCCCCGGGGTGCTGGGTCGGGGTGTCCCTGGGGGCTCCCTGAGGGTGTTAGGTGACGTGCACCCGGGGTGCTGGGGGTCCCGGAGGGTGCAGTGTACCCCGGGCAGGGGCTGAGGGTGCCGGTGCCAAGGGGGTGCCGGAGGGTCCCGGGTGATGCCTGGGGTGCAGGGGATCCTGGGTGGGGGCTCAGGGGTGCCGGTGCCGAGGGGGTCCTGAGGGGGTGCCAGGGGTCCGGAGCTGGGGCTGAGAGGTGCCGGGGGTCCCTGGGGTGCGGTGCCCCGGGCGGGGGCTGAGGAGGTGCCGGTGCCAGGGGTGCCAGGCTGTGCTGGGGGTGCCGAGAGGGTCCCGGGGGCGGGGGTCCCAGGCGGGTCTGAGGCGGTTGCAGGTGCCGGGGGTGCCGAGGGGGTCCAGGGGTGCCGGGGGTCCCAGGCGGGGCCTGAGGGGTGCCGGTGCCGGGGTGCTGAGGGGGTGCCGGAAGGTGCCGGGGGTCCCAGGCAGGGGTCTGAGGCGGTGCCGGTGCCGGGGTCCCGAGGGGTCCTGGGGTCCCAGGTGGGGTCTGAGGGGTGCCGGTGCCGGGGGTGCCGGGGGTCCCAGGCGGGGTCTGAGGGGTGCCGGTGCCGGGGGTCCCGAGGGGGTCCCGGAAGGTGCTGGGGTCCCAGGCGGGTCTGAGGGGTGCCGGTGCCGGGGGTGCCGGGGTCCCAGGTGGGGTCTGAGGGGTGCCGGTGCCGGGGGTCCCGGGGGTCCCAGGCGGGGTCCTGGAGGGTGCCAGTGCGGGTCCTGAGGGTGCGTGCGGGGTCCTGGGGTCCCAGGCGGGGTCTGAGGGTTGCCGGTGCGGGTCCCGCTGCAGCACGAGGCGAAGATCCGCTCGCTCACCGAGTACGCGCAGAGTTTGGAGCTGCGCAAGAGGCACCTCGAGGAGGCGCACGACGCGCTCGGGGAGGAGCTGGCGAGGCTGCAGGCACAGGGTGGGGGCCTCGGGGGCTGCAGGCACAGGGTGGGGGTCGGGGGGCTGCAGGCACAGGGTGGGGGCTCGGGGGCTGCAGGCACAGGGTGGGGGTCTCAGGGGCTGCAGGCACAGGGTGGGGTTCTCGGGGGCTGCAGGCACAGGGTGGGGCCCAGGGGCTGCAGGCTGGGGGCTGCAGGCACAGGGTGGGGGTCAGGGGGCTGCAGGCACAGCGTGGGGGCTCAGGGGCTGAAGGCACAGGGTGGGGGCCTGTGGAGCTCAGGGGGCTCGAGGGAGTACGGGTGGCACAGGGGCTCGGGAAGTGGGGGGCACAAAGGGCTGGGGAGGGTACGGAGGGGCTGCAGGCACTGGGGGGCTCTGGGGGCCGGGGGAGTATGGGGGCTCAAAGGGCACGGGGAGGGCTCAAGGGGCTGGGGGACAAGGAGGGGGGCTCAGAAGATTGGGGGCTCTGAGGGGCACAGGGGAGTTTAGGGGTCCGGGGGAACATGGGGGTACAGAGGCGATTAGGGGCTTGGGGGCTTCAGGGACCTTGAGGGGGTACAGTGGGACTGGGGGTCCCTGTCTCGCTCCCCAAGCCCCGCTGGTCCCGCAGAGGCCGCTCAGGGGTGGCCCGGAAGCAGCAGGGGCAGGATGAGACCCAGGACACCGATGAGGTCAAGGTGAGGGGGCGGGGGCACAGCACCCGGGGGCACAGCATCCCTGGGAGGGCACAGCACCCCGGGGGCACAGCATCCTGGGGGCACAGCACCCGGGAGGCACAGCACCCGGGAGGCACAGCACCCGGGGAGCACAGCACCCGGGGGGGGCACAGCATCCCTGGGAGGGCACAGCACCCGGAGGCACAGCACCCTGAGGGCACAGCATCCGGGGGGCACAGCATCCGGGGGTCCAGGGACCCTGAAGGGTCTGAGGCTCGGGGGGAGGGAAGGAAGTTGTGGGTTCTTGGGGCATGGGGGATGTGCTGGAGGTGGGAGGGGGGGTCCCAGGGGTACTGGGGGTGCTGGGGGTCCCGAGGGTGCTGGAGGGGGTGTTGGAGGTCCCGGTGGTGCTGGGGGTGCTGGGACATGTTGGGGGTCCCCGGGATGTGTTGGGATGTGGGGGTGCAGGGGCTCTCAAGGGGTACAGGGGTCCCTGGAGGTGCTGGAGCTGCAGAGGCACAGGGTGTCCTGGGGGATGCTGCAGGGGGTGTTATGGGGGTCCTGGGGTGTTGGGGTCCCTGGGGGGTCCCTGGGACGTCCCAGGGGTCCCAGGGGTTCCAGGATGCCCACTGTGCAGGTCCCAGGGGGGCTCCCGGGTGGTGTTATGGGGGTCCCAGGGGTTCTAGGGGTCCCAGGTGTGGGGTCCCAGGGGTGTTATGGGGTCCCGGGGGTCCCAGGGGTGTCTGGGGTCCTAGGGGGCGTTATGGGGGGTCCCTGGGATGTTATGGCAGGGTCCCTGGGGGTGTTATGGGGGGTCCCTGGGGGTCTGGGGGTCCCGGGGTGCCCACCGTGCTGTCGCAGGCGGCGCTGGAGCTGCAGCTCGAGAGCCAGCGCGAGGCTCAGCACAAACAGCTGGGGCGGCTCCGGGACGAGGTCAACGAGAGACAGAAAATCATCGACGAGCTGAAAGAGTGAGGGACCCTGACCTCTGACCTCTGACCCCTGACCCCTGACCCTGACCTCTGACCCCTGACCCCGACCCATGACCCCAACCCCTGACCCTGACCCCTGACCCTGACCCCTGACCCCGACCCCTGACCCTGACCCTACCCTGACCCTGACCCTGACCCCTGACCCCACCCTGACCCTGGACCCCGATGACCCCTGACCCCCCCGCCCTGCCCGGCTGTTCCCGTCTCCAGGGGGGGTGGGGGGCACACAGGGGCTGTCCCCAAGATCTGTCTGTCTGTCCCTCAATTCCATCCATCCCCCCATCCATCCGTCTGTCCTCCCATCCGTCTGTCCTTCCATGCATCCCCCATCTGTCCATCCCTGCCCGTGTGTCTGTGAGTCTGTCCATCCTGACGGTGTCTGTGTCTCAGTGTGTCCATCCTGATGGTGTCCTTGTGTCCGTGATGGTGTCTGTATGTCCATGCTGACACTGTCCATGTGTCCGTGTGTCCTGACGCTGTCGGTGTGTCCGTGTGTCCGTGTGTCCTGACGCTGTCGGTGTGTCCATATGTCCTGACACTGTCGGTCTGTCTGTGATGGTGTCCGTGTGTCCTGACACTGTCGGTGTGTCCATGCTGACACTGTCGGTGTGTCCATGCTGATGCTGTCAGTGTGTCCTGACGCTGTCGATGTGTCTGTGATGGTGTCAGTGCATCCTGACACCGTCCGTGTGTCTGTGATGGTGTCCGTGTGTCCATCCTGATGCTGTCCGTGTGTCCATGCTGACACTGTCGGTGTGTCCGTGTGTCCTGATGCTGCTGGTGTGTCCGTGTGTTCTGACACTGTCCGTGTGTCCATCCTGACACTGTCCGTGTGTCTGTGATGGTGTCCATGCTGACACTGTCCATGTGTCCGTGTGTCCTGACGCTGTCCGTGTGTCCATGCTGATGCTGTCGGTGTGTCCATGTGTCCATGCTGACACTGTCGGTGTGTCCTGACACTGTCGGTGTGTCTGTGTGTCCTGACACTGTCGGTGTGTCCTGACACTGTCGGTGTGTCCTGACACTGTCGGTGTGTCTGTGTGTCCTGACACTGTCGGTGTGTCCTGACACTGTCGGTGTGTCCGTGTGTCCATGCTGACGCTGTCCGTGTGTCCTGACGCTGTCGGTGTGTCCTGATGCTGTTGGTGTGTCCATGCTGACGCTGTCCGTGTGTCCTGACGCTGTCGGTGTGTCCGTGTGGGCACAGCCAGAAGCAGAAGCTGGAGCTGGAGCTGGAGCGGCTGCGGGCGGAGCACGAGGCCCTGCGGGGGGAGGAGCGGGCCAAGGCCGCGCGGCTGCAGGAGCTCACGTGAGACCCCCGGCACCCAGCGGGACCCCTGGGACCCCTGGGACCCCCTGGCACTCCTGGGACCCCCCGGGACCCCCTGGACCCCACGGCATCCCCTGGGACCCCCCGGCACCCAACGGGACCCCCAAACCGTCCGGTGACCCCCCAGCTTGGGGTGGCTCTGCAGCACTGGGGTGACTCCCCGACACTGGGTGACCCCCCCCAAGCTTGGAGTGACCCCCCCATCCCTCCAGTGACCCCTCCCAAACCTTGGAGTGACCCCCTAAGCTCGGAGTGACCCTCAATCCTTGGAGTGACCTTCCCAACCTTGGAGTGACCCCCATTCTTGGAGTGACCCCCCCAACCTCAGAGTGATCCCCCCATCCTTGGGGTTCCCCCAACATTCTTGGAGTGACCCCCCATTCCTGAAGTGACCCCCCCCATCCTTGGGGCTCCCCTACTCTGGGGTTCCCCCCATCCTTGGGGTGATCCCCATCTTTGAGGTGCCCCCAACCTGGAGTGTCCCCCCTAACTCAGGGCTGCCCCCTCTCTGGGGTGTCCCCTGCTCTCTGGGTGCCCCTCCCTCTGGAGTGCCCCCAACCTTGGGGTGCCCCCGACTGCTCTCCCCAGGCTCTCTACGAGCGCCACGCAGCAGTCCAAGCAGGACCTGAAGGGGCTGGAGGAGACCGTGGTAGGTGGGGGCCGGGAGGTTGGGGGAAGGTTTGGGGGTCTGGAGGGTTTGGGGGATCTGAAGGTCTCCTGGCTCCCTCACCCCTCAACACCCCCCAGGCCCGTGAACTCCAGACCCTCCACAACCTGCGCAAGCTGTTTGTTCAAGACGTCACGACTCGAGTCAAGAAAGTGAGGGGGGCAAAGGGGGGCAAAGGAGGGCAGGGATAGGGCGCTGGGGGAACAGGAAGGTCTCAGAGGTCTCAGCTCAGGTTGGGGGGGACCCTTGTGGGTTGAGGAGGGTCTCTCAGCACAGGTGGGGGCTCAGCCCAAGTGGGGGTCTCAGCCCACACTGGGGGTCTCAGCCCACACCTGGGGAGTCTCAGCCCAGGCTGGGGGTCTCAGTCCAGGCTGGGGGTCTCAGTCCAGGCTGGGGGTCCCACGCTGTGGGGCGATCCCCAAATTTAGGGGTGCCAATTTGGGATGGGCGATCCCCGGTTGGTGGGGGAGGGATCCCCATTTTGGGAGGCCAACCTGGCTCAGGGTGGGGGAGGGGCGATTTCTGGTTTGGGGGTCTGACCAGGGTGGGTAGGGGTGATCCTGGTTTGGGGGGCCAGCCCGGGTGGAGGGGGTGATCCCCAGAGGCTGGGGGCTGTGAAGGGGTGGGGAGGGGTGTGAATGGGGGGAGAGAAGGGGGTGTTCCCAGTGTGGGTGATCCCTCAAGGGGGCTGATTCCTTAAGGGGGGTGATTCCCAGTGTGGGGGTGGTCCCGGTGTCAGGGGTGATCCCTGGTTTGGGGGTGTTCCTGGTATGGGGGTGATCCCTGGTGTCAGGGGGGTTCCTGGCACTGGGGGTGTTCCAGTGTAGGGGGTGTTCCCAGCTTGGGGCTGTTCCCAGCTTAGGGGGCTGTTCCCAGCGTGGGGAGGTTCCCAGCGTGGGGGCTGTTCCTCAGTTTGGGGGCTGTTCCCCAGTTTGGGGGGGCTGTTCCCCAATTTGGGGGGGCTGTTCCCCAGCGTGGGGGCTCCTGCTGACGGGTGTGCCCCCAGAGCGCAGAGCTGGAGCCCGAGGACAGTGGGGGGCTGCACTCCCAGAAGCAGAAGATTTCCTTTCTTGAGAACAACCTGGAGCAGCTTACAAAGGTTCACAAACAGGTGCGTGGGGGGCACGAGGAGGGTGCAGGGGTCCCACCCCATCACCCCACCATCCCACTGGCCCCCAGACCCCCCCAAGCTCTGCAGCCCCCGCTTCCTGGTGCCCCCCAGCATCGCCCCTAGGCCCTGCTCTGCCCTGCTCCCCTGTCCTGGGTGCCCCCAATCCCACCCCAGGGGTGCCCCCAATCCCCCATCACCCCAGGGGTGCCTCCCAGCCCCCCAGCTCATGCCGGCTCTGTTGCCCCCGCTGCCTCCCCCAAGCTGGATCTCTGGGCATCCAAGGTACAGAGACCCCCAGCACTCACACGGGGTGCCCCCTTCCCCTCCCAGGCACGGGGATAGACCTCCCAAAGTCCCCTCTGCCCCCTGAAGCCCCCAGTTCTGCAGGGTGGGGGTCTCACTCTGACCAGCACTTTCCTGCCTGCTGCCCCCCAGCTGTGGGACCCCTCACTGTCTGCCCCCTGCAGCCCCCTCACTGCTCCCCTCCCCACACCCCCCACACGACCCCACTGCTGCACATGGGCCATGGGGGCACTGCTGTGGGTGGACCCCACCCAGGCACTGCTGGGGGCTGGGACCCCCTGGGACCCCCTGAGGCACTGCTGGGGTGGGACCCCACCCAGGCACTGCTGGGGGCTGGGACCCCCCTGGGACCCCCTGAGGCACTGCTGGGGTTGACCCCCACCCAGGCACTGCTGGGGGCTGGACTGGTCCAGGACCCCTTGGACACTGCTGGGGCTGGGGAGGACGTCCCAGGATCCCCCAACCACTGTTCAAGGACTGGGGTGGGACCCCCAGGCTGTGCTGGGGTGGGAGGTGCTGTGGGGACCCCGAGGGTGCCCCCGGTGTCTGGGGGTGTCCAGGGCAGGTCCAGGCCCGAGTGTGGGGGAGGGGGGGCAGGGACAGGTGATGGTGCCGGGGGGGTGAGGGGGGAGGGTCCCAGGGGATGTCCCCTGTCCCGGTGCCATCCTGAGGTGTGACGATGCAGAGCTGCCCTGTGAGCTGTGTGTGGGGGGTACAGGTGATGATGCAGGTGATAGGTGATGATGGCAGCGGGTGGGACCTGGGGGTCCTGGGGATGTCCCCTGTCCCTGGTGACACACTGTTGCATGTCCTGCAGCTGGTCCGTGACAATGCAGAGCTGCACTGTGAGCTGTGGGGGGGGGTACAGGGGATGGTGATGATGATGATGATGTTGATGATGATGATGATGATGGTGATGATGATGATGATGATGATGATAATGATGATGCCGGTGGATGGGGGTCCTGGGGGATGTCCCCTGACCCTGGTGACACCCTTTGCTGTCCTGCAGCTGGTCCGTGACAATGCAGACCTGCTGTGAGCTGTGGGGGTGGGTACAGGGGATGGTGATGATGATGGTGATGATGGTGATGATGATGATGCCGGTGGATGGGGGTCCCGGGGGATGTCCCGGTGCCATGGTGCCGTGTCCCGCAGCTGGTCCGTGACAATGCAGAGCTGCGCTGTGAGCCCCGGGGGTGGGGTACAGGTGATAGTGATGGTGATGATGATGATGATGATGATGCCGGTGGTTGGGGGTCCCGGGGGTGGTCTCAGGGGATGTCCCTGCCCCGCAGCTGGTCCGTGACAATGCAGACCTGCGCTGTGAGCTTCCGAAGCTGGAGAAGCGGCTGCGCGCTACGGCTGGGCGGGTGCAGGCCCTGGAAGGGGCGCTGAGGGCGGCCAAGGAGGGAGCGCGGCTCGACAAGCGGCGCTACCAGCAGGAGGTGGAGCGGATCAGGGAGGCCGTGCGGGCCCGGGGGGCGCGCAGGGGGCCCGGAGCGCACATCGGTACGGGGGGCACGGGGGCACGGGGAGGCAGGGGGCAGTGGGGGTTCAGGGGTGCAGGGTGCAGGTGCAAGGGGTCAGAGGGGCACGGGGATGCAGGTGGGCAGTGGGCTCAGGGGTGCAGGGTGGGCACAGACACAGGTTGGGCACGGGCTCAGGTGGGCACAGGATGAAGGGACACGAGGATGCAGGGTGGGCACAGTGAGGGAAGGTCAGGGGCATAGGGTGGGCACAGGGGGGTGTACAGGAGTTGAGGGGCATAGGGGGCACTGGGTGGGCTCAGGGGATGCAGGGTGAGCACAGGGGGTCAGGGTGGGCACAGGGGGTGCAGGGTGGGCACAGGGGGTGCAGGGTGGGCACAGAGGGTTGGCAGGCACAGGGGGGGCAGGGTGGGCTCAGGGGGGTGCAGGGTGAGCACAGAGGATGCAGGGTGGGCACAGGGGGTGCAGGGTGGGCACAGGGGGTGCAGGTGAGCACAGAGGGATGCAGGGTGGGCACAGGGGGTTGCAGGGTGGGCACAGGGGGATGCAGGGTGGGCACCATCCCGGCACACCCGGGGCGGGAGGGGGCGGGGGTCCGACCCAGCCACTGTGTGTGTGTGTGGTGGGGGTGGGGACGGGGACCCCAGGGGTTTGGGGGTCCAGGCGGCTCCGCTGACTCCCGTGCCCCCCAGCCAAGCCGGTCCGTCCCGGGCAGGCTCCGTCCCCCACCGGGCTGAGCTTCACCAACACTCTGTTCCAGGGGTACCCCGGGGGCCCTGCCCGGCCTCCACGGACTGTGAGTGGGGGGAGGAGGGTCCTGGAGGGGGGCGAGGGGTGCAGGGGTGTGGGGTCCTGGGGAGTGGGGAGGGTGCAGGGGCATGGGGGGTCCTGGGGTGTGTGTGTGGGGGCACATGGGGTGCAGGACTCACGGGGGTCCTGGGGAGGTGGGGGCACAGAGGGTATGGGGGGGCACAGGGGGTTGCAGGGGATATTGGGGGATCCTGGGGGAGGGCAGGGGGGACGCAGGGGGATCCTGGGGATACCAGGGGGACACAGGGGGTGTAGAGGGCACGGGGGGTCCTGGGGGAGAGTGGGGACACAGAGGGTATGGGGTGGTCCTGGTTGGGGGGCACAGGAGGGTGCAGGGGCACAGGAGGGTCCTGGGAGGGGGCACAGGATTCTGAGGAGCTGGCAGTGGGGTGGGGAGTGAGGAGATGGAGGGCCCAGGGGGGTCTCAAGGCCTCTGTCCCCGTGTCCCTCCCCGTGCCCCCAGCTTAGCCAGCGGCCCCCTGCGCTGTGCCAGCAGCCCCCCTGACTCCTTCCAGCAGCTCAACGTGGATAACGGTGAGGGGGGCTCCGGGGGCCGGGGGTGCAGTTTTGGGGTGTGGTCACGGGTGGGGGTCACTGCCCCAAAACCCCCTGGAGCTGCTGCTGTGCCTTGCAGGGAACCTGACGGACATCAACGACAACAGGTGAGGGGGGGCCGGCCCGGGGGGGACTGGGGGTGAGGGGGGGACCCCGCTGACCCCCCCCGTGCCCCCCAGGAGTGACCTGTCCTGCGCCTGCGAGGCCGAGGAGGCCGCCAAGGTGTTCCCCCTGCGCCAGGAGACGGCGGCCAGTTAATGTGGCAGGTACGGGGACAGCCCCCAAGGGACAGGGACAGCCCCAAGGGGTGGGGACACCCACGGGGACAGCCCCCCCAGGGACAGGGACAGCCCCCTAGGGACAGGGACAGCCCCCCAAGGGGTGGGGACACCCACGGGGACAGCCCCCAAGGGACAGGGACAGCCCCCAGGGATGGGGGCAGGGACACCTCCGGGGACAGGGACAGCCCCTCAAGGAATGGGGACACCCCCCGGGGATAGGGATACCCACCAGGGATGGGGACACCGACCAGGAATGGGGATCCCTGGATAGGGACACCCCCAGGGACAGGGACACCCTCCGGGGACAGGGACACCCCCCCAGGTTTGGGGACAGCCGGATGGGGACACCCCCCGGGGATGGGGACCCCCCTCCAAGGGACACCCCGGGTCGCCCCCAGCCCCTCGAATCCCTTCCAACCCCCTGAATCCTGCAGGTCTGGGGTCGCCCCCAATCCCTGGGACCCTCCGGGGAGGGAGGGGGTTTCGGCCCCCAGACCCCCTCCCCAACCCCTTTCCCCGCAGGCCCCCGGCCCCGGCCCCGCCTGCATGTCCCGGTGTCACCGCCCGCGCCTGCCGCGCCACGCCCACCTGCGCCGGGGGCTGCACCCCGGACCCCCTGGGACCCCGGAGCCCCCCAACCCGGGAGGGGCCTGGCCGGGGCGGGGGCGCTGCCGGGGGTCGTCAGAGCTGCCTTAACGCGGACTGGAGAATGTCGCCCCCGACCCCCCGCGACCCCAAATTGGGGAGCCCCTCCTCACCCCGCACCCCTGCCACCCCAAAATGGGGGCCTCCTCACCCTGTACCCCAAATAGGGGCAGCCCCGCCCCGGCCCCACAATTTGGGGGTGCAGCCCCTGATCCCCACCCCGACCCCAAAATGGGGGCAGCCCTCCTCCCACCCACCACCCTGCCCCCACAATTTGGGGGATCAGCCCCTCCGCCCCTCTCGCAGCCCCCAAATGGGGGACACCCCCGCCCCTCCCCACGCTTGGCACCTCGGTTGAGACCCCTCCCCTCGCACGGGGGTCCCTCGGGGCTCAGCTCCCACCCCCGGCCCCCAAATCCTGGGTCCCTCTGCGCCCCCCGCGCTGCATGACCTGCCCGGCGGGCCCGGAGCGAATAATGAGCTGCCCCAAAACTCCGCGGGCCCGGGGCTTTTGGGGGTTCGGGGGGCTTTGGGAGGGTTGAAGGGGTTTGAGGTCCAGGGGGATTTGAGGGGTGCGGGGGACATGGAGGAGGGGAGGGGGAAAGGGGAGGAAAGGGGTTGGGAGGGGACGGAAATGGGGATTTGGGGTCGGGGAGGGGATTTGGGGGCGGGGGTGGGATTTAGAATCGGGGGAGGAGGATTTGGGGGTCGGTGGGGGCATTTGGGGGCCGGGAGGGATTTAGGGTCGGGAGGTGTCAGAGGAGGATCTGGGGGTCCGGGAGGGTATTTGGGGATCAAGGGGATTTGGGGTCGGGGAGTGTCAGGGTGGATTTGGGGGTCCGGGGACGAGGGGGACACGGAGGGGAGGGGGGACAGAAATGGGACTTTAGGGGGGAGAAAGGACACGGCGGGGGTGGGAAGGGAGGGGGGACCAACCCCTGCACAGGGACACTTGTGGGGTCACACCCTGTGTCATTATGGGGTCACACATGTCCCCTGTGGGGTCACACATGTCCCCTGTGGGGTCACCCCCATCCCCTATAGGGTCCCACCTGTACCCTGTGGGTCACTCCCTTCCATGGGGTCAGAGAACCCTCCAGGTTGGAAGGAACCTCCGAGCTCATCCAGCCCGACCCTCCCCTCCCCGCAGCACCCCAGAACCCCCTGACCCCAAATCACCCCAAACCCCCCGGATCCCCTCAAACCACCCCCTGACCCCAAATCACCCCAAACCACCCCCTGACCCCAAACCACCCCCTGACCCCAAATCCACCCCAAACCCCCAGATCCCCCAACCACCCCCTGACCCCAAATCACCCCAAACCCCCGGATCCCCCAACCACCCCCTGACCCCAAACCGCCCCAAACCCCTGGATCCCCCAAACCACCCCCTGACCCCAAACCACCCCAAAACCACCCCAAACCACCCCCTGACCCCAAACCACCCCTGACCCCCCAGATCCCCCAAATCACCCCAAACCCCCGGATCCCCCAAACCACCCCTGACCCCAAACCGCCCCAAACCCCCGGATCCCCAAATCACCCCTGATCCCCCAGATCCCCAAACCAACCCAAACCGCCCCAAAACCACCCCAAAACCACCCCCTGATCCCAAATTACACGGGTTACAAATACCCTCGAATTCCGCAGATTCCAAACACCCTGAAATCAAGCGGGTCACAAAGATCCCGACGCGTTAATGCCTTAATTGTTTGTGATGCCCGCTGTAAATTACGCTTATTACAAATGCTTGGGTCGATCGATACGCTGCTCAGTGCACAAAATCAATCAATCAATAAATAAATAAATAAATAAAAGTAAATAAAATAAATAAATCAATAAAACTATAAATAATAAAAATGAATAAAAAATATAAAATAATAAATAAAACTAAAACAAAAACTAAAAATAAATAAAAATGAATAAAATAATAAATAAAAGAAAAATAAATAAAAATAAATAAATATAAATAAATTAATTAAATAAATAATAAAAATAAAATAAAACTACAATTAAAAATAAATAAATATAAATAAATTAATAAATAATAAAAATAAAATAAAATTATAAATAAATAATAAAAATAAATAAACTAAATAAACTATAAATAAATAATAAAACTAATTTTTAAATAAAAATAAATAAATAAAATAATAAGTAAACCCTATAAATAATAAATAATAAAATAAATAAATATGAATAAATAAAATAATAAATAAAACTAAAAATAAATAATAAAAATAAATAAAATAATAAATAAAACTAAAATAAATAAATAATAAAAATAAAATAAAAATTAAAATAAATAAAAATTATAAATAAATAATAAATAATAAATAGATAAATAAATATAAATAAATAAAATAATAGATAAAATTAAAATAAATACTAAAAATAAATAAAAATAAATAAAATAATAAATACAACTAAAATAAATAAATAATTAGAATAAAATAAAATAATAAATAAAACAAAAATAAAAATAAATACAAATAAATAAAATAATAAATAAACCTAAAAATAAATAACTAAATAATAAAAATAAATAATAAATAAATAAATAAATAAATATATATAAATAAATAAAATGGACCAGATGTGGGTGCGTGTAACGTGGGAAATACGAGCGATACGTGAAGAGGTTTAATGTGAAATACAGTTAATAAAAGATATAAATTAAATTGGGGCTGCATGTACATGTTTCATACGTGAGATCTGTAATACCTTACATGTAAAATATTAAGTATATACACATTAATGCAAGAAATAGGCACAGGACACATTAAATGATTATATTAAACGTGCTAAGTATTTTAAAAGGATGTGTTTTGGTGTATGAAATACATGCAATGTGTTTTTAATGTGTGTTAAATATTTCTATGTATATAATGTGTATAAATAATATATTTATATGTATATAAAATATATTTATATGTATATATAAATATACATGTATGTATATTTATATAATATATGTATGTATATGTAAATATACATAATATGTATAAATATACACATAATATGTATAAAATATTTGATCTTACACACATTTAATACACCATTTAATACACCAATAAAATATCTAAATATAAAATAACATATTAAATGTAGGTATTCTTAATGTATGAAATATTAATAATATATATAACATATATTACGTATATATTTAATAATATATATTATATATAATCTACAAAACAATGTATTTATAATATGTAACACATAAAATATATTAATATATTCACAAAACAATATTTTAATATAATATTAATATATTCACATATTCCATATATTAAACACGTTTAACAAATACAACAATTAAATTTATATGCAATATATGAAATACATTCCCTATATATGGTAGATCTAACTTATATGCAATATATCTAATATATATAATATACAAAACACACAACCTATTAAATTCCTATATATAATACATAAAACACAGTGCATATAAAAGATGTATCTAATATATAACTCATATATCAAATGTATTTAACACACACAAAGTGCATTCATAATCTTTATTTACAAAGCGCCGACCGCGGCCGAACATCCCGAATAATTAATAATAATTAATCAATCCGGGGGGGGGCGGCCCGCGCTGGGCGGCCACGCCCACTTTTGGGCGGCCACTTCCGCCTTCCGGCGCCTTTTCCGGGTCTGGGCGGAAGCGCTGTCCGTTCCGGGCGGAAGTGGGGCGGAAGTGCAGTGCGTTCCGGGCGGAAGTGGGGCGGAAGTGCAGTGCGTTCCGGGCGGAAGCGGAAGCGCTGCGGTGTCGGTGCCAATGGCGGCGGCGGCGGCGGCGGCTCCGGGGCCCGGTCCTGGGCCCGGTCCGGGTGCGGGGCCCGGTCCGGGCGGTCCCGCAGGCCCCACCGGTGCCGCTTCGGTTGCCGCTCCCGCTGCCGGTGCCGCTGCCGGCGCGGCCCGCACGAAGAAGAAGCAGAAGCAGAAGCGGTTCGTGCCGCAGCGGGTGAAGCCGCCCCGCGCCGCGGAGCCGCTGCTGGCAGTGCTGGCCTGGGGAGTCACGCACCAGGTGGGACCCGCACCGCGGGGGGAGGGCGGGACCCCCACGGGGAACCCACAAAAACCCTGGGACCTCCCCAACATCGGCACCGCGGGGGGGGGGAACACACTGGGGACCCCCCCCAGGGACTCCCCCACTGACATCCTCGGGTGCCCCCCAGCCCCCCCTCCAGTGTCCCCAGCCCCGCCTCCCGTGTCCCCAGGACCCCTCCCATGTCCCCAGGCCCCCTCCCCGTGTCCCCAGGACCCCCTCCCCTGTCCCCAGGACCCCTCCCGTGTCCCCAGGACCCCCAGTGTGCCCCCCAGGACCCCCTTGTTTGTCCCCAGGACTCCCCCGATCCCTCAGGACCCCCACCCCTCCACACTTTGTGCCCCCAGACCCCGCTCAGTGTCCCCGAGACCCCCTTTGTGTCCCCGAGACCCCCTGCCCAGGACTGTCCCGTGTGTCCCCGCAGGCCCCCGAGCCCCCAGAGCCCCCTCCGTGTCCCCCCAGGCCCCCCTCCCTTGAGCTCCACCCGCCGGGATCCCCATCCCACCCCCGAATTTGGGGACCCCGGGTTGGGAGTGTCACCACCCTGGCAGGGTTGGGGTGGCCGCGGAGGATGGGGGTGGTCCTGGGAGGGTTGGGGAGTGGTCCTGGGGGTTGGAGGTGGTCCTGGGGGGTTGGAGGTGGTCCTGGGGGGTTGGGGCGATCCAGGGGGTTGAGGGCAGTCCCAGGGGTTTGGGGCGGTCCCAGGGGTGGGGCGGTCTCAGGATGTGGGGATGGTCCCGAGGAGTTTGGGGTGGTCCTGGGGCTTGGGGCAGTCCCAGGGATGTGGGGCAGTCCCAGGCTGTGTGGGTGGTCCCGGGGGTTGGGGTGGTCCCGGGGATTTGGGGCAGTCCCAGGCTGTGTGGGTGGTCCCGGGGCTTGGGGCAGTCCTAGGGGATTTGGGGCAGTCCCAGGCTGTGTGGGTGTCCTGGGGGGTTGGGGTGGTCCTGGGGTGTTGGGGCAGTCCCAGGCTGTGTGGGCAGTCCCAGGCTGTGGGTGTCCTGGGGGTTGGGGTGGTCCCGGGGGCTTGGGGCAGTCCCAGGCTGTGTGGGCAGTCCCAGGCTGTGTGGGTGTCCTGGGGGGGTTGGGGTGGTCCTGGGGGTGTTGGGGCAGTCCCAGGCTGTGTGGGCAGTCCTGGTGGGGGGTCCCAACGCTCCCCCCGTGCCCCCCAGATCAACGAGCTGGCGCAGGTGCCCCTGCCCGTGATGCTCCTGCCCGACGACTTCAAGGCCAGCTCCAAGATCAAGGTCAACAACCACCTGTTCAACAGGTGAGGGGGGGCACGGGGGGGGTCCTGCCGCGGGGGAGAGACCCCCCAAAGCTGACACAACCCCCCCCCCGCCCAGGGAGAGCCTGCCCAGCCACTTCAAGTTCAAGGAGTACTGCCCGCAGGTGTTCCGCAACCTGCGCGAGCGCTTCGGCATCGACGACACCGACTACCAGGTGGGCACGGAGGGGGGCACAGGGGGCACCTCTGGCACCTGGGGGGGCACCTCTGGCACCTGTGGGGGCACCCCTGGCACCTGGGGGGGCACCTCTGGCACCTATAGGGGCACCCAGACCCTGTAGGGGCACACAGAGCCTGCATGGGCACCCCAGACCCCTATAGGGGCACCCAGACCCCTACAGGGGCACCCAGAGCCTGCAGGGGCACCCAGACCCTGGGGGGCACCCCAGACCCCCGTGGGGGCACCCAGACCCCTGTAGGGGCACACAGAGCCTGCAGGGGCACCCAGACCCCCATGGGGGCACACAGAGCCTGCAGGGGCATCCAGACCCCTATAGGGACACCCTGGCACTCATAGGGGCACCCAGACCCTGGGGGGGTACCCAGACCCCTATAGGGGCACCCAGACCCTGGGGGGAACCCAGACCCCTATAGGGGCACACAGAGCCTGCAGGGGCACCCAGACCCCTATAGGGGCACCCAGAGCCTGCAGGGGCACCCAGACCCCTGGGGGGGCACCCAGAGCCCTGTAGGGACACACAGAGCCTGCAGGGGCATCCAGAGCCCTATAGGGGCACCCAGACCCCTATAGGGGCACTCAGACCCTTGGGGGGCACCTCTGTCACCTGTGGGGGCACCTAGACCCTGTGGGGTCACCCCAGACCCTGTGGAGGCACCCAGAGCCTGTGGGGTCTCACCTGTCCCCTGTGAGGTCACACCCCTGTCCCCTATAGGGTCATACACCTGTCCCCTGTACGATTACACCCCTGTCCCCCCAGGTGTCCCTGACCTGTTATAGGGTCAGTATGGGATCTCTATAGGATCCCCTGTTCCCCCAGGTGTTATAGGGTCAGTATGACATCACTATAGGATCCCCTGTCCCCATGTGTCCCTGACCTGTTATAGGGTCAGTATGGGATCACTATAGGATCCCTGTGTACCCCAGGTGTCCCTGACCTGTTATAGGGTCAGTATGACATCACTATAGGATCCCCTGTCCCCCCAGGTGTCCCTGACCTGTTATAGGGTCAGTATGGGATCACTATAGGATCCCCTGTCCCCCCAGGTGTTATAGGGTCAGTATGACATCACTATAGGATCCCCTGTCCCCCCAGGTGTCCCTGACCTGTTATAGGGTCAGTATGGGATCACTATGGGATCCCCTGTCCCCCCATGTGTCCCTGACCTGTTATAGGGTCAGTATGGGATCACTATAGGATTCCCTGTCCCCCCAGGTGTCCCTGACCTGTTATAGGGTCAGTATGGGATCTCTATAGGATCCCCTGTCCCCCCAGGTGTCCCTGGCCCGTCACCCCCCCACTGGTCCCACTGTGGGGTATCTATAGGATCTCTATAGGGTCTGTGTGTCCCCCCAGGTGTCCCTGGCCCGTCACCCCCCCCGCTGGTCCCAAACCTCCCCCCGGTTGTTGCTCTCGGCCGACCGGACGCTGGTGCTGAAGGAGCTCAGCAGTGAGGGCGTGGCCGACCTGCACGGGCTGCTGGCACACTATCACCAGGTGAGGGGACATGGGGACACACAGGGGACATGGGGACACACAGGGGACATGGGGACACACAGGGCTGCTGGCACACTATCACCAGGTGAGGGACACACAGGGGACATGGGGACACACAGGGGACACACAGGGGGGACACACAGGGCTGCTGGCACACTGTCACCAGGTGAGGGGACAATGGGGACACACAGGGGACATGGGGACACACAGGGCTGCTGGCACACTATCACCAGGTGAGGGGACAATGGGGGCACACAGGGCTGCTGGCACACTATCACCAGGTGAGGGGACACACAGGGCTGCTGGCACACTATCACCAGGTGAGGGGACACACAGGGGACATGGGGACACACAGGGGACACACAGGGGCACGGGGGTGTTTGAGGGGTACAGGGGGTTTGGGGGTCACAGGGGTGTCCCTGATGCCCCCTGCCCCCCAGTACGTGGTGCCACGGGCAGACACTGCTGGTGGGGTGGGTTTGGGAGGGTCACAGGGTGTTTAGGGGGCACGGGGTATTTAGGGGCACAGGATCCCTGATGACCATCAGCTCCCAGTACATGGGCAGACGCTGATGATGGGGCTGGGTTTGAGGGGCACAGGGTGTTTGGGGGGCACAGGGGGTGTTTGGGGGCACAGGGGTGTTTGGGGGTCACAGGGGGTCCCTGATGCCCCTGCCCCCAGTACGTGGTGCAGGTGCACGGCAGACGCTGCTGCCGCAGTTCCTGGGCATGTACCGCGTCAGCGTGGACAGCGAGGAGGAGGGCACAGGGGGGTTTGGGGGCACAGGGGGTCACAGAGGGGTCCCTGATGCCCCTGCCCCCCCAGTACGTGGTGCAGGTGCACGGGCAGACGCTGCTGCCGCAGTTCCTGGGCATGTACCGCGTCAGCGTGGACAGCGAGGAGCGGTACCTGCTGGTCATGAGGAACCTGTTCAGCCACCGCCTGCCCCTGCACAGGAAGTACGACCTCAAGGTGGGACCCCCCAGAGCCCCTGGGGCACAGCACCCCCCAAAACCCCCCCACAGCCCCCCCTGACCCCGGCCCTGTCGCTGTCCCCAGGGCTCCCTCGTGGACAGAGAGGCCAGCGACAAGGAGAAGGTACTGGGGGCGTGGGGTGGGACCCCCACTTTGGGGGGAGGGCGTGCAGGGCTTGTTACCCACCCCCCCCCACCTTAAAATTTGGAGGGAGGGTCTCCCCTCAAAATTTGGAGAGGGGGAGGTGTCCAGGTTTTGTTGCTCTCGAAATTTGGGGGGTTGGGGTCTCCAGGTCTTGTTATCCCCACCCTTCTTCCCCCCCCAAGTTTGTTACTCCCCTCAAAATTGGGGGAGGGGGCTCCAGGCCTGCTGACTCCTCTCCAGATTTGTTGCTGCCCTTAAAATTGGGGGTTGGGGGGGTGTCTCCAGGTCTTGTAACTCCCCTCAAAGTGGGGGATTGAGGGGAGGTCTCCAGAACTTGTTATTCCCCTCAAAATGCCTTTTTGGTCCCTCCTCAAATTTGGGGGATGGGGGGGGTCCCCAGGTCTTGTCACTCCCCTTAAATTTGGGGAGGGGGAGGTGTGTGTGTTTCTCCAGACCTTTTTACTCACCTCTAAATTTTGGGGGGAGGGTCTCCAGGCCTTATTACTTTATGGGGGGGTCTCCGGGTCTTGTTGCTTTTGGAGGGGGGTCTCCTGGTTACTCCCCTTAAATGTGTGTGTGTGTGGGGGGAGGGGTCTCCTGACTCCCCCTTCCCCATAACCCCTCTATGCCCTCCCCTCCCCAATGAGGGTCCTCCTGCCCCCACTCCCTCCCAGCCCCTCTTTGGGGTGTCCCCATCCTGGGGGGTGTCCCCCACCCCAAGGGGTGTCCCCCACCCCAGGGACTCTCCCCCAGCCCAGGGGGTGTCCCCATCCCAAGGGTGTCCCCAGCCCTCTTTGGGTGTCCCCCATCCCCAAGGGGTGTCCCCCAGCCCCTCTTTGGGGTGTCCCCATCCTGGGGGGTGTCCCCCAGCCCCTCTTTGGGGTGTCCCCCAGCCCAGGGGGTGTCCCCCACCCCAAGGGGTGTCCCCCAGCCCCTCTTTGGGGTGTCCCCATCCTGGGGGGTGTCCCTAGCCCCTCTTTGGGGTGTCCCCATCCTGGGGGGTGTCCCCCAGCCCTCTTTGGGGTGTCCCCAGCCCAGGGGGTGTCCCCCAGCCCAGGGACTCTCCCCCAGCCCGGGGGGCTCCGTGCCCCCGCTGTGCCCCGCAGGGGAAGGAGCTGCCCACGCTGAAGGACGTGGATTTCCTCAACAACAACGAGAAGGTGTTTGTGGGGCCGGAGCAGCAGCGACACTTCATGGACAAGCTGCGCAGGGACGTGGAGGTGGGGACGGGGGGCTGAGCCCACGGGGGGGAAATGGGGGGCTGAAATCCCTGTGGGGGGACAGGAGGGGGCTGCACCCCCGGAGGAGGAAATGGGGAGGCCCTGCCTGTGCCCTGGGAGGTGTTTTGGGGCCATGCCCACACCAAGGGGGTGTTTTGGGACCATGCCCACGCCCAGGGGGTGTTTTGGGGCTGTGCCCACACCGTGGGATCTGGGGGACCGTGCCCGCTCCTGGGGGGTTGTTTTGGGGCCGTACCCATTCCTGGGGGTTGTTTTGGGGCCATACCCATGCCCTGGGGGTGTTTTGGGGCCCTGCCCATGCCCTGGGGGTCTGGGGGGCCCTGCTTACACCGGGGGGTGTTTTGGGGCCCTGGCCATGCCCGGGGGGTCTGGGGTCCCTGGCCATGCCCAGGAGGTGTTTTGGGGCCCTGGCCATGTCCTGGGGGATCTGGGGGGCCCTGCCCACATCCTGGGGTTGTTTTGGGGCCATACCCACCCCTGGGGTTGTTTTGGGGCTGTACCCACCCCTGGGTGTGTTTTGGGGCTGTGCCCACGTCCTGGATGTGTTTTGGGGCCATACCCATGCCCTGGGGGTGTTTTGGGGCCCTGCCCCCACCCAGGGATGTTTTGGGGCTGTGCCCACACCGGGGGGGGTTCTGGGGTCTGTACCCACGTCCTGGGTGTGTTTTGGGGCTGTACCCACCCCTGGGTGTGTTTTGGGGCTGTACCCACGTCCTGGGGGTGTTTTGGGGCCCTGCCCACACCCGGGGGGTGTTTTGGGGCTGTGCCCACCCCTGGGTGTGTTTTGGGGCCCTGCCCACCCCGGGGGGTGTTTTGGAGCTGTACCCACTCCCGGGGGTTGTTTTGGGGCTGTACCCACCCCGGGGGGTGTTTTAGGGCTGTACCCCCCCCGGGGGGTGTTTTGGGGCTGTGCCCACCCTGGGGGTTGTTTTGGGGCCCTGCCCACACCCGGGGGGTGTTTTGGGGCTGTGCCCACGTCCTGGGGGTGTTTTGGGGCTGTACCCACCCCGGGGGGTGTTTTGGGGCTGTACCCACCCTGGGGGGTTTCTGGGGCTGTACCCATGTCCTGGGGTTGTTTTGGGGCTGTACCCACTCCCGGGGGGTGTTTTGGGGCCCTGCCCCCCCCGGGGGGTGTTTTGGGGCCCTGCCCCCCCCCGGGGGGTGTTTTGGGGTGCCCTAACGCGGCGCTGGCCGCAGTTCCTGGTGCAGCAGAAGCTGATGGGGTACAGCCTCCTGCTGGGCATCCACGACCTGGAGCGGGGCGAGCAGGACGAGGAGGAGGAGCCGGAGGAGGAGGAGCCCCCCGGGGACGAGGGGGGGTGGGGGCCCTACGGCACCTCCCCCGAGGGGCTGGGGGGGCTCCTCAACTCCTACAGACCCCCCGGGCCCGGGGAGTTGGACCCCGCCGTGGACGTGTACGGGGTCAGGGGCCGAGGTGAGTGAGGGGGGCAGATTGGGTGGGGGTGACATGGGGTGGCACAGATGGGGCTGGGGTGAATGGGGTTGGGGGCACAGATGGGGCTGGGGGTCCCACTGTCCCTATGGGGTTACACCTGGTACGTGCAGGGGCACACCTGGCACTTATGGGGTCACAGCTGGCACCTGTGGGGTCACCCCCCTGTCCCCTTTAGGGTCACACCCGTGTCCCCTAATGGGGTCACACACCCAGGGCTGGGGGGCCACAACTGTCCCTGGGGTAAAGTCCCCAGGGTGACTTCACCTGTCACCTTACAGGGTCACACACCTGTCCCTGTCCCCTGTAGGGTCACACCCCCCATAGGGTCACACCACTGTAGGGTCACACACCTGAAGCCTTTGGGGTGGGGTGTAGGGGGTACTGAGGGGTCTCAGGGGGTTGTTTGGGGTGCAAGGGGGTTGTTTGGGGTGCAGGGGCATTGTTTGGGGTACAGGGGGGATCTGAGGGGTCCCTGCCCCCCAGGAGCCCCCCACAGGGAGCTGTACTTCATGGGGGGATGTTTGGGGTGCAGGGGTTGTTTGGGGTCTGAGGGGTCCCTGCCCCCCAGGAGCCCCCCGCAGGGAGCTGTACTTCATGGGGCTGGTGGACGTGCTCACTCAGTACGACGCGCGCAGGAAGGCGGCGCACGCGGCCAAGACCGTCAAACACGGGGTGAGGGGGCTGGGGGGGCACTTTGGGGTCTGGGGGCACTTTGGGAACAGGGGAGACACTTTGGGGTCTGGGGGCACTTTGGGGTAGGGGAATTTGGGGTTGGGAGGGCATTTTGGGGCGGGGGCACTTTGGGGTAGGGGGCGTTTTGGAGTGAGGGGAATTTGGGGTTGGGAGGGCACTGAGGTCTAGGGGGAATTTGGGGTCTGAGGGGAATTTGGGTTCTGGGTGGGATTTGGGGTCTGGGGGGAGGTTTGGGGTCTGGGGGAATTTGGGGTCTGGGTGGAAAATTTGGGGTCTGCAGGGGCACTTTGGGGTAGGGGAACACTTTGGGGTCAAGGGGTAATTTGGGGTCTGGGGACCACTTTGGGAGTGGGGAATTTGGGGTCGGGGGAAATTTTGGGTCAGGAGGACAATTTGGGGTCTGGGGGCACTTTGGGGTCTGAATTTGGGAGGGTAGGGGTACATGCGTGGGTTTGGGGGATTTCAGTTCCTGGGGGGCTGAGGGGGTTTGGGGGCTGTAGGGGGTGTTTTGGGGGTGTATCAATTTTTGGGGGCTGTGGGGGTGTTTGGAGGACTGTGGGGGTGCTTGAGGGTGGTATCAGTTCTGGGGGGTCTCTGGGGGTTCCAGGGTGGGAGAGTCAGTCCTGGGGGTCCTGGGGGTCGGGTCAGTCCCAGGGGTCTCTGAGCCGGTGCCCCCAGGCAGGAGCCGAGATCTCCACGGTGCACCCCGAGCAGTACGCTAAGCGCTTCCTCGACTTCATCTCCAACATCTTCGCCTGAGGGGGGCCCTGGATGCCCCCGGGCACCCCTCGACCAAACCTCCCCCAGGGTGCACTGACCCCCAGGCCGTGCCCAGCCCCTCCCCCACGGCAGCCCCTCCCCCAAGGGGGCTTTGCTGCTCAAGTGCCTTAACTCAGCCTGGGGGTCGGGGGCTCTGGCACAGCCCCCAGCACTGGGGGTCTGGGTGCCCCCTCATCCTCAGGGGGCTCTGGGACCCTTTAACCCCCCCACCCCACAGTGCTGGGGGGGTCAAACACTACTTGCTCCAGGTTGAGGGGGGTGGGGGCCCCCGCGTGACCCTCTGGGGGTGCAGCCCCCCTGTTTTGGGGGAGGGGGGCACAGACCCCTCCCTCTTCTGAATGAGGCTTGGGGGGGGCTCTCCTTGCACCCCCTCCTCGTGGACCTGGGGGGGCACCTGAACCCCCCTTTATTGCAGCCGCGGGGGTGGGGGAGGACCCTGACCCGGTGTGACCTCCCCATCCCCCATTACCAGTGGGACCCCCTCAAGGGGAAGGGGCTCCCTCCCTTCCCCCCCCCCGTACCCCGAGAAATAAATTATTGAACCCAACGCGGCTCTGACCCAATTCCGGGACCCCCAAACACCCCCCGTCAGCCCCCACCCCCTTCATTCCCGGGACCCCCACAAACACCCCCGGACCCCCAAACACCCCCGTCAGCCCCCACCCCCTTCATTCCAGGACCCCCAAACACCCCTGACCCCCAAACACCCCCTTGTCACCCCCACCCCCTTCATTCCCGGAACCCTCACAAACACACCCCACCCCGGACCCCCAAACCCCCCTTGTCACCCCCACCCCCTTTCATTCCTGGAACCCCCACAAACACCCCCACCCCCGGAACCCCAATCCCCCCATCACCCCCCAACCCCTTCATTCCCGGAGCCCCCGGATCCCCAAACCCACCCGGACCCTCATCCATCACCCCCAAACCCTTCATTCCCGGACCCTCCCCAAACACCCCGGCCCCCCATCACCTCCACCCCCTTTATTCGGACCCCCAAACACCCCGAGGCCCCCCGCTCGCTCCCCCTTGATTCCGAGACACTCCCCCGAAAATGCCCCGTCCCGGGGTCTGCTGGCCCCGCCCCACCGCTCTGGCTCCGCCCCACCCTCTGGCCCCGCCCCTCCCTGCAGCACCGCGGTCTCTCCTTCTCCCTGGCCCCCGCCCCCGCCGTTTTGGCTCCGCCTCCACCGTAGCCCCGCCCCTCTCCGCGCCGTTGCCATGGTGACGCTGCCGGCCCCGCCCCGCGCGGTCACGTGACGCAGGAGCGCCCGCGATGCTGCGCCCGCCCGGGCCCGGTGGGTGGGGGGAGGGAAAGGGGGTTGGGGGGTTTGGGGGCAGCAGGACTCCCCGGCACCGCCCCCACCCCCGCAGCGCCCCTGCCCCCCTGCCTCGGGCCTGACCCCCAGGCCCCTCCCAGGCCTGTCCATCACCCCGGGCCTCATCGGGACCCCCGACCCCCTCCCGGGCCTGTCCATCACCTTCGGGCCCTGTCAGGACCCCCAGACCCCCCAGGGCCTTACCCGGACCTCTCGACCCCTCCCCGGGCCTGTCCATCACCCCGGGCCCTGTCGGGACCCCCGACCCCCCTGGCCCATCCCCAGGCCTGTCCATCACCCCCGGACCTGTCAGGACCCCTCCGAAACCCCCGGGCTTGTCCGTTCGTCCCAGGCCCTGTCAGGACCCCCGACCCCCTGGGCCCATCCCTGGGCCTGTCCATCACCCCGGGGCCTGTCAGGACCCCAGACCCCCAGGGCCGTACCCGGACCTCTCGACCCCTCCCGGGCCTGTCCGTCACCCCGGGCCTCGTCAGGACCCCCTGACACCCTCAAGGAGCCTTACCGGGACGCCTGGGCCCTGTCGGGACCCCCAGAACCCCCCGGGCCCCCTCCCCAGGCCTGTCCATCACCCCGGGCCTTACGGGGACGCCCCAGGCGCTGTGGGGACCCCCGAACCCCCGGGCCTGTGCAGCCCCTCGATCCCCCGGGACCCCCGAACCCCCTGGGCCTGGGCAGCCCCTCCCGGGCATCATCTGTCCCCCCAGATCCCCCTCCCCGGCCTGGGCAGCCCCCGACCCCACCGGGACCCCCAAGCCACCCCCGGGCCTGGGCAGCCCCCAGATCCTCCCAGGACCCCCAGACTCCCCCGGGCCTCATCCGGACCCCCGGGCCTTCCCGTCCCCATCGCCCCCGGGTCTGTGTGTCCCCCGGAGCCCCCGGGAATCTCGGGGGACACCCAATGTGGGGAGCATGTTCAGCCCCCGAACCGCAGGGACCCCCTGAACCCCTCCCCCACCAGTGTCGGGGTGCTGAAGAGGTTTGGGGGTTGGAGGTTTAGGGGTTGGTGACCCCCAAATCTGTTGGGGGGGAGGGCTGGTGCTGTGGGTGTCGTGGGGTCCTCTGGAGACATGGGGGGAGCGCTGTTGTTATTGTAGGGTCTGCTGATGGGGAGGGGATGCTGAGGGGTGTGACCCCCATGACCCCCCGTGACTCCCCCGTGTCCCCCAGCCCCGGGCTCGTGGCTCTGCTGATCCCCTCCCCCGGCACCTTCGGCTCGTCCCCATGAGCTCACCAGGTGGGTGTGGGACCCCGGCCATGGGACCCCCTCGACCATGGGACCCCCTCAGACCATCCCGGTCATGGGACCCCTCGGACCATGGGACCCCCTCGACCATCCCCGGCCATGGGACCCCCAGACCATCCCCAGCCATGGGACCCCCTCAGACCATCCCCCGGCCATAGGACCCCCCTCAGACCATGGGACCCCCCTCGACCATCCCGGCCATGGGACCCCCTCAGACCATCCCCGGCCATAGGACCCCCCTCAGGCCATCCCCTGGCCATGGGACCCCCCCTCGGACCATGGGACCCCCACTCAGATCCATCCCGGCCATGGGACCCCCTTCAGACCCCCCTGGCCGCATGGGACCCCCCTCGGACCATCCCTGGCCATGGGACCCTTCGACCCCGGCCATGGGACCCCCATCAGACCATGGGACCCCTCCTCAGACCCCCCCAGCTGTAGGGAACCCTCAGACCCCCTATGATATGTGGGGACCCCTTTAGACCACCCCTGGCCATGAGGACCCCCTCACATCCCCCCCAGCTCTGGGGACCCCTTTAGACCCCTGTCATCTCTGGGACCCCCTCAGACCCCTCCCATCTGTGGGGACCCCCTCAGTCCCCCTGGTCACGGGGCCCCCCTCAGACCCCCCAAGCTCTGGGACCCCTCAGATTCCCCCAACCATAGGACCCCCCTCAACCCCCCCTTCTGCTGTCCCTGTCCAACTCTGGGGACCCCCAGGTGTTGGGGACCCCCTCAGACCCCCATCTGTGGGTTTTGGGGGTCCCATGCCCAGGTCTCATGGGCAGTTTGGGGGTTTTGGGGTCCATGCCCAGGTCTCAGGGTGGTTTGGGGGTTTTGGGGGTCCATGCCCAGGTCTCAGGGTGGTTTTGGGGTCCATGCTGTCTCAGGGCGGTTTTGGGGGTCCATGAGGGGTCCCGGCCCAGCTCTGGGGGTTGGGGGTTTTGGAGGTCCATGCCCAGCTCTGGGGGATTTGGGGGTTTTGGGGGTCCCTGCTCAGGTCTCTGGGGGTTTTGGGGGTCCATGCCCATGCTATGGGTGTTTTGGGGTCCATTCCCAGGCTCAGGGGGATTTGGGGGATTTTTGGGTGGTCCATGCTCAGGCTCTGGGGGTTTTGGGGGGTCCATGCCCAGGTCTCTGGGGGTTTGTGGGATACATGTCCAGACTCTGGGGGTTTGGGGTCCATGCCCAGGCTCTCGGGGTTTTGGAGGGTCCATGCCCAGGCTCTGGGGGTTTTGGGGGGTCCATGCCCAGGCTCTGGGGATTTGGGGTCCATGCCCAGTGCTCTGGGGGTTTTGAGGATCCATGTCCAGACTCTGGGGGTTTGGGGGGGTCCATGCCCAGGCTCTGGGGGGTTTTGGGGCAGTTTGTCCAGATTCTGGTGGGTTTTGGGGTCCCCCCTGCAGTGTCCAGTCCCGGAGGGTTTGGGGTGCAGTCCCAGAGGGTTTGGGGGTGCAGTCCCTCAGGGGACAATCGGGTGGTTTGGGGTTGCATTCTCTGGGATTTGGGGGGGCAGTCCCGGATGGTTTGGGGTGCAGTCCCAGAGGTTTGGGGGGGCAGTCCCAGATGGTTTGGGGTGCAGCCTCTGGGGTTTGGGGGTCCATGCCAGCCCCTGATGTTTTGGGGGGGCTGTTGGTGCTGTCCAGGGGGTCAGGGCTCAGGGGGGGCACCAAGAGCAGGGGGACAGGGCTGGGGGGTCCAGTCTCGGGGGGGAAGTTGGGGTCCTGTCCCTGATGGTTTTTGGGATCAGTCCCTGATGGATTTGGGATCCAGTCCCTGATATTTTGGGGTCCAGTCTCTGATGTTTTGGGATCCAGTCCCTGACTCTTTAGGGTCCCATCCCTGATGTTTTGGAGTCCAGTCCCTGATGTTTTGGGGTCCAGTCTCAGAGGGCTTTGAAGGTCCAGCCCCTGATGGTTTTGGGGTCAATCCCTGATGTTTGAGCTCCAGTCCCTGATGTTTCAGGATCCAGTCTCTGATGTTTTGGGCTCCAGCCTCAGAGAGTTTTGGGGTCCCATCCCTGATGTTTTGGGCTCCACTCCCTGATGTTTTGGGGTCCATTCTCTGATGTTTTGGGGTCCAGTCCCTGATGGTTTTGGGGTCCCATCCCTGACCCTTTGGGCTCCAGTCCCGGATGTTTTGGGGTCCCATCCCTGACCCTTTGGGCTCCAGTCCCGGATGTTTTGGGGTCCCATCCCTGACCCTTTGGGCTCCAGTCCCGGATGTTTTGGGGTCCCATCCTGACTCCTCGGGGTCTCCACGGTGCCGTTCGTGGTTCGGGGGCCCCGCCACGATCCGGTGGGGTGGTTTGTGGGTGTTTTTGGGGTGCTGTCTCCGCCGTCCCGGGGTCCCCCCTGAGCGGGCGCGGTGCCCCCGCAGTGTCGTTCGTGCTGTCCAGGATGTCGGGGTGCGGGGGCCCCGCCAAGAGCCGCGTGACGGTGCCGAAGCGGGTGTGGGAGTTCGTGACGCGGGAGCGCGCGGCGCGCCTGGCGCTGCTGGCGCAGGAGGCGCGGGTGCGGATCCTGGTGGACGGCGAGACCCCCGAGCTGTACGTGCTGCAGCTCTGCGCGACCCCCCCGGACCCCCCCGGCGGGCTCTGCCCCGCCCGCAAAGCGCTCAAGGCGCTGCTCAAGGAGACCGAGAAGGAGCTCAAGAAGCGCAGCGGCAGCAACAACAACAACCACCCGCACGGGCACAACCCGCAGCACAACCCGCAGCACGGCCACGCCGAGGGGCCGGGGGGTCGCGCCGAGCCCCCCGCGGGCGCGGCCGGAGCCCCCCCGGCCCCCGCGGCGGGGCGGGACGAGGAGCCCGAGCGGCAGTGCCCGATCTGCCTGGGCGAGATGCGGGGGCCCCGCACGCTCGAGCGCTGCCGCCACGCGTTCTGCGGGGATTGCATCGCGCGGGCCCTGCAGGTCCGCTCCGCCTGCCCCGTCTGCGGCCGCTTCTACGGGCAGCTGGTGGGCAACCAGCCCCCCGACGGGCGCATGCTGGTCACGCGTGACCACCAGCTGCCCCTGCCCGGCTACGAGGCCTTCGGCACCATCATCATCCAGTACGTGTTCCCGCCCGGAGTGCAGGGGGTGAGTGCGGGAGCCAGGGCGCCGCGGGGGACACGGGGGACAGGGGACACGGGGGGACACAGGGGGACAGAGGGGGACACGGGGGTAATGGGGGACACGGGGGCACAGGGGGACACGGGGGTAATGGGGGACACGGGGGCGGGGGACAGGGTTCAAGGGGGATACGGGGACACGGGGGATGGGGGGAGATACAGGGGACACAGGGTGCACGAGGAGGATACAGGGGGATGCAGGGGACACAGGGGGACACAGGGGACACGGGGGATACAGGGGCACGGGGCACAGGGCGACACAGGCACGGAGGGCACAGGGGGTCCAGGTAAGAAGGGCATGGGGGGCACATGGGGCGTAGGAATGGGAGAACACGGCGGGTGCAGGGGGACATGAGGGTAGAGACGTGGAGGGTCATGGGGCACGGGGGGCACAGGGGGCACGGGCGTTGGGGACACAGGGGCACAGGCATGAAGGGCAGGGGCACTGAGGGGACATGGGGGGACATGCAGGCACAGGAGTCCTGGGGCACAGGAATGGGGGACACGGGGGCCATGGGGGCACAGGCAGGGGGATGAAGGGGGCACGGGGGGACATGGGGGGCACAGTGGCTGGGGGGAGGAGGGGTTGGTGAATGTGGGTGCCCCCAAATCCTCCTGGGTGGCCCTGGGTGCCCCCAAATCCTGCTGGGGGTTCCTGGGCCCCCTGGGTGCCCCCAAATCCTCGTGGGTGGCCCTGGGCCAGCCCCGTGCCCCCCAACACCCCTGAGTGCCCTCAGCCCCCGATGGGTGACCCTGGGTGTCCCCAAATCCTGGTGGGGATCACTGGCACCCTTGATATCCCCAAATGTCCCTGACCCTACCCTGGGCTCCCCAGTCCTCCTGTTCCCCTCATCCTACCCCACCTCCCTCAACCCCCCCACCTGTGATTTTTGGGGCCCAGGACCCACCCCTTTCCTGGGATTTTGGGTCCCCCATTTTCCCCCAGTCTTTATGGCCCAGGAGTGACCCCTTTTCCCTGGGATTTTGGGGCACAGGATTGACCCTTTTCTGGGATTTTAGGGCACCCCTTTTCCCCCCGTCTTTATGGCCCAGGAGTGACCCCTTGTTCTGGGGTTTTAGGGATGGGGGCTGTGGTGCCCTGCCCTCCCTGTGCCCTGCCCTTACTTGTCCCCCCTCACCCCCACCCTCACCTGTGCTGTGCCCCCTGTGCAGGTGGGGCACCTGAACCCCGGGGTGTGGTACCTGTGCCCCCCCAGCTCTCACACCTTACCTGAGCCCCCCACCTTAACCTGTGCCCCCTGTGCAGGTGGAGAACCTGAACCCTGGGGTGGATTCCTGTGTCCCCCCACCCCTCATCTGTGTCCCTCACCTGTGCCCCCCCTGTGCAGGTGGGGCACCTGAACCATGGGGTGTGGTGCCTGGGCACCACCTGTGTCACACACCTGTGTCCCCATCCCTTACCTGTGTCCCTCACCTGTGCCCCCCAGGTGGAGCACCCCAACCCCGGGGTGCGGTACCCGGGCACCACCTGTGTCACACCCCTGTGTCCTGACCCCTCACCTGTCCCATACCCTCTGTGCAGGTGGAGCACCCCAACCCCGGGGTGCGGTACCCAGGCACCCTGACCCTCACCTGTGTCCCCCCTGCAGGTGGAGCACCCCAACCCCGGGGTGCGGTACCCGGGCACCACCCATGTCACACACCTGTGTGACCCCTCCCTTACCTGTCCCATACCCCCCCTGCAGGTAGAACACCCCAACCCTGGGGTGCAGTACCTGGGTACCACGTGTGTCACACACCTGTCCTGTGCTGTCCCCCCCCAGGTGGAACACCCCAACCCCAGGGTGCGGTACCCGGGCACCACCCGTGTCACACACCTGTGTCCCCATCCCTTACCTGTGCTGTCCCCCCAGGTAGAACACCCCAACCCTGGGGTGTGGTACCCGGGCACCCTGACCCTCACCTGTCCCATACACCCCCCCTGCAGGTAGAACACCCCAACCCCGGGGTGCGGTACCCGGGCACCACGCGCGTGGCGTACCTGCCCGACTGCCCCGAGGGGAACAAGGTGCTGGGGCTGTTCCGCAAGGCCTTCGCCCAGCGCCTCACCTTCACCGTGGGCACCTCCCTGACCACCGGCAGGGCCAACGTCATCACCTGGAACGACATCCACCACAAGACCAACTGCACCGGCGGCCCGCAGCTGTGCGGGATGGGGGGCATGGGGGGGATATGGGGGACATGGGGGATGGGGGGACATGGAGGGACAGGGGGACAGGGCGGGGATTGGGGAACGACATCCACCACAAGACCAACTGCACCGCGGCCCACAGCTGTGTGGGGGCACAGGGACAGGGGGATATGGGGACGGGGGGACATGGGGGACAGGGGGATATGGGGGCAGGGGGATATGGGGACATGGGGACAGGGGGACATGGGGGGACATGGGAGGATTGAGGAACGACATCCACCACAAGACCAACTGCACCAGCGGCCCGCAGCTGTGCGGGGGGCACAGGGGACAGGGGGACAGGGGGGACAGAGGGGACATGAGGGGGACATGGGGTGGCATATGGGGGGACAGGGTGGGGATTGGGGAACGACATCCACTACAAGACCAACTGCACCGGGCAGCCCACAGCTGTGCAGGGGCACAGGGACATGGGGGACACGAGGGGGCAAGGGGAGGCACAGGTGGCATAGGGGGACAGGGTGGGAAGGGGGGCAGAGGGGGCATAGGGTGGTCACGGGGCTGACACCTGAGGGCACAGGAGGGCACCAAGACCAAGAGCTCCAGTGGGCCCCAGCTGTTGGGGGCACATGGGGAGCATGGGGGAACATGGAGGGGCCCGGGGGCACCTGGGAGGATGATGGGGACATGGGGGGCACCAAGACCAACTACCCCGGGGGTCCAGTTCTTAGGGGATGGGGGGCTACTGGGGTGGGCTGATGGACGTTTGGGGGATGGGGGAACCCGGGGGGGGCAGCTGAGGGAGGGAGCACCCAGTGATGGGGGGGGCACCCTCACGACCCCCCCTGTGCCCCCCAGGTTCGGGTACCCCGACCCCACGTACCTCGCCCGGGTGCAGGAGGAGCTGCGGGCCAAGGGCATCACCGAGGACTGAGGGGGGGTGGGGGGACCCCCCGGGCACCGGGACCCCCCAGGGACCCCCCCCGGGCACCGGGACCCCCCTGGAATGGAGCCCACCCTGTGGGGACCCCCCCAGGCACCGGGACCCCCTGGAGACCCTGTGGGGACCCCTCCTGGGCAACGAAGACCCCCCCAGAGATGGAGCCCACCGTGTGGGGACCCCCCCAACCACGGGGACCCCCCAAAAATGGACCCCACCCTGTGGGGACCCCCCCATCAGTGGGAGCCCCCCAAGAATGGAGTCCAAGCTGCCGGGACACCCCCAGGCAAGGGGACCCCCCTGGGAGCCCCCAGGCAGGAGGACCCCCAACCCCCCAGGGCACAAGGAGGGGTCAGACCCCCGGGGAGGGGTGGGGCTGTGCAGCCCCCGGCACGGACAGACCCTGTACATACCCCCACCCCACCCCAGGACACGCAGGGGCTCTGCCCCACCCCCAGCCCCGGCCAGGGGTCCCAGCCCGGGGGGGTTTATTTATTTTGTATTTCCCCCCCCAGGTCTGTAACTTTGACCCAATAAAAATATGCAACGGAATGAGGATTTGGGATCCGGGGTTTGGGATCCGGGGTTTGGGATCTGGGATTTGGGGTCCAGGATTTGGGGTCCAGGATTTGGGATCCGGGATTTGGGATCTGGGATTTGGGATCTGGGATTTGGGGTCCAGGATTTGGGGTCCAGAATTTGGGATCCAGGATTTGGGATCCAGAGTTTGGGATCTGGGATTTGGGATCTGGGATTTGGGATCTGGGATTTGGGATCCAGAGGGTTCCAAGGCAGTTGGAAGGTTGGGAGGTGCCACCTGTGGGGCAGCGTCTCCATCTCCCCCTCCCTCCCTCCCTCCCCCCAAATCCATCTCCCAGATCCACCCAAATTCCACCGGAAAGGGGCGGGGGAGTCCCACAGCTCTGTCCCGTTCCCCCCCAGCGCCACAGGGGCGTCTCAACCCCCCCCAAACTTCCGAAATCCCCCCTAAACCCCCCAAATCCCACCCGTCCCTTTCCTCTTATCGGGAAGGAATTCCCAGAGATATCCCTGGAGGTTTTTTTTGGGGGGCCCTGAGGGGTTTCCAGACCCTACGGGGACCCCCAAGCCCCTCAGAGCCCCCCCGAGTCCCCCAAGGGCTGTGGGGACCCCCAAGTCTTCCACAGCCCCCGGGATGAGCCTCCCCCGTGGGGAACTGGGACACGGGGGGACACAGGGGGACACGGAGAGGGACACCCGAGGGGGAGGGAGGGACACGAGGGACGATGGGGGGGACACGGAGGGGGAGGGGAGGGGGACACGTCACGCCCCCGGCACGCGTGGAATGTTCCCGATAAGGGTCAGGGTGGGAACGGCTCCGACCCCCCCCACCCCCACGCACCCGTCGGCGGGCCTGGGGTCCCCAAAGAGCCACGGGGGGAAGGGGACAGGTGAGGGGACCGCCGGGGGGGGGACCCTTTGTGACCCCACGGGGGAAAATGGGGGGGGAAAAAAGGGGGAAAATGGGAGAAAAAGGGGCAGGAATGGGGAAAATTTGGGCAAAAACGGGGCAAAAAGAGGCAGGAATGGGGCAAAATTGGGCATAAATTGGGAGGAATGGGGAAAAACGGGGGAAAACGGGGGAAATTGGGGGAAAAGGGGCAGGAATGGGGCAAAATCCGGCACAAATTGGGGAAAAAATGGCCGGGAATGGGGAAAAATGGGGTGAAATGGGGCAAAATCGGTTAAAAGCAGAGAAAAAGGGGGCAGGAAAGGGGTAAAATGCACCCCACGAGCTGTGGGGAGGAGTTTTGGGGGTGACCGCTCTGACCCCACCCCCCCTCAGTTCTGGGGGTGGTTCCTTTGCCCCTGACCCCACCCCACAGTTATGGGACCCTCCCTGCCCCTCAGTTATGGGATCGATCAGTTATGGGGTCAATCCCTGCCCCTCAATTATGGGGTCGTTCCCTGTCCCTCAGTTATGGGGTCAACCCAGGTCCCTCAGTTATGGGACCATCCCTGTCCCTCAGTTATGGGGTCGATCAGTTATGGGGTCAGTCCCTGTCCCTCAGTTATGGGATTGTTCCCTGTCCATCAGTTATGGGATTGGTCAGTTATGGGGTCGATCCCTGTCCCTCAGTTATGGGACCACTCCCTGTCCCTGTCCCTGTGGGGGGCTATAGGGCCTGTCCTCAGTTTCCCCCCCCCGTTTTACCCCCGGGCCCCCGAACCCCAAAATCCCCGAACCCGCCAAAATCCCCCCGAACCCCCCCGGATCTCCCTGCGCTCAGTCCCGCCGGGGAGGGGGCGTGGCCTCAGCAGGGGGGCGTGGCCTCCACATCCACCAAAGCGTTGCCGGGGCAACGGGGGCGTGGCCATGGGCAAAAGGGGCGTGGTCACCGCTACGGGGGCGTGGCCTCAGCAGCTGCCGCGGTAAGGGGGCGTGGCCTGTGTGGTGGGGGCGTGGTTTGGTAAGGGGGCGTGGCCCCGCTCCACCCCCCCCAACATCTCCAGTCTCCCCAGTATCTCCCAGTCCCCTCCCTGCCTCCCAGTCCGCCCGGTGCCTCCACACCCCCCAGTTCTGCCCAGTTCTGCCCGGTTGCCCCAGTGCCCCCCAGTACCCCCAGTGCCCCCAGTGCCCCCAGTAACCCCCAGGACCCCACAGTGCCCCCAGTAACCCCTAGTGCCCCCAGTAACCCCCAGTTCCCCAGTCCCCCAGTAACCCCCAGTTCCCCAGTCCCCCAGTAACTCCCAGTACCCCCAGTTCCCCAGTCCCCCCAGTGCCCCCAGTAACTCCCAGTACCCCAGTCCCCCAGTAACTCCCAGTACCCCAGTGCCCCAGTAACTCCCAGTACCCTCCCAGTACTCCCCAGTAACCCCCAGTACCCTCCCAGTCCCCCAGTTCCCCCCATGACACCCCAGTGCCCCCGCCCACCAGGGGCGCCCTCCCCCACCCCTCCTGATCACGTGTCCCCTGCGAGCTCCGCCCCCAGCCTCACTCTCCCGATTCGCGATTGGTTGAAAGAGCCGTCAGTCAGGGCGAGGCCGTCTGTGATTGGTCCTCGGGTGCGCAGTGGGCAGGGCGCGGAAAGGCGGAAGGAGCAGGACCCGGATGTGAGCAGGAGGCAGGACCCCGGTAAGGGGGACGGGGGATTTAGAGGGATTTGGGAGGGATTTGGGGGTCCGGGAAACTGGGGGAGTGGAGATCTGGGGGTGTCTGGGGGACCTGGGTGGTCTGGAGGGGCAGGACCCCGGTAAGGGGATTTGGGGGGATTTAGGGGTCGGGGGATTGGGGAGGGGCGACCCGCTAAGGGGGACGGGGGAAATGGGGGGAACTGAGGGCGATTGGGGGTCGGGGGTGGGGATGGATCCCCGGTAAGGGGACAGGGGAAATGGGGGTGAACTGAGGAGTCTGGAGGGGAATTGGGGGAATTTGGGGGTCCTGGGGGAGTATTGGGGGTCCCGAGGGGGTTCAGTGAGGACTGGGGGGGTCCTGGGGGTCTGCAGGGGGTGACCCCAGGAAGGGCAGCTTGGGGACACTGGGGGTCGTGCGGTGGTTTTGGGGGGGTCAGGAGGCTGGGTTTGGGGGCAGTTTTGGGGTTCAGGGGTCCCATTCCTTGCCCAGGTGGGTTTTGGGGGGATTCGGGGGTGGATTTGGGGGCAGTTTTGGGGGTTCCAGGTCCCCGTTTGGGGTGTTATTTTTGGGGGTCCCAGCTCTGTGTTTGGGGGTTCACATCTCTATCTGGGGGGGTCAATTTTGGGGTCCAGGGGGGGTGTTTTGGGGTCTGTGTTTGGGGGTCCCAGGTGTGGATTTGGGGGCGCTTTTGGGGGTTCCAGGTCCGTGTTTGGGGGTCATTTTGAGGGTTCCAGGTGTTGGATTTGGGGGAGTCAGTTTTGGGGGTCCCAGCTCTGTGTTTGGGGGTCAGTTTTGGGGTCCAGGGGATCTTTTTGGGGGTCCCGGCTTTGTGTCCATCCCCACCCCACCCCATTCCGGGGTCCCACCTTTCCCCCATCCCGCAGTGATTTTGGGGGTGTTTTATCCCCCATTCCAGGGTCCCAGCTGAGCCCCCATCCCGCAGTGATTTTGGGGAGTGTTTTTGTCCCCCATCCCGCAGTGATTTTGGGGGTGTTTTTATCCCCTCCCCATTCCGGGGTCCCA